AAATTTGCGAAGAGGTTTCTCTGCGCTCTGTGTGTGCTCTCGAGATTATCTAATACCGCCGCTAAATATGCAAATAATCTGTGTGATAAACGCCCTAGTCCGAGTAAGTAATACTGTAGTGGAGCCACTTGGCAAGGCTTCACTTTAATAAATAAATGCCGCCAAGCCGTCCCCCTCAGATAAACAGGACTAGACTTGGGTTCCAGCTTATAAAAAGCAATAAAAAGTCGTTTGATATTTTTAACTACAGAGGAGGAGTACATCTACTATGGAATTCCACAAGACTCCAATGGTATTTGTAACTCATGCAATGCCCAAAAGGCGAGCTCAACTCTAAGGCCATCCTCTCCATCGATCCGGCTTCCCTTGTTACCACCAGATACCAGATGCCTCCTCAAGCCGACTTCTCTGGCTGTACGGAAACAAGGTCCGAGGTTCGTCGACCCTTGAATAATCCCCGCCTACATACAACCCTCCAGGAGTTCGCTTGACTCTGCCAAAGCTTCGCCGTCTCTCTTCAATCCACGCCATAAATCTAGTCCAATTTTTGTCAATTTTTGAAAGCCAAAAAGAAGCCCAAAAAAGAGAGTTTTGAAAATGTTCATCAAGTTGTACTTAAATTTAGGATTCCCACCATTCAACCCTTTTCCCTGGTTTGAATAATGAACGGCCAGTCCCTTCAACAAGGAGGTGATCCAATGCTCTATTTAAGGGCTTGAGGATCCCGAAAACCAGCTGGCCGTAATCTTGATCGCCACAGCCAATACCACAGAACTTATATTTTTCTCCCGAATATATTATTAATGATGATATATCAAGCATTTTGAAATGAACTATTAATTAGCTTGAAAAAAAAACTAGTTTTCCCTTTGAACATTCACGCACAGGGCATAAGAACTGTTTTTTTATGTATTCCTAGATTTGTTATTTTTCCAATAAAGGGCAGCAATTTTTGTGCTCTACTCAAAAAATATAACGAATCGGAGGAGGAGGGCAGTTCGTTATAGCAGAGCAAGGTTTCGATCCTCGGACCTCTGGGTTATGGGCCCAGCACGCTTCCACTGCGCCACTCTGCTTGTTGCTCGGCTCTCGGCAAAACATTGTATGGCTTAAGGCTGGCGTTTAATGGGCGAACTGAATTTCTTGCGAGTATTTATCTAAGGCTTTTGAAAAAGCAACTCCACGCCAGAGATTTGTGTGTCTTTAAAGTGTTATCTTGCAAGTAATACTCCAGCCCTGGTACAGAAAATAAAGAGCTCCTCTAGGCCCCGATAGACTTAGCTTTTCTGATCTAAGGGGGTCTGGTTGAAAACACAACTCCACTCTACTTGGCTGGAAAGAATCAGCATCCCTTCTAGTGCCAGGATTATATGAGCCGCCTTTAATGACGAGCAGAATTCTAAGAATTCTATGCCATATACAAGTATAGCATACTTATATGCAGTTATAGTTTCCCTTGAAGCGCCATTCGTCAGCTGGCGATGCTAGTTAATTAGCAAGCATTGGAAAACTCATCGACTCCCCTGCGCATCACACACATCAACACTCTGTTCTGTTGTGGCTTTCGACTGTCATTGCAGGCATTCGCTATAATTACATTTATTACGATTCATTAGATGGTTAGATAGTTGTGTCTTTTTTCCTCTGCCGCTGCCCCCTTCCTCGCAATTATTGGCAGTGTCTTTAATTAGACATGGAGATGGGCACGTTGCCAAAGGCAGCCGCCTGGTGGCTGCTGGCTGCTGGCTGGTGGCTGCTGGCTATTTGCGCAAACAGCTTGCACAAATTTCCACTCACTTAAAACTTTGAGGGGCAATGCCAATATTTCTTTTCTTCTTCCTCCTCCTCTGCCATCTCCTCAGCATTTTTTTGCTCAAATAAATAAATTGTTTGCTCATAACTTAACGAACCACCAACTACTATTACCATTGATATGCCACATAATGGCAAGTGGTTGGGAGTGGTTGGGGGTGGTGCCAACTGTTCAAAACTGAATGCAACTTACTGTTTACTATTTGTGTTGCAAAACTTTGCCAGCAAACTACAACCACAAGGCCCTACAAAAATTCAATTGAATTCGAGTTAAAATAATTTGCTATTTAGCATTGTGCTCGCACAAATACATACACACACTCATACATACATGTATACACACATATATATACATGTGTATGTGTATTGTTTGCATAAATCATACATAGCATTATGTATGTATGTACTATACAAGTATATGTGTATATATCTAGATGTGTACCTATGTATTTATTTTATTTAGATTTTGCGGCACAATTTGCACAATTTATTTCCTTTGACTTCTCAACTTTCACACAACGGGCTTTGGCGAAATTACACTGCCCTGCAAGGCATTTATTCCAAGCAAATGAAATGCATTTCAAAGCTAAACAAACAAGCAATTCAGTAGACAATGATTAGCCCTCAAATTGTTTAAACGACAAGATAGTGCTGATACGTTAGGGGTATACAGCTAATTCTGTTTGTACACGGCAGATTGGTTCCAGAAAAGGTCGTGTAAAAAAACCGTGTACAAAAATGACACTAATCATACAATATTTTGAATCCTGCTAAATGGAAATGGTCGTGTAACAAAAACAAAATATATATATATATATAAATTTTTATTTTCAAACCGTGTAAAAACAGAATTAGGTGTACTAGACGTCCAATAGACAGAAGTAGGCGTGGCAGACCTCATGTTATAGCTACAGAAAACATTAGTATGACGAGACAAGTGTAGTGTAGTGTAGTGTAGTGTATACCTATTCTATCTATTCTATCCGTGTGCAAAGCAAGTTTCTGACAAACATGCGTAGCCTCATTATTTTATATAACTTTTCATTTTCTATAGTGCTTCATGATTTTATGGGTTTGATCAAAATCTGTGCTCCATATTAACATATGTCATAGAAACGAGTGATGCAGAAAGCGTCCTTAATAGGATCCTTAATAGGATTTATAAAACTAACTATAAACATTATGCAAATTATGAAAAAACGTATTGAAAATAATAATAAAAAAAAATAATTAATAAGATAAAAAACAATAATAAACTTAATTGAATCTTTTCTAGCTTTGGCAAGCTTCGGCAGTTGGCGAACGATTCTATCGGCACCTTGTAGGACAGTGCTATAAATTTATGTGTTTAGTTTTTCTTTGTTTCAAATTGCAAATTTTCGTTGCACAATTTGCGGCTGTTTTTTCTGCTCCTATTGTGTATGATACCGAGGGCCGAGCTGCGTGCCCTCAAAATGGGTTAAAGGGCGGGGAGGGCGTGGTGGCAAACACCATATTTAAATGCTAATGTGACGAATGTGCGGAATAATCAAATGGCCATCAAAGCGCACGAATGCGTCAGAGCAGCTCCATAGCTTGAATTAAAGTTTAAGGTCGAATTGCTATTACAGGCACTATTTATTTAGCTGCCAACTATGTATGTTTAATCGTTCAATATGCGAACAACTTCAATATAAACTGAAACGTTTTAAAAGTTCTCCTCAAACTTAAGACTGGCGGCAATCAAAAATGTTGCTCCCACAGGGGCGCAAGGATTGCAAAACTAATATAAAACCATTGCCAGCAATCAAAGCAGTGATTTTAATTAAGGCATAAAAGATTGTAAGCTTCCATAATGGCTTTATAAGTATATATATTATATTATTATATATATATATTATATATATATTATATAAGTATATATAATATATAATATAATTTTCGTATATTTAAATAAATGGTTTGGCATTTTATTTCGGTCAATAATTATTTGTTTTAAAGTTCTATCAGAATTTTTTATAAAACAAGAAGGGAATGCGCGATCTCACCTCTTAAATACACAAGTAAGAAATTATAGTTTTTAAAACAAATTAAATTAATTAATAATTTGCAGAATCTTTATAGCAAGTTTTCCGAGATCCTTGCGATCAAGGCTATCTCTTCTATCGTCTTGGCAAGCTGATCAAGAATATACAGAATTGGGGGTCTGTCACGCCTCCTTTTGTGTGTTACATACATTCGCACCAAACTAGTATAACCTTTTTTTAAAAGAAAACTCTGTTCATTTCCCCCCATTTTCTAGTGCTTTCAGCAATATTTTGTTTGCGTGCGCCTTTCAGGTATGCAACAGTTTTGCTTATGCGCGAAAATTGTCTCTGATTTAAATTGAAATTTCAAGAGAAGTTTTTTAATTACAAAAACTAACATTCCTTTTTTTACATTTTCTTGCATAAATAATTTGCAGCTGCAAGCTTTAATCTCTGTAATCCCAGAACTGTTAAAATTCAGTGCCCACTATGTATGTGTGTATGCAGCTGTGTATGTGTGCTAACAGCAGGATGTTGTTGTCATGCAACCCACTCAGCATCCACTGTAAAAGGGCTGTCGAACTAACATCGACAGCGCCCCAACTGTTAAGCAACATAGACCGCCACTTAACAGTGCTGCTGTAGCTTGATTAACAGAGTTCCACACAGCGACTCGCCCCCTACTGTTAAATGTTTACAGATATTCAGGCTTAGAACAGAACCGGCCCAGGACAAAGCTCATTCAGAAGCTTCCGATTGGGCCGAAAACATTTTATAGCACACTGTGTGACAATCCCAGGAAATTTGTGACGCAATTGAAGCTTAGCAGAGACACACAATTTGGTCGAATTAAAGCTAAAGCGCGGCATTAAGCATACGCCAGGTAGGCAAAAAAAGAGAGAGAGAGAGAGAGAGAAAGGATTGAGAAAAAGCTGTTGCAGCTTTTACGGCGCGCGTTTCAAGCTGCCAGAATTGGACCAAAGTTGCTGGCACTGTTGTTCTTGTTGTTGTTGATAGTTGTGCTTCCTTTTTGCGCCTTGCGCTGCGCTCTCAACAGCAGTTGGCCGCGAGATTTGGCACGGCATGGACATGGATACGGCTGTCGCGTGCAGCGCCGACCCGAAATCAGAGTCGAGTTTGTGCAAAAAACGGTTGCGCGACTGCTTCTCTTACCGTAGCTGTTGTTATTGTTGTTCTCATCATTGTTGAAACATATTGTTGTTAAGCATAGTACTTGTTAATTGGTATGTGTCAGAAATTACAAAAACAATTCTAATATTTGCAAGCAGCGAAGCGAATGTGTGTCATTATTATTTCAAAGTCCCTTCTTTTTTTCATCGCCACATTTGGTGTTCATGTTGAAGTCAACAATCAGCGGTCTGCCCAATGACTTCAACACGTTTCATGTGTGTGTGCGTTAAGTTTTGATTTTCTTCTTCTTTTACACACACACAGACACGCAGACACACAGACACACAGACACACATCAGCCAAAACATTAAAGAGTGAGTGAAGTGAAAAAAAGTGAAATTTCCAATTCTCAAAGCCAAAAGTAAAACGGAAACAGAAACAAAAACGAAAAACTATAAACATGAACAGCTTGTTGTTGTCTATATGTATGTATGTATTTGTGTCTGTTTGTGTGTATGTAATTTGTGGGCTAAGCCTGCGAAAGCGCAATAATTACACTTTCGCTAAAAGACTGCAGCGGTTTTTGTCACTATTTTGTTAGCTGCTTCTACGTTTTCTCGAGGCGGTCATTTGGCTCTCTATTTATCTGTGCGATTGCTGTGTGTGAATGTTTGTGTGCATGTGTGTGTGTGTGTGTTCTAACCTATATAGAGAAGACTGTACACACACACATACACAGGCACACACATCGACACACGTTGAAACCGACTCGAACCAAAAAGAGGTCACTAGCCCCGTTCACGTTTATTGGCTTATGTGACGGCACTTGTAGGCCCATGTACCACACACATACTCTATATACAACACACACACACATACACACACACACCGCATGCCATAACTGCATATTGTCGCAGCCTGAAGAACAATAAAAGGCATCTCTCAGTGGAATGAACTCTGAGTAGGTTAATGAAAAGTGCTGCAACAAAATTTGTTTGAAGAACTTTGTCGCTCTGTCGCTGGCAGATATATATTTACACAAACATTTACATACACATGTATATCTATATACATATACATACATAGTGTGTGTGTACATATGTATGTATGTTGTGAATGGCATAAGCACAACCAACAGCAGCAGCAACAGCAGCAGCACCAGCAGCAACCACTGCAGACAACAAGCAGCGCTTGAGCGGGTGTGTGGCCGCAACTAATTAACTGTTTATTTAATATAAATCCATTTATGCGACTCCTGCACCCTCATGTGTGTGTGTGTCTGGGTGTGCGCATAATTAAAATAAATTTAGCGTCGCATAATTATTAATTACAATGCTGATGCGAGCAAAGCAATTGATCTGCATGGGAGGACCAAGCTGCAAAACAATCGATAGTAACTATCGACTGTTTGGGGCATGTGGGGCGAGTTGTGACAACTATCGATAGTGCGAGCAACAAAGCAAATGATCTGCTTGAATGAACAGAGTTGCGAGCCAATTGATGGCACTATCAATATTAACAATAGTAACTATCGATCGATCGATCAACCAGCATTGTAAAACAACCGATGACATTTTTGCTAAAAAGCAAACAATTTATCAATTTAGAAAAGTTAAAGAGCTGGTGACTCTCACCAAACTTGGTGTGCAGGGTTTTGTTTGATTCCAAGAGTCGCACCTGTTTCCATCTCTGGAATATCTCTATTTAATAAAGAGGTTCCAGTTGTGGAACACTATTTGATGTGCTTTTAAAGCGAGTCCGTACAAATAACTCAAACAGAAAATAAAACCTCATTCTAAAACTTGTTTCCTAACTTTTACATGATCTCATGCGACTTCGAGTCAAAAAACATACTTTGAACTCACAAAAGCTTTTCTATTAGCTATATACAATTTTTTAAAGCAAATTAAAGCAGCTTCCATATATGCTTCTCTGCGAAACCCTAAATATGTCACTACTTATGAACAATGCCCTCCTGATGTGCTGGGCAACAAGTTTCCTACGAAAATGATAAAGGGATATAAAACATAAAGTAAATTAAAAGCCAGATATATCACAAAACAGAGAAGACAAAGCCACATACACTCAGAAAAAACATTACAGTGCAGACACGATAGTGTGCACAATGTGTTAGTCGTGATATGTTTTTTGTTCTCTGTGCTAACTCTGTAGGGAAGACATTAGTTTTTTGTCTTGTCACCTCAGATATCCGGCCAATTCATTTGTTTTTCTTGTATCCATTTGGGAAGCCTTAAAAATGTAATTTGTGATTAGAAATCTTTATCAATAAAATAAAATATCGGACATAAAGCCTGCTTTCTTAAATTAAAATGGTCGCAAGAAGAGTCGAAGAGTCGTACGGGAATCTGCCGATTGCGAGGGAAATGTCAAGTAACTCAACTGATTTTGTTGACATTTTTGTCAAAATTTGAATTTATATCTTTTGTAAGCCTGTTTCCAATTGAAAACATTGGAAATTCATTTATAAAAAGTGGTGAATTCTTCGGCTTAGTGGAATATGCTCTACATATGGATAAGACAAGTCTAGATAGCAAGTTTGGTGTACCTAGCTGTTATGGTTTAGAAGATCTCGATGTTCATACAGTCGAACAGCGTCTAGCTTTCACTTTTCCCCTTTCGGGTATAATGACACGAAATATTGAGAGAATAGAAATAAGTAAATTCTCTCAAAACTATTAACACTTTGTTAATTTAGGAACATTTTAGAAAGGAGCTAATGACTTAAACATAACCAAAGGTATAACATTGTTTCAATGTTTTCGTATCCCGTAATTTTTGGTATTTCGGACTCTAATCATCCGGACTCTTGAGACCATACTGTAATAGTAAAGTCGGCAAGTGAGCTGACAATGTCAACGTCAGAGTCGGCATCCATTGATGTGACAATGCTTTGTCTTTGGTTACAAATTCAATCAGAGGAGCTGTCATCTGGGAACTGGCAACTAAAATGGGCCGTTGGACCAAACACCTGATGGCATGGATAGGGAAATACGTGGGTGAGAGAGAGGGAGAGAGGGGGAGAGAGGGGCTGTAAGGCGATGCGAGATGAAAGTGTTGAGTTTTCCAACGAAGCACATTACGTTGCCATTTTCACCAAAAGACAAAATAAAATACATTTCGGTTTTATTTTCGTCTCTCGCACAAAAAAGAAACTGTGCCAAGTGAAATTGTGTGTCTGTGTGTGTGAGTGTGTTGTGCTTGTGTGTGTGTGTGTTTGGGGAAGGCGGCAGGGCAATGACTGTGCTAAAAATGTGGCATGACAATGACCATTGACTCACTTCCTTTTCTTTTCCTTCTGCTTTATATTATTTTCTTTTCTTTTCTTCTCATCTGGCAGGCAGCTGAGAACTGAAAATACTGAAAATTGGAATAGCAAAGCGAAGCCTTAGGGTCCTGGCGAACATGGACAGCACGCCGATGACGTTCACCAGCCTGGCACTGCTGCTGCTCCTCCTCATCATGTGCGTCATGTTCGCCTGCCACTGCCTGGGACCGCGTGCCGCCAGCTGGATGCGCATTCGTTCCAACAAGGAGGAGAAAATCGGACTCTCCAAGCACAAACTATTCCATGCCAATGGCTATATGGCCAGTGTAAGTTACAAGTCCCGTGAAATAATGCCTATTCAGAACCCTAGCTTTTAATCGTATAATTCCCGTTAGTTTCAATTAAAATGCCTTTAAATTTATGGCATACCCGTGGTTTGTGTGCAAATCATTTGCCCGTCTGACCGCAGTTTTATGCTACCATCTTTTTAAGCCCGCAAATTAGTTCGACTGCTGGTTTTAGGTCCCTCCCATTCGTAGGAGGAATTTGGTTGAATTTGATTCCACCAGCTATTTCCCCTTTCCCAGGCGTTGTTGGTAGAATTGAATGTTTAGCTTAAGAGTAGTTTGAGGAAAGATATTATATGAAAATTATACGTACGATGGGTATGTAAATAACGAAATCATCAATTCATCATTTTATTTGAACTGTGAAGAACATATAAAGAGTAAGCGGGCAGAAGGTCTTATCTTGCTGCGATATGGAAAGCTAGGAGTAAATTAGGTTTAACGATTCCGAATTTTTTAAAAGCAAAAATATAGAAAAAGCAAAAGTGTTTAAACGCACTTGAAACTTTGCCTTATTTTTAAGCTTTCTATATAACTTGCTAGTGTTATGAATGCACGGTGTAGAGTAAATAGAGAAAATAACTCTAGATAAGATAATCTGCAGCAAACAAATAAGGGCACAATGGTCAAATAAACGAGCTCTCTATCTGCGAAAAGCGCTCTCAGAGTACTCCCCAAATAGTTGTCCTAAGCACCTAGGTTCTTAGATTGCTTTATTGATATTCAAGCTCAATTCTCCTCCCACTCTGCACACACAATCTGGCTCTCTACGATTATTCTAAGGATATCTATGTATCTATCTATATACAAGTACATATGTATAATGTAATCTTTATCAGCTCATACTCGAATATCAAACGTTGCTTTTTCTACATTTTGTTTTATTTTCCCCACTCTGCAGATACAATCGGGCTCTGAGTTTTTGCTCAGCACCAGCGGCAGTTTCAAACGCTTCGACACCATCGATCGCGAGGATCACAATCGAGCCCAAGCAGCGCAGCAGACGCTGACGGAGGCGCCACAGCAGACGACGACGCCATTGTGGAACCTACCACAAGCCGATGTCAACATACCCCCCCAGCCACTGCGTCCCGCACCGGCACCCAACAGTGCCGGGCCCAGCAGCAAGACTGTGACCTTCTCCTTCAGCCAAATCAATGAGCTCGGCTCGCCGACGACAGCAACGATCGCCAGCGAGAGTGTGGAGCGTACGGAGCGGCGTTCCTGTTTGCGCTCGCCCTTGAAGAGTGGAGTGGTGCCGCAGCCGCTGGAGGCTCCACCGCCACCACGGCTGACCACATCGGCATCGGTGACACTCTCCTCCACCGCCATACCGCGGCCCATTGCCAAGCGACAGTCGCTGCAGCAGGGCATCAATCGAAGCTCGGAGTTGGTGTTGACCGAGAATGAAGCTCAGGTGGTGGCAACAACGACGACTACGACTTCGAATTCGGAAAGACGTGCTCCCGTTTTGACGCGCCGCAACTCGAGCACAAATCCGTTTCTATGCGAGTCCACTGAGAGCCTGCAGTCCCAGTCCCAACCACAACTGCAACCAAAAGCACAACCACAATCTCAGTCGCAAGCACAGCACAATGGCAATCCTTTCGTAGAGCCACCCACACCTGCAACCACTGCCACAGACCTCTCCAGCCGTCTGTTGAAGCTTCAAGGCACCACAAACCCCTTTACGGGTCTCTCGCAACGCGTCAAGGGGCCCCACATGCTGCAGAAGACCATTTCCGAGGACTTTCTCTTCCGCAAACTCGGAGTTAACGGTCACATGAATGGCTTCCTGAACGGCACTACAAATGGCAATACGAATGGCAATAGCACCTGGTGCTTTGGTCGCTCTCTGCTGCGTCAGGACTCGACGAACAGCCTCGGCCTGGGACGACGCAACAGCTCGCAACTCTCTCTGGATTCGACGGCCAGTGGTTTAGGATCCATGGAGAGCATCAATCGGGCCATCTCTTGCGAGTCAGTCAACTCGGACTCGTCCGTATTTCAATGCGAGCTGGATCAGCCCTATACACAAATTACAGGATATCTCTGCATTGGCCTGCAGTACGACAAGTAAGTGAACGACGGGGAACGGGGGACTGAGGACGGGAGAGGGTTGCGACCTGAAGACTCGTCTCTTCTAAATTTGTATGCATGCGTGCGATTTCCGCATGAGATAACCAAACGCACGCATTCTGAGCAATTACGGTCCACAGTGGGCTCCAAGCCGAATTCAGTCTCTCAGGCACCTTTCGAATTGACTTGGGTGAAGGACCCAATCTAACTTCACCCAGGAGAATAATAAATAAATAGTCAGTGCAGAATAATCGACAAAACAGTTTGGCAGCGATAACTAACTCGCACCCATCGGAGAACTGGTTTAAAGGTCCAAGAAAATATGTCTAGAAAAAGTTTATTTGGTTACAAGTTATCGTCAGCTTTCCATTATTCCTACAATGTAGAATATTTATAAAAGAGAAGATAAAAGATCCTTCCTTCAACTTGAGAATGTGAATTAACCAACTTAGCTACTGGCTCTAAATATTCCCACAATTTAAAGAAGACTTCATAAAGTTGAGATTGATTCAGGTCGGGTTATCCATTTAAACGCTTAAGCTAGTCCAACTCTTTTAGCAATACTAAGCAATTATGAACTGTATTCTTTGAGGGAATGGAAATCCCGCTCCGATCATATCAGTACGTAGTATTACATATTTTAACAGAACATTCAAACCTATGGAGGGAGAAATGCATACAATTTATTTTTCGAGAGACTTGGAACCACTGTGCGACCTCGGTTTAGTTGCAAGCTGAGTGCACTTAAAGGCGTTGGACCGCATCAATTGACACCGTCCCCTCCCTACAGCCCTTCCGCCCTTCCGCCCCCTCAGCACCACTCAATTCATAATGTGCATCCGCATTTTTTTGCGCAGGAACAGCATCACCAACGAGGGCATGGAGCTTACTGTCAGCGTGCTGGAGGCCAAAGGCCTAATTTGTCCCTTCAGTGTAGAGTCCTTGGACACATTTGTGCGCATTTATTTGGTGCCCGATCATGCTGGGGCTATGCAAACAAAGGTAAGCGCTCCACTGAGGCCGTCTATAATGTCCGCATGTCAGCTAACAATTGGATTCTTATGAACTTATGAATTCAGGTGGTGAAGTGCTCGCTCACGCCCAGCTACAATGAGAACTTCAACTTCTGGCTGAAGAAGCAGCAGGGTCGGCACTCGCTCTGGTTCCACCTCTACCACAATGGACCGGCCCACACCCTAATCGGCGAGGCCGAAATGGAAATTGGTGAAATGCCGCGCCCCATCACCACCTGGATACCCCTGACGGACTCACGCAAATGCAATGCACGCTGGGGCGAGCTTATGTTCTCCCTCAGCTATCTGCCCACGGCGGAGCGCCTAACCATAGTGGTGGTCAAGGCACGGAACCTCAAACTGGACGTGGAACAGACGCCAGTGCAGCACGTTTTCGTCAAGGTGAGTCGTCAGCACCAAGAGAAGAGAAGAGCTCAGCACACTTGTGCGATGAGAAAAGAAAGCCTCAGCTCTGCCCCCTTTCGACGCGCATTCTGATATCCTGGATGAAAGTGTGTTCTAAATAGTGGAGTTGTAGTCAGAAAGAGACATCGCAGAAAGAAGAAGAAGCTTTATCAACAAACAGAGAGTTTGCCTAAACCAACACGGGTAGCACAAGTACTTTTCAAATATAGCTGTGAAATTTCGAATTTTAAACCCTCTAAAAGATCTTCTAGTGGTTCCTACTTGTAGATGACTATGAAAAGCCTTGGTGTGGCTTTAAGCATCTCTGTCTTCTTGCAGTTTCTCACAATCAGAGTGCATCTATTCATCTTTTGCCCGGTCTTTCGCTTTCTCGGCAAGGATCCTATTTATTGGCGAGTCTCTGATTTTTTTTAGATCTGATGAAGCGCTCTAAAGCTCACGAAATGTATCATCCTCTAGCTACAGAGAACCATAAGTTCTAGGCATATTTCGCAAGCAATGCCTAATCATCTGCACAACCTTTTCCAATTTTATTTATCCCACAATATTAGAGGTGCATTCATATATATATATATATATATATATATATATATATATATATATATATATATATATATATATATATATATATATATATATATGTACGATTTCCATGACGATTAAGACATGCCTGTCTGCCCGGTCGTTCGCTCGAACCACAAACTTGGTGCATGGACTGGTCTTATCCATATGCAGACTAAGTTTGTCACAACTTATATATCTCAGTATTGTATATAGCTGCCATAGGAACATTGGTGGAAAAACGACTCTTAGTACTAAGCACTTGTCTGATTGATGGGTTTTGAAAATACATATATGTAACTTTTAGCTTCATCTACTATAAATCGGCGCATACAAGTATAGCTACCATAGAATAAAATGGGTGCCAAAACTATTAAGAACTTATTTGTGTACAAATATCTCTTAAGCAAATACAATATTTCTTTGAGAGAAAGAAGGATAGGGCGCACTACTTGTACTACAAGTATTTTCTAGAGCGCGGCATTAATGTGGTTGTGGTTCCCATCTAATCCATTCGAACAGGTCTATCTGATGAACAACGAGAAGAAGGTGCTGAAGAAGCGGACGTCGCTGAAGCGTAAGGACCGCTGTCCCATCTTCAATGAGTCGATGATCTTCAGCATACCGCCGCACAGTCTGACTACCGTGCAGCTCCGCCTCACCATTTTCGGCGTCATGGACAGCAATCTGATTGTGCCACTCGGCCATGTCATTGCCGGCAGCTGTGCCGTGGGAAAGGGTCTTCGTCACTGGCACCAAATGCTTTCATCTTTGCGCAAGCCCGTGGCCATGTGGCATGTTCTGCGGCGTGCGGTTAATCAGCCGATATTCACGGGCGGTGCCGAGGCGGTGGTTGCGGCTATGCAGAGCACTTTGCAGCGGGCGGGCGCGAAACGCAACAGCATTGTCTAGGATCTGAGGAAGGTCCTAGCTGCATGCTCCCAATGCTCGTCCTCTTTTTTGAAGAACAAAATTTCGAATTTAGTTGGCATTTCTAACTGCCCTCCCCCCCCCCCATATACTATAGACGTAGTATTCTTTATTCTTCCCCTAATTGAATAGAGAGACCCTCTAAATTGCATTTATTACACTTAGCAATCGATTTTTTATACTTTTCTACTCTTGTTTCGTACTTCCGTGAACCAACTAAGCTAAAACCGAATCGAAATCTATGCACTATCTATATACACGATGTTCAATACACATACTACATACTATATACTATATGCCTACGGGAAGCCAGCACCAATTGACAATTACTTATAGCCTTATGACACTGCACTAAAAACTAGACTGGACTAGAATTGCTGCTTGACTGTGCTGTAGGAGATCTGTTTTCATCTGTGCCATAAAGTCAAGTTTTTAGTCCGGTCTCATGGGGTGGGTCTATTACGCCTATTAACTAGTTCTACAAGCGTACCAGTGTTTGATAATCTACGAATGCCACATCAAGGTATTTCCAAGCACTGCTACCTCAAAAGTTGTGTGAATGCTTACCTACTATATGGAATCATTCGCTTATTGTTACGTACCTAAGATATATCTCATAAAATGACATTTTGAACACAAATTAACTACTAAAGAGGAGGATTATTTATCAAAACTACAAGTAAAACGCCCTTGTGAATTGTTCAAATTGTTTAGCGAATAAAATAGAAAATCTATAAATCGTAATACTCATCCATGCAGTCTAACTTGCCAACTAAGAACTTCCAAACAACGAAACTCTCCTTCTAATCTATATCATTAACCATATATTCTTACCTATCGCTCCACTCTTTATTACGAGTATTAATGAGTGTGTGAGTGCTCCGAAGAGACTTGTGTCATACGATGCTGGAATACCTGTTCCCTAACATATTAAAAATCGTTTTTAATTCGCGATAGTTGGCTTGAAAATGCTGAAATAGTTCCAGGTCTTTAATTTCGGTTAGCCACTATTAGAGGGGTCTGCAAGGTCTTTATTTAACTTGGGAAATCGATTTTTTAATTTTGTCACACAAATATTTATTAGAAGAAATATCTTTTGGTCGACTGCCCTCAAAGTTTAATCGAGATTTATCGTGGGGTTTCAAGCGATTCTAGCTATTAAGTATGATTCTATGAATATGCAAAATTGGATCTTATTAAACAATTTTGAGGGCCAGCAAATGGGTAGAAAGCACAACAAAAAAGGTCTGGCTGTATAGTGTAAGCTAAAAACCTGTTTTTAGCAACAAAATCACTCCTTCAGACCTTCTCCCTCAAGAGGATGAACATTCCAGAAAGCGATATTTGTAGATTCAAGAAACATTGGAGGCTTTCGTAAATACCCCGCATGTACGAGTAGGTTTCTACGGTTCGGCGGCAGAACCCAACTATGGTTGTTCTTGATCCTCTTTTTGGGAAAATTAATTTCTGCTTTAATCAGTTCTGTCAGAGTGCTCTTATCGATCCTCAAGAAGTCCCAATCCCCAGACCAGCAGAATAGGTAAGCCTCTTTCTCGCACATTAATAATGAAAGTGGAGAGGTCGTTTAGCGGTTCAAGCTTATTTACATATCACCTAAAACTAGTTGGAGATTATACTCATTTTTTAAAGCAAAACAAACCGAGTGGCAACTGTAGAGATTGAATCTTCCAATATGTATGACACAAATTTCTGCGTGGGTTCTTCCATAAAACGAGGTCAATCCAAGTTTTTTTTGGAATCAGATTTATATTACGCTCTAATTTTATTTTGCTATGAATAGTTATACTCGTATAATCGCTGAACATTTACATATAAAGTAGTTATTGTTTGTGACAAAATGGTAAACCCTTTAAGAAATGTGATATTTCAAATGCGTATTATTTTAAACTAGATTGTATTAACGATGATATTAATGCAAATGTTATATATACTATATATAGACATTCGAACATACAAGCATACACACTATATACAGACGTATAGGTGACAGAATTTTGAATATGTTTGATACTAGAGTTGTGTTTAGGACTTTGTAGACCCAGTTTGTTTTTGTATTAAGGGTTCTACAATAACAATAAATCAAAATTGTTTACCAATTCCAACACAAAATCAACATAAACCAGCGCACCAGTTGATGGTATTATGATATAACTCCTCATTTGTTAAACAGCAAACGACAATAACAATAACTTTGAACTTCATTTATCAAATATCTAACACTCTGTCGCAGTCAATTTACAGATTACTCTACACTTTTGAATCACACGCTAATTGCGAATACTCTGCACTCACCTACATATACTTGTAAACCAGGTTCGCGCCAATAAAAACCAGACTGACAACTATCTGAGAAATATTTAATATTTAACAAGTCGTCAAATTAAAAAACAACTTAGTGTGAATTCAATGAGCGGCTGAAACTGAAGGCTCTATCTTCACATTTTCAGATATATTTTACAGCCCGCTCCATACTTTCTCAACGAAAATATTATATCGAAAATGTCGCCTTTGAGATTTTTCCAACATTTTCAAATCCGTTGCCCATTCTGCTCATTTCGCTAACTAAATACACAAAGCTTTAAAATATATACAAAACGGGCATCTGAGAATTATAAAAGACGGATTTATAGTATAGTATACCTTCTCAGATAATGCTTTATGTAACTAAAGTGTTTTTCAGAATTCTCTTTAAAAATGTTCAAGCTTTATTTTTCCCATTTCGATCACTAGGTGCTTAATTTTTCGATTTATTATGGGATCTATTTTAAGTCTAAAAACGAATTATCAGAGGACTTATTTGCTCTCAACTATAATACTCGTTTTATATCGAGAAAGTTGCTTTTCAGAATTCCCTTCAAGCCTTATTTTCCCGTTTCGCTGACTAAATATCCTACGCTTTAGCTGCAGCTTTATATCGAGAAAGACGCTTTTCAGAAGTTATGTTTTTATTGGCGACGGCATTGCAATGCACCCACATACATATACATACAAGTATATAATACAATACATATATAAAGCGCTATATAAATACATTATATACACGCACTACACAGCATGCGCATAAATAAGTGACCAAGAAGGAGATGAAAATTAAATATTTGCATTTAAAATATTAGCAGAAGCTTTAAGCCTACAGTTATGCGAAAGGCTTAATATTTAACGAGATATAATAATAATATTTCCCTAAAGGTAAATACATTTTTTTTAAGCTATAAAAACATAATAGAAATACTAAAAGAAAAGCTCAGAAAAACGTATAACTATGTAATACAAATTTTTGTAACTTGAAAAATGTTTGAAGAATTCAAACAAAAAAGAGAAAAATAACAAATACAATCGCCTGAAATAGAAATGTGAAGGAAGTTCAGAAAACTATAAATAATAACTAAATAAAATAACTGAAAATCATTATTATTAACAATTATAGTAATTAATAATAAAAACTGCACAAGAAAACCAAAACAAAAAACGCTTTCCTGCAATGCAAAATTCGAATTAGAAGCCCCTTAACGGAAGGTGTATCTTTAGATGCATTCAACTCAAGCGATTTAAGATAAAGACAAAGACATACAGATAACAATTAATTGTTTGTTAATTACTTGATTAAATAGTTTAAAGACGCGTTGAATTTGTATTTACATTTATATGCATACTATACTCGTATATTCGAATAAAGAACATCAGTTATACAAACCTAACTAACAATAAAGGCTACAACCAGAGAGCCAAATTGTTAAACACAATTCAAAGGAAGTTATGTATAAACATATACACATATAGTATATACATACATATACATACCACAAATAAAACATATACATACATATGCGAAAAACGAACAAGAAAATGCATTTTATTTCAAAGAGAAATCTGTTTGTACCCAAAGGGTTAAAGGGTGTAAGGACCAGTATGAACGCTGGGCCCTAAAATTTAATGAAAAGACACTTGACTATGGTTTTGTTTGAACTTTAATAATAATGATTTTGTGGATAAGTAATTATTGAGAATATGTGATTAAATGACCGTTTTAAATTAAATTCAGATAAATTTCAGTAGGTTTCGGAGAGTTTCCGCGAGTTTCAATTTCGTGTTTTGTCGACGACCAGCTTCTTCATGACACTGTGTGACCATAATTCGATTACAATACAATAACAAAATATTTCATATGACTTAATCGATAACATTAGTATAAATTGGTATTTCGATCTTTACACCCCCCCTCCTGGTGAATCGCTCCGCGATTCACAATTAAGCTTCAGTATAATAAGTTTTGACACCGGACGACGTAAGCTGCTGGTTGCTGTTCTTATGTCCACATTACGAATTTGTCCATCTTTGGCAGGATATAACTTTGTAATTCGTCCTCGCTTCCATTTTTCTCGTGGGGTGGATTCATCCATTATAATGACCAGATCATCTACTTTAATTGCTTCTGGGTTGTCATGCCATTTGCTGCGACATACAAGTTGTGGTAGATATTCATTTATCCACCGTTTCCATAAGCGGTCCTTGATCGATTGCGCAATATGCCACTGTTTTCGCAAACAAGTTATATTTTCTGGTGGGTATGGCGTCTGTGTCGAATTTACGCATCCCAATAGGAAATGATTTGGCGTAAGTGGCTCATCATCCTCGTGATCGACCGGTAAGTCTGTCAATGGGCGGGAGTTCAATATGTTCTCAACTTCGATCAGCGCTGAACGTAGCGTTTCCACACGTGGGGCGACGTCCTTCAATGTTTTTCCAAGCAGTCGTTTCACTATACGTATTAGTCGTTCCCAGCAGCCACCAGCACTCGGGTTTGCAGGCGAATTGAATATCCATTTAATTCTTTTAGCAGAGGTCTCATCTATTAGTGTCTCAATATTCAGCAATCGATCAGTTGCAGTCAATTCCTTTTGCGCGCCAACAAAATTGGTACCATTATCACTTCTGAAGACTACTGGTACTCCACGACGATTAATAAAGTTCCGTAAACTAATAATAAAGGCGTCCGTCGAAAGGTTTTCAACCATTTCCAAATGGGTGGCACGTATAGTGAGACATGTAAATATAGTTACCCAGCGTTTTTCGCATCGACGTCCAATTGTGACATTTATGGGCCCAAACAGGTCTACACCACAGTATGAAAATGGGCGTACATAAGGTGTTAATCGGTCAATTGGGTGTTGACCCATAAGTGGTTGACGTGGTTGACTTCGATCAATAATGCATCTATTGCATGTCTTCTGAACTCGTTTAAGTAGACCTCGAGCATCCGGTATCCAATATTTTTGGCGGCATTCGTTAATTATGACAGCAATGTTCTGATGATGGTACTTGTTATGAAAGTGTTGCATGATTAAAGATGAAAACAAATGACTTCTTGGCAGTATTATGGGTCGTCGTGCACCAAATGGTAGATAGTAAGCTTCATCAATTCGTCCAGACAGGCGTAACAGGCTATCCTCTTCCAAGTACGGTGACAATCTGTATATACTGCTTGTCTTTGGCAGCAGTTGTTTCTGGCGTAAAGTGGAAACTTCATCAGAGTAGACTTCCTGTTGTACAATTTTGCATAACATATTTTCAGCATCTACCAACTCTGTTGATGATAATGGCGGGATCCTCTCACTCTTCTTCATGGAGGTGCGGTAGACCAGGTTGTGTTTTGCACGCAAAACCCAGGCAAAGACTCTTATTAACCTTGATAGAGAAGAAAATTTAATAAATTTTACAATGGGCTCGCTTACTTGACAGCTTAAAACGGTTTTGGTCTCGATTTCTTCCTCAAGTATTCCACTCTGCGGTTCACTAATTGTTTTTGGCCATTGGTTTGAAGACTTCTTTAAGAATTCAGGTCCAGTTAGCCACATACTATTGTGATTAATTTTCGGCACTGCAACTTGACGCGTGGCAGTGTCCGCTGGATTTTCGGCAGACGGCACCCATCTCCATTGATCAGCGTGGGAGATGGATAAAATTTCGGTTACTCTGTGAGCCACATATGGCTTAAACTTTCGATCCTTTGAATGCAGCCATTGCAAAACCGTTTTTGAGTCACTCCAAAAAACTGTCTTATGCAATTTGAATTGCTGATGCTTGACCACCAGCTTATTTAGGCGCACTCCCAGGACTGCGGCTTGCAATTCCAAACGAGGAATTGACAGAAGTTTTGTTGGTGCAAGGCGAGTTTTCCCAATGACAAAGGCAACATCAGTTTGGCTTCCATAGACAATGCGTAGGTACGCGGCGGCGGCAAAGGCGCTTTGACTGGCGTCTACAAATATGTGTAACTCTATGTAGTTACTACGGCTCAAATTCGGTGAATAACAACGTGGTTTTCGAAACTCTTGCATGTTCTGCAGTGCTGTCCACCAATGACCCCATTCGTCCTGCAATTCACCCGGTAATACCTCATCCCATTGAATGCGACGACTCCAAGTTTTTTGTGTGAGGATTTTGGCGAATATGCAGAAATCCGCTATTAGGCCAAACGGATCATAGACTGCCATTACAATACCCAGCAGCTCTCTTTTGGTAGGAATGCGTCTTCCTTGCATTACTTCAGCTGCGATTCGATGAAACTTAGTTTTAAACTCAAAACTGTCAGTTGTCGTGTTCCAGTACATTCCAAGTATTTTGTCGTCAGCACCTTTCCCTTCAACGTTAACCACACTTGTCTCAATCGGTGTTTTATTCAGAACCTCTTGTAGCAGTGTTGAATTGGAAATAAAATTACGCAGTTCAAACCCGCCACGGCGATGGACTTCGACAATGTCATGGCAAATTCTTATGGCTGCTTCCTCTTGGTCAAAACTAATGACTAAATCATCCACGTAGTGTCGTTCCAATATAGCTGCTACAGCTTCTGGCTTCTGTTCTTGGTAGATTTCGGCGTTCTTGTTTTTTATGTATTCAGCACAGTAGGGTGAGCAGACTGCTCCAAAAATTAATGACGTCATGGCGTAATGTTGTATTGGCTGCGATGTAAGTCCGTCGCGCCAAAGGAACCGTTGTGCTTGTTGATCTTCAGGTTGGATTCGAATTTGTGAGAACATCTCTTTAATGTCGGCTGCCACTCCAATGGCACCATTCCTGAACTGTAACAGAATAGCAATGAGTGGATTAGTTACTTCTGGACCTTTTAGCAATGAAGTATTTAAAGATACTCCATCCACTGTTGCAGCGGCGTCGAAAACTATCCGCAACTTTTCTGGTTTGTGCACGGTTTGTACTGAAAAGTGCGGCAAGTACCATACTCTTTTTGACTCGTTCTCTATTTCTTCTGGCATTAATTTTCGAGCATATCCTTTCTCCAAATATTTGTTCATTTCATTTCTGTATTTTTCAGCATAAATTTCATCACGTTGCATTTTCTTCTCAATTCCCAAAAGTCGTCTTTCTGCCATCTTATAGCTGTTTGGCAACTGTACGTTCTCTTTCCAGAGTAATCCTATCTGAAATCGGTTGTCAACTTGAATAGTGGTGTCGCATAAAATTTCTCGAGCGCGAATATTATCTTTAGATTCCAGCAATTGCAAATCGTTAGTTCCAAAATGTTCGGTTGAAAAGTACTGTTTAACCAATTCGTGAAGGCTGTCTGTTTTAATGTGCATAACAAATGACGTGTCTGTCTTATGATTGGTCGGCCCATAAGCCAACCACCCAAGTTTTGTGTAAAGTCCTATTGGCTGTGTCGCACCATTAACAATACATGTTCGTGACAATCCCAAATGTGCGTTATCTAGCCCAATAAGCAGGCTTGGCTTAGCATCTTTGTAATCAACTATTGGCAAATTTCTCAAGTGTTTATATTGATGTCTTTGGAACGATTGTCGCGGCAGGTTCAACTTATGCACTGTCTGTGCTCCCTTTATTGTGTATCTTACTTTGTCCTTACTATCAGCAATCTCAAAACTAGTTTTTACAGACATTTCTGTGATTATATTTTGATCGTACCACTGCAGATTTAAAGCTTGACGTTGACCAGTCAAACCTAAAGTTTTTGCCATATTTTCTTCCAATAATGTAACAGCGCTACCCTCATCAAACATTGCAAATGTTTCGTACCTGCCATTTGGGCCATAAAGTACTACAGGAATAATTTTGAAATATTGGCTAAGCAATCCTGATGTAGTACTGCAAGTGAACATTGGTGTTGTTTTCTCTGTGACTGGACTTGACGTCTTGTTAAAAGTTGGCTGGCTTTTTACCAAAGCACTATGTAGTGTCTTGTGATGTACGCGTGTACATCCTCCAATATCGCATTTCATCTTTGAATCACAGTCTCTCATACTGTGTCCTTTTGACAGACATGAGAAACACAAATGGTTTGCTTTGGCTATGTCCCATCGGGCGGTGATATCGGTGTCATCACACCATGATTTACAATCACTTAATGTGTGATTTTCGTTGCATAACAAACACTTCTTTTCGATGTAATTGGTGTGAAGGATAGTCTTCACGTTTTTCTGTTTAATGGCATTCTCTGCTATGGGCAATCGGCTTATAATTCTAGCAAAGCTGCTTAACCATGTTGAAAACTCCGCAACTGAAGGATTTACAGACAACGAATCCGCATGTCGTATCCAATCTATTTGAGCATCCATTGGGAGCTTGCTGATCAGCTCGTCCAGTAGTATTGGATTTTCCAAGTGCTTAGTACAATTGGCAGATGACAAAAAGGCAACGACCCCACGTACCTTTGTAGACAAGACTATTACTTGATCCAATTTATTAATGGAGATTTTTGGGAACTCCCTTATCATGGCGATCTGGGATCTAACAAGTATTTCCGGGCGTCCAAATCGAAATTTAAGCTCTTCAATGACAGTTGGCACATCGTCGGGATATATTAGCATGGCTGCTACTGTTTCTTTTGCTTCGCCGGTAAGGCATTTCTGAAGTCGGATCAAATTTTGTCGATTGGTGTAATTGAATTCCTCTGTTGTGTCGTTAAAGTTGGCTATGAACAACGGCCATTGTTCAGCGGAACCAGAAAACATCGGTAAATCATATATTTTGACTGTAGATACTGCAGGCATCGCTGTTGTGTTTGTCACTGTATGGGAGACTGAAAGATTAGGATTAGCATTATTACTCCCAACATTTACACATTCTGGATTAAATTGGTTGATACTTAGCGGTGTCAAGTTCTTTTGTTTATCTTCTAAACGGTTCTCTGTGAATCGGTGGTTCATGTTCACAATGTCTTGTTGACCTTGTTTTACCATCGTAGTTAGCTCCTTCAGGCTAACTATAACAGCTGCAAGATCGTCACTTATTTCGTCTCTCTTTTGGACCACTGCCTTACTTGTTGAAGGCTTTTCATTGTCTTCTTTCACATTAGAGTTGTCACGCATTGTAGCGTCTAAAATATCGTCTTCACTTGAACTCATTTTGTTTGGCTTATTTCGCAAATTATATCGGTTCATCAGTACTACAAAGTCACAGTTCACTAATATTACACACCGGCAACCCTGGAGAATTTTATTTGCCTTAGGCGCGCTATGCTCCAACTCACAGCCTTTTTTGGTTCGCTCAGTGTATTCACTATTAGTGATCTAGTTCGGTACCTCAGAATTTAAGTCTAACAACTTTGTCTTTATGTATTTGTCACTCACACATATCACTCGGTATTTTTCTACATACATGCATACATGCACATATTTTAGGTATGTGGCAGATACCGTACGATTTTACCGTTACCGGCGTCACTTAACTCGGCGTCTCGACTAGATTTCAGGGTCACTGTACATTTGGCGATATGTACGTAAATTTTCGTGTGAATCTTGGCTCGTGTATACCAGTTGACATCTGCATAACACTTCGATTCCACACTATATATTCCACTGATCGTCGACTTTAAATTGAAAACACGCTCAACAACAAACGAAATTGAAAGATGTAAGGACCAGTATGAACGCTGGGCCCTAAAATTTAATGAAAAGACACTTGACTATGGTTTTGTTTGAACTTTAATAATAATGATTTTGTGGATAAGTAATTATTGAGAATATGTGATTAAATGACCGTTTTAAATTAAATTCAGATAAATTTCAGTAGGTTTCGGAGAGTTTCCGCGAGTTTCAATTTCGTGTTTTGTCGACGACCAGCTTCTTCATGACACTGTGTGACCATAATTCGATTACAATACAATAACAAAATATTTCATATGACTTAATCGATAACATTAGTATAAATTGGTATTTCGATCTTTACAAAGGGTAAGCCATAAAGTATATACATATGTATATACAAGTATACTATATTCTTGATCAGCATAGCATTTTGAAGTTTCATCAAAATCGGCTCACTACCACCAAAAATCTAACATATATATGTACCATATCTGCAATATCTTTGAATCTATTGAATTTTGAAAATTGGAATTAGCGATCAAAACAAATTGTTATTTAAATAAAAGCCTCAAATAGTTCGCAGAAAACCAAAGACCCGCAATGTCATTTATAGTATGTTGGTTGACAAGAACAAATTGATTTTTGGGCGATTTTCAGTAATTGTGCGATTTCAGAACTGATTAAAACAATACGAGTGTTAAAACAGTCAATGAGTAACGATTCAATATTCTTCCCAATACATGTGTCATTGATGGTAAAAATACAACAATAACAAGAAGAAGAAGAAGAAGAAGAGGAAGAAGAGACATACATATCTGGTATCGATTTCAATTGAATTTTAATTACATTTCGATGTCATATGTGGTGGTTTTCGGTTTTCCCGTCACACCGATCCGCTTCAATGATATACACCAGCTGTGCGTGAGGGAATCGGAATCGGAATGGGAATGGAAATGGGAATCGACACAGACGGGGCCTGCCATTGGACCATCTATTTTTAGACCAAGCGATTAGCAGCCAATGGCAGGCAGAGGCTCTGCAGGCACTTGGAAAACGCCAGATTGTCTAGTCGGTTGGGCCACCACGAATGTAACAATATTTTCAAGTATTTCATTCTCGAGTTCTGGGCGCGCTCGGCCTTTTGTCAGCTCTCAGTTACATTCGCGCATCCTTCAGTTGATAGCAGCAAGTGTTGCTGATAAGACGTGCACCGTGAAACTTTTAAAAATACTCGTAATCGTATTCATATTCAAATATTTGTGGAAGCGTGCCAAATAATAATAATAATAATAATAGTCTCAAATATGCATATAACGCACTGTGAGGAGCCCAGCCATGCCGTCGGCGATACAGTGACGATGAAGGAGCGCCGTTTGCTTCGCACCCCAAAGTGTGCGCGTTGCCGCAATCATGGCGTCATTTCCTGCGTCAAAGGACACAAGAAGCTGTGCCGTTGGCGCGAGTGCTGCTGTCCCAACTGCCAGCTGGTGGTCGATCGCCAGCGTGTGATGGCCGCCCAAGTGGCATTGAGGCGTCAGCAGACAATGGAGGCCCTGGAGGCCACAACGTCCCCTACATCCCAGCGCAGTAGTGATGAGGAGGGTGTCGAAATAATGGATACATCGCCATCAATGCTGGTCACTACTCTGGCCAGCAAATGCAGCACACTGGCGACCAATTCGATGCGCACACGTCAGGCTCTGATTGCCCAGAAACGTATCTACAAACAGCGCCTCCGAACCCTCCAGCAATCCACCCTCCACATAACAGCGGCCATGGAAGGTGAGTCTAACTTCAATTCCTCCACACTGTACCTTCGAGAGAGATCTTTTACTCTCAAAACGGCAAGAATTGATCGCCTTTCAGTTGAAACCCTAATTTAAAACAATAATAGTGCTATCTACAATTTTCGATCTATAAAACTCCATGTACGTTCGCTTTGGGGCCGGAGCTATGCGAATATCCTGATTCTCTTTAACATAAAGTATATTATAATTCGGTTGTTATATAGATGCCATTTGTACTATCTTTTAGTACACCAGGAAAGACCTTTTTTTTGTAATTTCTTTATAAACCAACAAGTTTACGGAAACCTAATCATTCCTACAAGTATATCCGAATAAATACTATAGTAGGCTGACAAAGCTTTGCCGCATTATTCACTTTAATAACCTGCTTTGATTTAATTATTTTTATAAGCAAACAAGTTTTTTAAACAACGCATATTTTGATCGTTCCTATGGCAGCTTTATGCTACACTGATCCGACCTTGCAACTATTTTGTATATCAACAAACTTTCCAATACCCAAATTGTCATATTTTTAAAAACAAGAACGTTTTCCATTAACCCCCTATGGTTCCTTTCAAACTTTGTCATATCCTTGGATATGCCAACAAAATTATCCGTGTCTAATTTGAATGTGATTTCTGTGCACAATATATTATACAACTTTTATACAACAACTTTTTTGCTGCTGATCATTCCTATGACTACTATATGTTATGGTATTTCGTATATATTGTTATTTCGTTTATAATGCCTTAAAAACAAGGAAGCTATTGCAAAATCAGCTATTAGTTCATATGGTAGCTATAGATATGTGTAGTAGCCTGAACTCGAACTCTCCACAATTATCCATTATAATACCCAGCTCTGCAATTTTCTATTTTATTCGGATACCATTACAAACACGAAAGTTGTGCACATAACGATTTTTTCTCTGATCGTTCTATGGCAGCTACTTATGGTTAAAATTTAGGTAAAATGTTTTCAAATTTTATAGAACAACCCGATATCAAATTTGATTCAGGTTTCTTGAAAAATCAAGAATATTCCAGTAGAAAAGGGGACATTATAAAATCTTAAAAGTAGGTAAAAGCCCTATTCAAAGAGAAGCATACAGGTGGACAAAAGGAATGTCATGCGAATAATTTGCTTACCGCACCGTTTTCGGGGTATATAATCTTAAATTCCATCATATCGGACAATATATCTTGCCTAATATAAAAAGCAACAGCTTTCGTATGTACATATACTTATTGGTAGAAAACTGTCTACTTTAAGATTTTCTTATACGAATATATTTTCGAGTGTAGTATTATTTGGCATAGGATATTAGGCCTTGCTTTCAATACTATGATAGAAAAATGATCTTAAAGCTCAATATTGAAGTCAATAGCCAACTAAGTCCACAATATGCAGTTTTAACAAGGACGTCCTCCTTCAAAACACACTATCCTTATTGGTTACAAGATATTGTGTATAAACATTTGGGCTAAAAACAAACTCTTTTGCTACCCGTTTGGCGTCTTGAACTCAACGCTGAAGCGAACAGCATGCGGTGCCAGACTGTCTGGCCTCGACGCAGACAGCATGTCTGGAAAACGTGATAGAGGGCCAGCCCAGCAGGCACTTGAAATGCGAGATTCTGTATATGGCTGGTCGAGCAGATCGGGCAACCAACGAGCCGGGCAGGGCAGCCAGTCAGCCAGTCAGGCAGGCAGGCAGGAAATGTCTGATTCATTGCAATAACAACAACAGCGAACAAATTGTTACAGTCGTCCGAAATTTTAATTTGGAAGGATCGACATCATATGCCCGCACATTTTAAGTGCGCTGCTGAAAGCTGATCCCCGAAAACGGAAAAACCACTTCAGACAATTGGAACGAAATGTGGCAAAAGTAACAAAAACACAATGCTGGCTTATACAAATAATAAACCAAGAGAGGAGAACTCAAACACTCCATCTGGTTTCCATGTAAATCTGATCATTGCCACAGACAATTCGGAGCCATGCTGTCTGAACGATCGGTCAGTCCGGCTCAGGTTACGCCCAAAACTGTGCGACAAGCTGATAAATGCGCTGAACAAATTGAAACAATTGCCAGGCAATTTGTAAAAGAATTTTACGCCGACTTGGCAATAACATCAAAGTCCTGTCATGCTTATGTAACATCCTTACTCTTTCTTTTCGTCCACTTGCAGAGTACAAGCAACGATTTCCCACGTTCAACTCACCAATGCTGGAACGCCTACGCAAGCGTCGCGCCTTTGCCGATCCTGAATTGAATTATGCCATGGATGCTACGCTCCTCGGAGGCGGCGGCAATGGGCCGACCGCGCCCACCACCACGCCGACATCAGCGACGGGCGCGACAATGCTCAGCATTAGCAACGCCTACTTTAATGTCGCCGTGGCTTCCTTGGCCGCTGCCACGCCCACTGCGCAACAACAACAGCAACAACCGCAATATCAATCAATGCCGCGCTTTTCACACACGCCCACGCAATTGACAACAACTACAGTGAAGAAGCCGAAGCTGAGTTTTTCGATCGAGTCGATAATTGGCGTTAGCACGTAATGAATATGTACGACAAAGCGTTTCTGTACATAATACTCTCTATTAATATAAATACGTTTTTTTTTAAACTTAAACGCGCCAAGAAAAACGGTCTATGAGTGTCGCCATTCACTGTCAACTAAACAATCGGCGCGCGATACATCAGCCTATCGAATATTAAACGACTATTTTAATGTTTTACCTCAAAGCCGCCCCTCCTATCATTCTGTAAATATTACATTAAGCCAATTTTCTTTTTGTTGCTTCAACAATATACATATATGTTTTTTTTTTTAATAAAACGTAAGATTATATTTTAAATCAAGATCTGGTATTAATTTATAGTATTGCTCTGCAAGCAACTATTGGGCTTCTCTGTAGAAAATCTTAAGGTGAAATGCGATTTCAATGTACATATAGTACATGCATACATATATTACTTGAGAGAAGACAATTTTAAATTAAACTTGAATGAAATGCTAGAGCCGAGTGCGCTCAACTAACACGCCTCCTCCTGGTGTTATACATTCGCAAAATAAAATTCTCCATTATTTCCAGTACTCAAATTTTTAATCTGTAGCTTAGGAAAAAAGTCTTATTGGCAGATTTGAATTTACCACCCAAAAATAAAAACGTACAAATTAAACTTCACGACATTAGAACAACACTGACTATGTGCTAGTCGGTGTGAACTAAATAATTAACCTGTTGGCACCGATGGCAGCCTATCGATAATTTGCTCTTGCCGGTCTATTCGATGACGACGGTTCATTGATAGGAATTTTTGTAAAACATGGTTACAATATTTTACGCCGAACCCGAATTAGTCATTGGACTTAATCGCAAGATCTTGTTTTTAAATCCAAATGATTTGCAAATTTTCAAGGAAATCGAGCTGTCCAAGGACTTGACTACATGTGGTCTGAAATCAGCCGACGAACCACCGCCTGCCGCCAATGACACAAATGAGACGACCATCACCAGCGATGAGAAAGCAGCAGCTGCTGCTTCTGGTAATGCAGGGGGTGCGGTAGTGGAAGTGAGCATACAGCAAGTGTGTTACTCACCGGACCGACAGTTTCTGGCTTTGACAACAGCCGGACAAAAGGCATTATTACTCTACAAAAGCCGACCAGAACATGCGAAACTGCTCTCGGTGCGATCCTTGGCGCGTGCGTCTAGCGCTCTTGCCTTTGCCAGCGACAGCAGCTCTGTGTTGGTCGCTGACAAGACTGGGGATTGCTATCAGTATGACTGCTGCGATGTAGAGGCAACGCCACGAATGCTATTCGGGCACTTAAGCATTGTGTATGACATTTTGTGGACACCGGATCAAGGACACATCATTACATGCGATCGCGATGATAAGATACGTGTTACTAATTACCCTGCCACCTACGACATACACAGCTATTGCTTGGGCCACAAGGAGTTCGTGTCGAGCCTAGGCCTACTACAAGAGAGGGACCTGATCTCCGTTTCGGGTGACAAGACGCTGCGTGTGTGGAACTACATTGAGGGCAAGCAGCTTCTGGAGCATGAGCTGCCGGCGCCGGCAGTGCGTTTGCAAATGGATGCGCTGGAAGGGGGCAAGCGATACCAATTGGCCATACTCTTCTATGACCATAGCGATGCCTTGGGACTGTACGATCTGGAGCGGTCTGCGGATCAGAGCTGGTCAGTAGTTAGTGAACGATTCGTGCGTGCCGATGCTGGTTCATGGAACTTCAGCAATTTCGCCATCGCCGATAATCGCATTTATGTTGCGGGAGCGACGGATGAACGTCTCTCGCTGCGCGTCTACAACAGAAATGATGGCGAGGCGGCGACCTCTGTGCCCGCTGGCTGGCTGGATATGGTGCATGAACAGTTTTCCGAAGATGTTTGCATTCCCGAGGACCTGTCTGTGTGGTTCAAGAAGCGGTACGACAACATCAGCGAATACATGGAGCGCAAAAAACGCCGTATTGAAGACAAGCAGCAGAAATGTTGACAGAAACACAATTTTCTATCTCTTTCTATTTAGCAACATTTATTTTTATACGATGAAGATATTAAATGTAATTATGTTTGTGTGATTTAACACTTATGTGTCTTAAAACTTAGACTGGTTTGTAATCCAATTTGCTCTCGAGTTTCTTATTATCCGATACCTTGCGCACTGCCTTCATAAAGTCCTCCTGTATCACGTATTCACGTTCGGCTCTGTAAGGAGATTAACGATCAGTTGGCGATAGTGTGGCGATGGGTGTGTGTGTGATTTGGGTGTATCATCCAGTGCAAGCACTATCAGGCATCAACAGAATTGCGTATGTTCTTAAACCTTTCTACAAGAATACTCCCTGAAGCGGTACTCCGAAAGAATGCTCCAAAAATGTATAATTTTGAGTTCCGTTTAGTTCAAAATATAATTGCATTCACAATTCTTAAGAGTTTTTTCAATAATAGTGACTGAGTGTTATTTGGATTGTTCCAATTTTTTGTTTTGTTTGAAACCTAATTATGTGCGTTTCCAATAAACTCCAGAAGAATGCCGTGGGCATGTCGAAAGAATATTCCAAATTATTAACATTTATGAGAATTCTTAAATAAATTATGCCTTAGCTGTTCCATAAGAATGTTCCGACATGCTACAATTTCTACAAGTTTAAATTAAACTTGTTTTAAATTCGCATAAATTTAACATGGATACTGCATGAATCGTTCCGAAATATTGTTCCACTCGTATTGTTACACATTTGAGTTCCGCTTCATTCGAAATCTAATATATTCTGACTTCCGCACAATCTTTGTTTTTAAAAGCGTAACCTCTGAACAGAAACCGAATCAAACAATTGTGCACTGATCGAACAAAAAGTAATTGGGGCATTCGCAAAATATATATACATATATATATATAGCTAAGTATGCTTAAGGTGGGTATTTTTGAAAACATATTGAACATGATTGAACTTTTGATTAAAAACAGCCAAATATACATAATAATTCTTCAAAATAACACAACAAAAAGGTGAAGAGCTTACCTTATGGCAAAGAGGCCCGCCTCTGTGCAGACATTTCGCAAATCCGCCCCATTGAAGTTGTCCGACAGCTTGACAATGGCTTCGTAATCGATTTCTCCGTGCTTCGCAATCTTCAGCGCATGGATTTTTAGAATCTCCAAGCTGCAGAGAGAGTGAGTCCGATATAGAAGGCATTAGTGCTGGGCTATTAGTTGGACGACTGAATAATCAACTTACCGTGCTTGTTCGTTGGGCAGCGGAATCTCAATCTTACGATCCAAGCGACCAGGACGTAGCAATGCAGGATCCAATGTATCTGGGCGATTCGTTGCCATAATCATTTTAACTTGACCCAATGAATCAAAGCCGTCCATTTGATTGAGTAACTCCATCAATGTTCGCTGGATTTCACGATCGGCACTTGTGCCTTCTGAAAATCGCCGGCCACCAATTGCGTCGATTTCATCCATGAATATAATGCAGGGCTGATGATCACGCGCATAATTAAACATTTCACGTATTAAACGCGCACTTTCGCCAATATATTTGTCGACAATGGCCGATGATACAACTTTCAGGAAGTTGGCATCCAGCTGGGAGGCAACGGCGCGTGCCAAGAGCGTTTTTCCCGTGCCTGGTGGACCATAGAGCAGGCAACCCTTTGGCGGTGTTATACCAACGCGCAGGAATAGCTCTGGATTGAGCAACGGCAGCTCAATTACTTCGCGCAATTCGCGAATTTGCTCGGTCAGGCCACCAATGGCCGAATATGTTACATCTCCAGGATCCTCGTGCGACATATTGTACACCAAGGGATCGACTTCTCGCGGCAGATATCGCATTATTGTCAGAGTGGTCATGTCCAAAGCGACACGAGTGCCCGATTTCAACTTTGCCTTGTCCAATTGACGGCGGCAACCAACCACATAGCGTGGGCCGTTGGTAGCCTTCACAATAACTGCATGGAAAAAATAGGGATATAGATGGCAATCTAAAGATGATAGAGAAGCCACTTACACTTATCTTCGGTCAATTGTTTCAGCACTTCTCCCACTATTTGGCCAACACTCTGCAGTGCCTTTAAATCGTTTTCCGACTTGTCATATAGCTTGGTAAGCTCCTTGATTTCCTCGCGTTCTACAACATTCAGAAGAAATTCCGTAATTAGACATACTATGTACACAGACGGCTTTACATACTTTCTTTGAGTCGACCCTCAACTTCTTTGTGTTCCAGGAGTTTCTTTCTGTAATCGGTCAGCGCTTTCTCGCGCACACTCTCGGGGACTGCGGTTACGGTCATTTTAACTCGCTAAATAAGATAAATTTAATTTTTATTAACAACTTGATACTTTTTATTGAGAACGTTGTAGTAATGAGTTTGCAATTTCCTTCTCGCTTATGTTCACTTCTTCTTCTTCGCTAGCGCAAGTCACAGCCGACCGATAGCGATAACGATCAGAGCTGTCGCGCTTCTATGTTATCGGACGTTGCGTAAATGTTTTTAAAACTTTTTCCATATATATATGTACTATACGTTGCAGATTTTTATATTGGGAACACTTCATAATGTAAGACGCAACCTATTCGATTAGTTCCGCGCTCTAATTATTCGATAAGCGCGCCTCCTATTGCTAGTGCATAGTTCTCGGATTCGTCACAATGCCATTGTCTGCACAATTTATCCGCAATTTGCAGCGCTTCCGCTTGGTAACATTCGATGTCACAGACACATTGCTGCAGCTGAAGGATCCGCCCGCCCAATACGTGAGCACGGCGACAGCCTGTGGCGTGCCAAACATAGACAGTAAGAAGCTGCAGCTTTGCTTTCGGCAACACTTCAAGATCATGAGCCAAAATCATCCAAACTTTGGACGCAGCACACCAGACATGGGTTGGCGATCCTGGTGGCTACAGCTGGTGGACAATGTGTTTCGCTGTGGCCATCCAGGCATCGAGGAGGCGAAACTTAAGCAGATTGCCGAGCAATTGTTGCTGGTTTTTCGTACGCGAGCCTGTTGGACACACATTGAATGTGCCGGGAATTTGGTTCAACGAATGCGTGATGCTGGCAAATGTGTGGGCGTCATATCCAATTTTGATCCCTCGCTGACGCAAGTGCTCGAGGAAATGGAGCTTTTGCATAAATTCGACTTTGTTCTCACGTCCTATGAGGCCGGTGTTATGAAACCAGATGTGGGCATTTTCGAAATACCGCTGAAACGCCTCAATATTGCACCAACCGAAGCCCTCCATATTGGCAATAAGTACGACATGGACTATACAGGTGCCCGCAATAGCGGCTGGAGCAGCTTGCTGGTCCAAACTGGCCCCGAGGGTGAAGTTTCAGGCTCAAATTTGGATGCTGAAGCAGTCGGACACACGTTCGCCAGCTTGCGTGAAATGCTTCAGACGCTGGAGACTAAGCAGATTGTCTGGTGACAGGATAATATATGCATAGTTATGTTGCCAAAGATTTCATACTTTTGACGTGATTTTTATAAGCTTTTGTGAATATTATAAGTAGATTTGTTCTTGAGCATAGAACTAAACATTGTACATAGGTGTATAAAATGCAATAATTTAAAATAACACTGTTTTAAACATTAAACTATACCTGAATGTCTTAACCTATGGAGCTACGAATAGTCTATAACTATATACAATGTAATGAAGCGATTCCGTTCGTGGAATCGCAAATGCAATACAAAATACTACATAAAAACATTCCACGCCTATGTTTGGCCCTAAAAATTGCAAAACAAGCTCAATAGTATATGTACGTCTCAGCTATCTCGCTTTTTTGAGCTTTGCATAAACGTAGAAACAGATTAAAAGCGAGAAATAATATTCGGGCGGTCACCTACAATTACGTTGCATTGACTTTCTCCCCCCTCCTTGAGGGACTTACACGATTTTTACGTGGACTTTGTGTTCTTTGTCGTTGTTTTGGCGGGCATTTGTGCCTTTGCTGCCTTCAGTTGCTCCAAATTAAACTGCTTGCGTATTTCGGTCGACACCTGTTGTATCACAGCATCCGTATTGGCCTTTAGATCGCGTTCCAATACATCGATATCCACGTCCTTGCTCTCTAGTCGCATCTGCATGTCCGAGTAAAAATCACAGAACAGTACCGGCTCATCAGAGCCGTTGGGCGTCCGTGTGCTGCAATACTGGCCCCGGCGATGTAGGTCATCGTTGTTGGCTTTTGTGTCGAGAAAACGACGCGCTCCCAATGGCAACTGTTGCTGTATGAGGCGCTCGTGGTTCTGTGATATTTGGTATTTGAGTTTTTTGAACTCCTTCACCTCGTTTTTCATGTACTTCACATAACTATACATTTTCGATGTTTCCATGGTCAGTTTTTCGAGGCAGTTGATGAAGTGGCGCACTTGGCGTGTTCGCGGCAAGGTGCTGGGATCCAGCCGTTCAGCTTCATCGAAGTGTTGGAGAGAACGATTGAATTCATGCTTCATGGCCAGCGCAGAGGCCAGAACAATATGATTTTCAGCAACTGTAGGCGCATGCTCGACAGCTGCTTTGAGTATAATCTCTGCATCGGCGCGTCCCATCCGAAACAGAATCGTGCCGAGGCTGAGTAGCGGTATATCCTTGAAGGGGGGCGGTGCCAGCATTGTGGCCAGACGGGCGCAGGGTAAAGCCTGCAGTGCATTGCCACGCATGCGCCAATAATAGGAGCTAAGCGTGTGAAACTTCCACGACTCTGGCTGACGTTGCAATCCATTGACAGCAAAGCGCCGAATCAGCTCAACTGTGGATGCGCCAATGTTGGTATCCTGTTCTCGCTCCACATACGCAGACTCTGTGACCTCAGGCTGAAAGCTCTCCAGATGATCATAAGTGGCCGGACCCACACTCAGCTCATAGTAATTTTTACAGATGGGCTCAACCATGCGATCAGAAGCGGTTAGACTGCCAGCCGTGCCTGGGCTCGCTCCCGTTTCACCCTGTTCCGGCAAATTGATGCGCTTCAGTTGCTCGGGCGTTATTTTCAAATACGACATGCGTTTCTCAAGCATATAGTAGTCCATGGCGCACTTGGCCTGTTCGACCAAATCCTCGCCAAACCGCATAGAGAAGCGCAAATGATCGACGATTTGCTCACGTTTCCGCAACAAATCCAAATACGAACGCTCCACATACTCATTGTAGCGTATCTGAGCCAGGAAGGCGATCAGATTCTTCGGATCCCGCATGTGAAATGGAGAGTCAAGCTTCTGAACGATCCGAGCATCCTTCAATACCCAATGATTGCTCGCCGACGTCAGGCTAAGCACGTGGAGCGTCGCTAAGCAGCAGGCAACAATGACAAGTTTCCACGGACGCATTACCATCGTTGGAAGCTGTCTTTGTCTGCTAAATGCCACGAACCACAATGACTGACATATCCGACATACCGTTTTCGGTAAAAACAAAACCAAAGCCTCGAACGTAAATCAACTTTTGGTTTGTAAATAAATACCGCCGGCCGCTGCCTAAAAGTATCGATGCTGCGATGCTATAATAGTTTATTATCGATAAAAGCTCACTGGTATTTTCATTACCAGATATTCAGATATTCAATCCAGTTCCGGTGTCAATTTTATAGGAATAAAAGTAGAAATACTAGCAACTAGCTAGTTCCGTGGGTTCTTACATTTTTTTCTTTTACTCTGGAATATAAAATATTGTAATATAGCAAGTAAATACGTTGGCAGAATGTTCGATAGCATCGAAGCACATTGTACCATTTTATTAAAAAAAAGTTTGTAATAGTTAGGAAGGCTGGCAAATGACAAAAAAAACACACTGCTAAGTGAGATTGTGACTATTTGTCATGATATTGATATCGGTAGCCCTGGTGCGCAATGAACAGTGTTGCAAGCCCCGATAACATGTGCCATTTGGTTTGACAGCTGCCACAGCCTGTGTGCAAAAATACATGCAGAAAAGTACACAGCACATACAAATGCTAGGCAAACACACTTTTACAATTTATTAAAACGGGAAGCACTCGCACTCGCAGTGCCGAGCAAAATTAATCAGACGTGATTGAGTTATAATTTAGCGCAAGGCACAGCAGTCAAAACAAAAAGTAATAACATATGTATGTTTTTTCGGTCAATATTCTCCCAGCACACAAAGATACGTGCAAACACAAACACACCAAAAGAGAATACGCCATAGTTTAAAGTGTAGGTTGGAAAGAAAAACATATATTTAAAATACTTAAAGTTTCAAGTAATTAGTGGATATTCGTGAATTTCGATGTCGATATCGTGTTCGTGTTTCGGGTTCCTTAATGATTTAGTTGTTGTTGTCATCCAATAAGCGGTGCACGCGTCGGTGTCGGTCTCGAGTGCAATTAAAAATTTTATCCCTCCTGAAGACGACGAGGTAAGTTATGGGAAGAAAGGCGGTGCGGTGCGTCTGCCCTCTACCTCTTTCACATACAAATGCACATACGCATACACAAACAAACAAAGCACAAAATGCGTAAAAGCGCAAGTAGTTCCTCTCTATGTATGCATGTTACATATGCATACACATACATACATATATATGTGTATAGCTCAAAAAAAAAACTATCATAACTGGCAGAAGAAAAATAAGAAGAAGCGTTCGGTTGTTAATATGTATGTTCGGTGTATTCCGGTACGAAGTGCCGAAGTTTGTTCTGCAAAATGAGGCAACACCATGGACTAAAGACAAATATATGCATAAATGTATATACATACATAGATATATGAAAAGGAAAAGCATAAAAATAAGATGTGCGATGATATAAAACGCGAGTCATTCCAGCAGAAGTAAATGCATACATACATATGCAATACGTACTATATATACATATATATGTATGTATATGTACATATGTATAAATTTGCGAGCTTGTGACCGACCAACACACATTATACATGCATGCTAAATATACATACATACAACATACATACATACATACAGGCAGCAGCTATACATAATAAATAATTGTAGTAAGCGTATGTGTTTTTGTCACAGTCAGTCGGTTCGCCAGTTTGATATTAATGTAAGACATTAAAAATGTTCAGAAACATTCTGTACAGTGCATACATAATCCATATCGATATTTCATTATTTTTAAATCAATTTTGTTTTCCAGCGGATACAGACGCACTCTCACACGCACACGCGCACACAACAAAAACAAATTGTGGCGGCCACGGCAGCAGCAGATACCAGAAAAGCAGCGAAGCAACAACTAATAATAAAGCAGATATAAATTGTACGTAAAAAAATAGCGCTAGGAAAACCAACAACAACAATCAACAAAAGTGGACAAGAATTTGCCACTCTAAGCAGTTTTGTTGGATGAGTAGTGGTGCGGAGAGGAAAGTTTTGTGAAACGAACGAGGAATCACAACAAAAGAGGCTCTTGGTAAATAGTGGCAGTAGTGGCAGCGCTGGAGTGGAGCAGGATTTGGACAGAGCACAGAGAGAACACTGCGCCCGGATTCCAATGAATAGCAAACGGCCAAATAAGATGGAAATTGAAACAGATCAATCAATCGAAGCAATGGACACCCAAGAGGTCGAGATAATTACAAGCGACCTACAGCAACAACCACAACAGCAGCAGCAACAACAGCAACAACAACAGACTAATTCGCCACCACAACTGCCCAAATTTAAGAATCTAATGCATCCACAGTTGCACGCTGTCGGTGGCGTTACCCAACTTCCCAGTGAAAACGGCAATGTGCCGCCACAACAACTTTTAGCCGATAGCAGCTCTTCTTCGTTCATAAACGAGCAAGAGATGCCGATGGATGATGAGACGAAGGAGGATCAGTTCCGTTCCGAAACAACGTTCTCCTATACGGTGGAGAACATTGGCCAGCTGAAGAACCAGCACTTATCACCAGCCGTCTATGTGCGCATGTTGCCATGGAAGATAATGGTTATACCGAATGATCGGGCCCTCGGCTTCTTCCTGCAGTGTAATGGTGAAAATGATTCGCCCACCTGGTCGTGTAATGCAATTGCTGAGCTGCGTCTGAAATGCCACAAACCGGACGCACAGCCGTTTACCCGGGCACGCATCAAACACTTGTTCTACAGCAAGGAGAACGACTACGGATATTCGAATTTCATCACCTGGCAGGAGTTGCAGGATCCGGACAAGTGCTATGTACTAAACAATAGCATTACGTTGGAGGTGCATGTCATAGCGGATGCACCGCACGGCGTACTCTGGGACTCAAAGAAACACACTGGCTATGTGGGCCTGAAGAATCAGGGAGCCACCTGCTATATGAATTCGCTGCTACAGACCTTATATTTTACGAACTCGTTGCGTCTCGCGGTCTATCGCATACCCACTGAGGCCGATGATAGCACCAAATCCGTGGGTCTTTCGCTGCAACGCGTCTTCCATGAGCTGCAGTTTGGCGATCGCCCGGTGGGCACCAAAAAGCTGACCAAATCATTCGGCTGGGAAACCCTCGACTCGTTCATGCAACACGATGTTCAGGAATTTCTGCGCGTCCTTCTCGACAAGCTGGAGTCCAAGATGAAGGGCACCTGCCTGGAGGGCACAATTCCCGGACTCTTCGAAGGAAAGATGTCCTCGTACATTAAATGCAAGAATGTCGACTATAATAGCACACGCTATGAGACTTTTTACGATATTCAGCTAAATATCAAAGACAAGAAGAACATATACGAGTCGTTTCAGGATTATGTCGCATCCGAGACTTTGGAGGGGGACAACAAATACGACGCCGGCGTCCATGGCTTGCAGGTAAGTCAACAACAATTGCTGTTACGTCTATGCTAGGCCCAAAAATCGCCCCAAATTGTAAAATACAACCACCTTTACAGTCCCAGATAAAGTAAGAGACGCTCTATCGGTAACAGTACTTGAAATGATGTTAAATCTTAAATAATATTAGTATTACTCGAGCCTTACATATGTACATGCCATTATATTGAAAGACTATCAATCATTTGAAAAGTTCAAAGGTGGAACTTATGAAAAAGATAACTCAATCAATTAGAAAAATTATAGGTTATAATCAGAGATGAAAAATAGTGAAAAGATTATTGAATTATTAGAAAGGTTTTAATAACCCAAGATGAAAATAAGTAATATTCATTTGAATAAAAAAACTTTCATTTTTACGAGATGAAACGTATTTGAAAATATACTTTAAAAAAATCAAAGGTGACTAATTTTATAAAGATTATTCAATCATTTGACGAAATCATGAATAATTGAAGAATCGTACTACTTTCTTGGATATTACATATATTTAAACACAATTTATGGATTTTTAAGCTTTCCATAGCGTATGAATTATTCGTAATCCTATTTTGTTGTATTTTGTAGGAAGCCAGCAAGGGTGTCATCTTTACCTCATTCCCGCCAGTCTTGCACTTACATTTGATGCGTTTCCAGTACGATCCGATCACAGACAGCTCCATCAAATATAACGATCGGTTTGAGTTCTATGAGCAAATCAATTTGGATCGCTATCTGGCCGAGCGTGAGAAGACGCCAGCGGACTATTTTTTGCATGCCGTACTCGTCCACTCTGGCGATAATCATGGCGGTCATTATGTGGTATTCATAAACCCTAAGGCCGATGGACGTTGGTTTAAATTCGACGATGATGTGGTTTCCAGTTGTCGGAAACAAGAGGCGATTGAACAGAATTACGGCGGCATGGACGATGAAATATCCTTTCATGCCAAATGCAGCAACGCTTACATGCTTGTCTATATACGTCAATCGGAACTGGATCGAGTGCTCAGCGATATACCGGAGAATGAGATCTCGAGCGATCTGGTGGAGCGCTTGGATCTGGAGAAACGGATCGAATTGGTGCGTCGCAAGGAGCGCAACGAGGCCAATCTATATGTCTCGATTCACGTCATACTCGAGGAATATTTCGAGGGCCAACAGAAGCGGCGACTGTTCGACTTGGAGAAGACACATCAGCGACCATTCAAGCTAAAGCAAACCCAAACTGTGGACGAATTGGTCGATATGCTGGTCAAGGCATTCGGCGTGTCACGCGATCGCATGCGCATGTGGAATATGTGCACAGCCCAGAATCAAAAGTTTATCTATTTCGACTTTGAGGCCGAGGCGATGCGCACCATCGAACAGATCCCACCATCGCAAAAGCCCTGGGTAATCTTTTTGGAGCTAGCGTCGGCAGAGAACACCGGTCCGCTGCCGCCCTTTAATCCTAAAACAGACGCATTGCTCTTCTTAAAGTATTACGATGCGCGCAACAAACGCTTGAATTATATTGGTTGCACCCATCAGCCACTGAATCGTCGCATCTCAGAGCTCGTGCCTGAGGTGAATCGGAAGCTAGGCTTTGAACCCGACACTGAACTAACCGTCTTCGATGAATGTGGTGATAAGAAGGTGCCGAACATAAATGACACCATCGACAATGTTCTCTACATATCGCAGGATCATCTGCAGGGTCAGATATTGATCTTTGAACGCGAAAATGTTGACATGAAACTCGATTTGCCCACAGTCGAAGACTACTTTATGGATCTGGTCTATCGAATTGAAATCATATTCAGTGATAAATGTAATCCCAATGAACCAGACTTTACGCTCGAGCTCTCCAATCGCTACAATTATGAACAGCTGACAAATGCAGTCGCCGAGCGTCTAAACACAGATCCACAAAAGTTACAGTTCTTCATGTGCATCAACAACTACAAAGAGACAGCGGGAAATGCTGTGCCCTACACATTTAAGGTACGTAACTTTACTTTAAAAAAGGCAACAATTCTGCAACACAAAGCAAGTTTAAAGAATACCCGACGAAGTTACTCAAAATTGGGCGTTAAATCGAGCTCTTGTAAAAATTTCCGTTATTTTTCAATTTTTTCAATGGTTACGACCAAACAATCTTTTATTAATTTTATTTCTGTGAAATTTTCTATCGTAACAGTTTCATTCAACATGAGAGTGAAGAGAAATTGGGGTAAAAATTAAAATGGAATTTAAGTTCTCAAGAATTCCATACATAGGATCTAATACCCCACAGAACACTCCAGTACAAGTGCAAGTTACTGTAGACAAACGAAGGCTTAGAATAGTATAGGATGCTTATCGGTTTTTCTGACTTGCGGAATTTTTAAGCTAGTTCTACAATCCCTTTAAACAATGGTTTTACAGTTAATTCGAGGAAGTTTCTTATTTGCAACGAATTGAAAAATAAAGTTGAATCGATTTCGGAAATATAAACATTACTACTACGGAAACTTTTCAGCTTCAAATAGCCACACATTGGATTTAATAGAAACCTTTGCTTCTTTTTTTAGGGCACCATCAAGGATCTGGTCTCCTACAACAATAAGAGCACACCGAAGAGAATTTTCTATCAAAGACTGTCGCTGAGCATCCATGAATTGGACAATAAGAAACAATTCAAATGCATTTGGGTTTCGAACGACCTCAAGGAGGAGAAGGAGCTGGTGCTCTATCCCAACAAAAATGACACCGTCAAGGGGCTGTTAGACGAGGCGGTCAAGAAGATACCGCTACCCGAGAATAGTCGCAAGAAATTGCGTCTGATGAAGGTCGGAAATCATAAAATAGTCACCGTTTGCAAGGACGAAGTCCCTCTGGAGACGCTACTTAAGTCGAGCGAATCAATAACCACCACACAGGGTGCACAGAAGACCTATCGGATCGAGGAAATATCCATCGAGGAGGCCCAGCTGGCCGAGAACGAGATGCTCATACCGGTCGCGCATTTCAGCAAGGAGCTATACAATTCATTTGGGGTGCCCTTCCTGACCAAGGCGCGGCATGGCGAGCCCTACAGTGCGCTGAAGCAGCGCATACAGAAGCGCCTAAATGTGCCGGACAAAGAGTGGGAGAACTACAAGTTTGCTGTCATCACGATGGGGCATACTGTGGACGTGAATGACAACACTCCCGTGGATTTGGAGGTCTATCGCACCTGGACTGGCGGCCAGCTGCCATTCTTCGGACTCGATCACATTAACAAGTCTCGCAAACGCAGCTCGCTCAATTTCTCGGAGAAGGCAATCAAGATCTACAACTAATCTGAATTAAACATCCATCTGCGGATCCTATGGTTTGGCTGGCGGCCCCTGGCATTGGCATAATCGCAGAAAAACTCTACAAAAAAAACATACATATATAGTTATTATATGTGAGGTCGAAAGGTCGGGTTGCGCGTGCCATACAGACGACGAAAACTATGGACTTTTGCGGACTTGTGAGCTGTTTTTCTCTTTTTTTTTTTGTAAGGGGGGGGGGGGGGGGGGCGTCATTGAAAACAGGGAGACATTTTTTTTGAGTCCTGCAGAGGTAAAACCTCAGTGATGACGTCCTTTGGGGGAATGAGGGAGGTGGTCGACATGTAAAAGCCAAATGTGTTGCATTCCCCCCGTCCCATAATTTATACATTATATTATTTTATTATGATTATGCGTTTTCTTTTGTTCTATTTGCAAATTTTTAGCATAGGCTAGACATACATATATATATATATATATATATATATATGTTTATTACGTATACATATATATATATATACAAATATATTTCTTTATTTGAGGAATTGCCAAAATTTACAGTTAATAGTTCTACACGCTTAGATTTGCATTAGATGGCAATCTTTCTATTCTTTAGTCCCAACATAAACGATTTATCTCAACAACTATCTCTCAGCGTCTACAAATCCGAGTTCGTCCAAACTACACCCACAGCAGCAACAGTAATTGGGAAGGGCAGGGAACCACACTTCAGTAGGATTGACGAAAAAGGAGGAGCAACAAAACACACGCGCAACCCAACAAAAGAAAGAATGAAAAATTGAAAGTGTATAACGAGAGAGAGAGAGAGAGAAAGAGAGAGTCCTCATTAATAATTTCTAAATTAAAAGTATATAACTTCAATCTAGGCTTAGTCTTTTACATGTGAGTGTGTGTGTGTTTTCTATGCTATTACTACTACTATTATTATTAATTTTATTTTGTTTAAAGAAGAGCTAAAGTGCGACAAATTGTAAATAAGCGTTGTTGTATCATTTGGTTCGCCCGCATCGTCCCTCTAGCCACGCAGCAGAGCATGAGAGTTTAAGAAACCAGCAGAGGAGAAGGAAAGGAGCAGTAAAAGTTGTTTGCCAAAAAAAGAGGAAAAAACAAGAAACTACAAAATATAAGTCAACAATAATTATAATAATAATAACAATATGGTAAAAAGTAAACTTTGTTTCTCAAATAAAACAAAAAATTAACAAAAAACACTACTTATTTCGCTGAGAAACATGAACAGAGGCAGCGAACGAAGGGAATAGAACGACTAAAGAGAGAGAGATGGAGAAAGTCGAGCTATAAATACATATATATATACATATATATGCATATAAAAGTAATAATAAATCGGAAGAGCAAACAGCGTTAAAATAAAGGAAAACATTTGTTTCAAACAACAATTATTTGTGATTTTAAAACATGAAATGATAAATCGACGATGCGATGTAGTAGGACAGCATAATATTAATAATAATGATATAAATCTACTATAATAATACGAATAAAGTTTCATTTAAACACTAAAAGTTAGTGCTTTTTCTTTGTTAATTATAGCAACAACAAAGAGGATATATTTTACAAATTGCTACTCTATATGTACGCTATATTTAGTTATGCAGAAAATAATAATTACAATTATTTATGTGCATTATGTGCAAACAAAACAAAAACCAATAAAATACCAGCAATTACAAACAAAATCAACAAACTCGAATCCATTATTCAAATTTCCCCATCGTTGCTGGGACCGATTTAGATTCAGAATATAGTAAGAGATTAGTAAATGTGTTTAGTTTTTCTTCTACTATATGATATAGCACACCGATGTCAATGAAACTTCGCAATATAGTGTGTAATATTAAAAACGTGTAATTACAAAGTTTATTTATGATACCAAAGTGTTTTCTGTACGAAGACTGATTTTTTCACCAATCGTTCCTATGGCAGCCATAAGAAATAGAAAACCTTTGATGAAACTTCAGAAAATGGAGGCTATTTAAAACCCATGTATACCAATTTAGTTGTGATACGAATATAAACACACAAGTGTTGACTAATTTCTCACCGTTCGTTTCCATATAACATGATATAGCTATATACATATGTATGATTTGAAATAAATTTCATCTGCATATGGATATCTTGTTGCTAAAAAAAATCAATCGCGCCTGGAACATCCCTATCTATATTAATAACTTTTTCTTCCATAGAGAACTTGTTTAATAATTTGTATGTTTGTATATTTATTGGAAATACCTTAAGAAGACTTGGGCGTAGACTTAGAATTTGCGCCTCTTAAGCAGCTCTGGGCGCCAGTTAACGGGATTTGTCTCCTCACTAGCCTCCTCGTCCTCCTTGTAGACCTTGATGGTCTTATCCGCCTCGGCAGTGATCAAACGCGTGCCCGACTGATCGAAACACATGGCAAATATTCCGGCCTCGCTGTCCATGGAGCCGGGCTGCACGGGTGCTTGGAAGCGCTGGAAATTGTATCCCGTGCGCCAGTCCCAGAAGAACATGGTGCCATTGTCTCCGCCCGAGACTAGAACACCATCGGCATTGGCCGCCATGCAGTTGACAATTGCAGTGTGTCCCGAAATGTTTTGGATGAAATTACCCTCCGGACAACGCCACTGTTTGATATTGTCCGGCGAGGCAGAGGCGAACATATATAGTGTGGGGTGGAGGACAATGCTGCGCACGGATTTCTTGTGATTGGTGAGCGTGCAGACGCTCTTGCCGGCAGCCAAGTCCCACAGACGTACTGTTGAGTCGTGGGAACCGGTGATGATTTGTGGATTAGTGGCCTGTGCCACCACACTGGCCACCGTATTGGTGTGCCCCGTCAAGGTATGGACATTGGCTTTGGTGCGCATGTCCCAAATGCGCGCGGTTGAGTCACGACCCGACGTGGCTAACACATCGATGGTCGGATGCAGTGCTAATGAATAGACGGCCGATAAATGGCCATGATAGTGTCTGATGACCTTGTTGTATTCCAAGTCCCAGCATTTAACCTGACGATCCTCACCACAGCTGAACAAATACGGATGCTTTGCACTGACTGCTAGGCCACGCACTGTACTGACATGCCCGGTGAGCGACAGCTTTAGCTTGCCACTGGCCAAATCCCAAATCTTGATGACACGATCGCCGGCGCCGGTGGCAAACCATTCGTTGCCCGGCTCAACGGCAATGCAACGTACCCAGCCCAAATGGCCGGAGATGACACGTGAAAGCTTCCAGGGTGCATGCCACATCGGCTTTGGTATTGTCGGTGCTTTCTTTGGTATCAACTGCAAATTTGTGGCACCGAGGCCACTTGTATTATTGCCACCGCTATTCGGTAACGAGGCACGCACCAATGATGTGTTGGTATTGAATGACATTTTGTCGGCACCGCGGCGCGCATCCCCAGCATTGTGTTTAACCACTGCCCCCGCACCACCCGTCCCCGTTGATGTTGAAGATAAAATTGTTGTTGTGGTGCTGCCGTCTGTGATAGCAAGCGGTTTGTCAGCGGCATGCGCCTTGTCGGACTTCTTCCCATCCAGCGTTTTGACCACGCGATGTGCTACCAGCCCATAACTATCTCGCGTCTTTATTGACCGTCTCAGTTTTTCGCTGTAAACAAAACAAAAGAGTCAAAGGCTGCCGTGAGACACAATCCACTCTTTACTCACAGTTTCTCGTCGATTTCAGGCAAGTTGCCTTGATTGGACACAAATAAATCGTGCGTGCGTTTTAATGAACGAAAAATTAGCGTATGGACGCTATGCTTTTGTACATCTTCCATATTTAATTGGCCAAATAATGCATTAAACTAACACAAAATGCGGCTTTCGACAAGCCGGGAGACATTCACAATAGATACCGATAAGCGCTAACCCCACGCTGTTATCGGCTTATCGTTATCGTTTAATCGTAGCCTGTGTGATGCAAGTAATGTGTATTTTTAAAATGAAAAGCGGAACTGATCTTGCAAAGAGCTAGAAAAATGAAGACCCCATCCACTTATTTCCTCCCCAAACTATCAACTGAAAAAAGTCATATACACAGTTGTCGTTCTTTTCTCAAGCAAATCGTTTTTTGTTTTTTTTTATTAGTTAGCTGGTACCGGCGAACCAGAAGCAGCATTACTCGATGATAAAGATGAGGACGTTGGCGACACAGATGTTGATGACGTGCTAGCCGCAGCGTGCGTATTTTCCGGTACCGGCGACGGCCTCGTGTTGAAGAACTGTTTGATCTACATACGTACACACACACAAGCATGCACGCACACACACAGAGAGAGGGATACATAATCGTAAAGATAATGTCAGATAGGGGCCTATGAGAACAATCGATTTGTATTCTTACAATTCGTTTGATGTAGTTGCACGAGGTTTCGTTGTTCGAACTGGATACAACATTGTCCACACGGTACGGCGGTGAGATGGTTACTTCATTTAAAATCTGTATGTTCGGTCCCTGCCAGGACACCTCATTATACTGCAAAAGATAGTTCGTTTACTAGAGATACGTAAGATACATCGATTACGAACCCCGTATTGTTTAGCTATCGCTCTATAGAGTTCTTGTGCTTCTGGACTGACATCTGCGTTTTTCGACTTCAGAAAGTCCTGTCTTCTCTCAACTGTTTTCCGTAGACGCATTTTCACCTGCAAACCAACAGAGATATATGGCATGAATAGAAACTAGAAAGCTACAGTATTTTTGCGGCTGGCACCTGCTCCAGATTAAGCTTTTGCGGATCATCGATGCAATTTCCATTGCACTCTTTGATTAGTTGAACGTTGCTGCATAGAGAGAGGTTCAGCACATAGACATCACTCAATTCTTCCGCAGATTTCGAGTGGCATTCTAATAAGAGGCAGGGAAAGAAAAAGAAAACGCAAGAAAAGAGACGCAAGTCGATGTAGGGAAACCACTACTAAATGGCTGATTATAGAGTTAAACCAAAAAATATATACATATACATATGAATGTATGTATTTAACCAAATGCTTATCAACACTTTCACTTTGCAAGCTACCGTTACAACGTTACACAAGTAACGGCGTTTTAGGGTTGTATTTGATTTTCGTTTATTATTATTATTGTTATTGTGAAAGTGAGTGGTGAGAGGAATAAAAAGGATACTCAGTATTAGCATTTTTGTATATTGATCGAATGCGAGCACTTCGCCCTCCACTTCCTCATTAAAACAGGTCGTGCACAGAACTGTGGAGCCGATAGTAAAGCAGTCGTTTACTACATTAACAACGGCAGTGCCGACAGCGGCCATTTTTAATTGGTATTACTGCAAATAACTTTATCTTGATCGGTGATGGCTATAGCTAATGTGAGTGCGATCTCTGGCCGATATGGACGTTTATGCTTCAGTATTATGATTGCGATCGTTGTTCAGCCCCCTTTTCCTTGTCTCTGACAAATTGTTTACACAACATGCACACGTATGCGATTGCAATTTTTAAAATGTTTTTTGTGTTTGCTTGTTTGTTTGTTGTTAATGTAATTGAGCGCGCTGCGTTCTTATTGTTTATAACATCTGTTGCTGTTGCTTTTGTTGTTGTATCGGTTGTATGGTACGTTCACTTGCAACGCCAATTCGCTTTCACATTCACACGCTCTTGCCTCTTCTATCGTTTTTGCTGGCTAGCTAGCTGGCTCGCTGACTGGCTGGCTGATGGTCTGTTCGGTCGGCAACCAGGCAGAGGCAGGCAATGGCAGCAGATAGTACACACAATCACAAGCTGATTGCGCTCCGTGTTTTTTTGCTCAAATTGTGATGCGTTTGCTAAATATTTGGGCTCTGGCGGCTGCCGAAGTCGATTGCGCGTCTCGGAGGCGAATTGGATGATTTTGTAATTGAACAGTGGACAATATATAAGTGCTGCGTATGAAAAATTTATTGGTCAACACACGGAACAGCAGCCAAAAAGGAGGCAGAAAAAAACGCAGTGTTGCGTTTTATGCTGCAAGGGCTACACAGTTATGTTTTTATATGCGGCGATAGCGATAGTTATGCAATGTCTCTGATTGGAGTTCGACAATCGGCCAGTCGATTGCGCACATAAATCGATAGATTTACTATCGCACGCACCACACGCATCTGTACTATTTTACAGCATTTTACTGTTTTCATTATGCAGCCACACTTAAATATTCACAGCTTGTGTTTACCCAAAATTTAGAGTTAGCGCCAAAAATCCATTTCTATTTGCAAAGATGGTCGAGCCGAAGACACCGAAAACGCCGACACAGCAGAAACCAGCCCAACGAAAGCCCAGTGCTGACACATTCCTGCCCCTCAGCCGTGTCCGGACAATCATGAAGAGCTCCATGGATACTGGCCTAATAACCAACGAGGTGCTCTTCCTCATGACCAAGTGCACGGAACTGTTTGTACAGCATTTGGCCCATGAGGCGCATGCATTGACAGCCAAACAGAAAACCGGCACCGGGACCAGCGATACCGTCAAATACGAGCATCTGTCGCAGCTGGTAAATAGAAACAAAAACCTGGAATTCCTCCTGCAAATTGTGCCCGAAAAGATTCGCGTGCACGAATTCCAGGAAATGTTGCGGATGAATCGTTCCGGTGTCAGTGATGACGACGATGAGTCCGGCTCGGGCTCCGATTCGGATGAATAGGCCAAAGCGCCCTCTAATCTTCCGCTCTTCTCTCAAACACAAAGTTAGATGCATTTGGCAAACGGTGCACACAGAATGGGGGACAGAGTGAGGAAATGCAACTTTATGGAAATGGTATATTATTCCCGCTATAGCTAATTGTAATTATATTTATGTATGTATATCTCTCTTAAAATATTTTAATAAATTTACACATAACTTATGTATATCCAATAAAAGAGGTCTTTAGCTCTACGATGTCAGAACGGCTGCTCTCCTTTAAAAAGTCTTTTCCCGTTCGAAATCGGTTTGCAAGACTTAGTCTCTTCTGAATGCTAGGAAGTACGATCATAATTCATATTCTTTCTTTTTTGTTCGTATAAGTTAAGTTTCTCTGAGTGTATGTTGTTATCCAGCTGATCTGCCATTTGAATCATTGTCATATAATATCTATTCAAATGGCTATCACATGCATATGTATGTATAAGTTTTTATGTAATAATGTGGAACTACATACGGAACTCTATCTCCTTGAATTGCCTTTCAAATTATTGCCATCAATTCCCATCCATCAGATTCTCTTTAATCAATCCCCACTCGAGTGCTTTGCAAACTAAATTCAAATAGTCGTGATTTCAAGAGTACTTGATCATTTATCAAATATAACGATCAGATAAACATACACATATAATTGCACTTGAAATCTATTACAAATACAGATTTAAAAAAAGAAAAGAAATATAATTGGTCTGCCGATTCAGTTAGATCTTGAGATTAACTCCTGGATAGCCCTTGGCATTGAGTCCGGTCACCTTGTAGGTGGTGCCAGCGGGCGCGGGCTGATCGAATTTGGCCGCTGTTGTCACATAAAGTATATCCAAATCGGGACCACCGAAGGTAGCCGAAGTGATCTGCTTGGTGGGGAACTTGATCTCGAGCAGCACTTTTCCGGTGCTGCAAATAAAAACAAAAAAGTAGATTTATGAACACACATATGAACTAATCAACCGATTTCTGCACATTTTTAAAGATTGTCCTCGGCAGTTGCAATCCTATAACCTTGAAGAGAGTCTATATGATTTCGATCTATAATTCTATAATTATGAAGACAGCTTCTAATCGCCTACTACAGTAATTTCTTAGAATGAACATACATAATTGAAATAGAATGGCATGTCTGATATTTCCTACACAGACCAGCGCTGATACTTTCTGTAGTGTGACTATATCGGATGCTAAAAAGGCGCACGTAAAGCTGAATTGTGGATGTGGGACGTGAGACACTAGGCATAAAGAACCATCACAAATGCGTCAGAAATATCAGAAGGACTTCATCCAATTGAGTTGGCTTTTGAATCATTGTTGGCAATTCATCTTCATCAGTCCCCATTCGAAGGTATTTTTATGGGAAACTTGTTGTTAATAACCAATTCACTCATTCGTCAAACAGTATAATTAATAACCGCACGATTTCTCTACTTCACAAGAATATAGACCTACCGTGGATCCAGCTTGTAAATGGTGTGACCATTAAAGGTGGCCACATAGATGTTGCCGTCAGTATCGATGGTCATGCCGTCGGGCAGGAGATGGTCCTTGGGACTGGTTTTGCGCAAATCATAAATAACTTTGGGATTGCCTGTTGAGAAGTGTGAGAAGGGAATGTTGTAAATACATAGGTAACGATTTTGAGATATCACTACTTACTAGCTACGCCGGTCTCGATGTCGTAATCATAGGACTTCACCTCATAATCGGTGGTATCGATGTAGTAGAACTTCTTGTTCTTCTCATCCCAGGCTAGGCCGTTGGAGATGCCGACATCGGTCTTTACCACCGCCAGCTGCTTGCCCTGCTCCCAGCGATATAGCTCGCCATGGCGATGCTCGAACTCGTCCCCAATGTAGCGCATAGTGCCAGCAAAGAGACGACCTCGGGGATCGGTTTTGGCATCGTTGAAACGATTTGCCTCGAAGGCGGCCTGAACCTCGAAAAGCGTGCGCTCCACTTTCGCCACCGGAGCCACACCATCCCAGTTAACAATAACGACGCGACGGCCACAGCCCACTGCGAACTCCTGGGGCTTACCCTCGATGGGCAGCACAAAGCCGGCCAATTGCTCGCCCTCGATCTGGGCCCGATATGTCTTATTCTGTTTGTAATCGTATCGCAACAGGGCGGGCGCCTCAATGTCCACAAAATACAGACTCTGTCGGGCCGCATCCCAATGGGGACCCTCGCCTAAGCCGGCATAGGAATCGGGCAGCGGTTCGATCTTGTAAGACATCTGTGGGTAATGATACAATGATATATAGGTTAAATATTGACTTGAAGTCTTTTTTAAAATCTTTATTCCTTATTTAAGATAATAATTAATGTAAATTGCAACGAATAGTCCAATTCAAAAAATTTAAAAGCTTTTGTTTGCGAATAAAACTAAAAAAAATATCAAATTATTCGATAACAAATACTCGTATATAGTGAATATATTAGGGTATTCCTGCAACAGACTTTTCAGTCTGCGTTTTTAAAAATCTTTACATATTGAAGTCAAACTTTAGGAGGATGGTTTTGTTCACCAATTAAAGATAACCCTTTTATAAAACCTGCTTAGAATGCAATATTTAGTCGATGTTCATCAATTACGTAATCTTACATAACACTTTTTTACATTAGTTATGATTGATTAATAAAATGATGATTTAGATTTTTTAAGTTTTTCGGAAATTAACAAATAGTTTTAAAAATTTTAAAGCAGCATGCTTAAGAAATAATGTGAACTAAAGACTTTGAAATTTTGATGTGAAGTTTTTTAATCATTTTTGAAACTCTCTAGTTGGTTTATTTCCAAGATTTCTAAAGTTATTAAAAAAAATGGTTAACTCAATTTCCATAAGTTTATTAAATAATAGAAGCATTACATTGTAATGCATTTCTTAAAGTTAAGCAAAGTCATGATAAATCGAATTTCCTAGAAATAACACTTTTCATGTCAGAATGTCTTTCTATTGCCTATCAAAAGTATGCGTGAAGAGGCAAGAGCAACATTTTTGAGAAATTTTCTAAAACTCGAAAGCTGGTACAAATTTGTCATGATTGATTTTAAAATTCATAAACGATTTTTTCTTTCGTTTTTGCTTTCTAGCGCACTCATTTACGGGCTTTAAATGTATGTACATACATACATATGTATGTACATTTGTAAAGGCTAAGAAATAGTGCGCACAACAGTAACATCACACACACACTGACACCACATTACCGTTAGACACAGCGTGCCAATAAACGCGAGTATTCTGAGCACTGTCTGCATTTTACAGTTACTGCTGTTGCTGTTGTTGTTTTTACTAAGTAATGCTGACACGGCGCTCGTCTGATTGAATCTTAAGCTGCGACTGAAGTTGCAGCTCACGGCGCTGGAAGCTTTTATTTGAGGAACAACAACGACGAAGCAACAGCCAAGTTCATGCATCTGTATATGTATGTATGTGTGTGTGTGTGTGTGTGTGTGTGTGTGTGTGTGTGTGTGTGTGTGTTTGTGTGAAGATGTATGTATGTGTGCTTGTTTGTTTATTACAAGCCGCACAGCTGGCCAGCTGCTGTTGTGACGTCATGCCCTTCACTTACTCACTGCCTGCCTGAGCCGCTAATTGTGTGTAAATTGAAACTCTTTGATTTGCATTGTTGTCGCTGTTGTTATTATTATTGTCGCTGTTGAGCGCGTTTAAATATAATTGATATTTGTTATTGAAATGAAATTGCAAACTTGTAACTTCTCGCTTGAATTATGTTCAGTTACCAACTCTTTTAAAGCGGCCCTCAAAGACAAGGGGACTGAAGAATTGTAATTAAGTGCAATTTAGAAAAAAAAAAACTTCAGCAAAACGTCTTCGTCAAAAGTATCTTCCTATAATTTCCTTCACAAAATTTCCTTTCCAAAACCTTCAAAGTCGAACATATTTAACAACAATTACCATCATGTTAGATTTGACTTCTAAAGTTATAATAATCTTCAAGCAAGGGCGTTTGAAAGACTTTCAATATCATGTATGTATGTATGTACGTATGAGGGTATATTGTTCACAAAATATGAAACTTAAAGAAAAAAAAAAAAAAAAAATTCAGTATTGATAATTGAAAAAGATACGAGCATAGCTCAACAGCTAGTTATAAATTTTGTTGAAATACATTTTAAAATTAGCAACTGTGATCGGATCTCCTATTTGATTTGCAGATCCTACTATTCCGAGATAATGCAAGCACATTGAAGTTTATCTTTTCGATTTCGTTAACACATCCTTTTGCGTAGAACATACCTTTGGTATTATTAAGTTTTGGAGATCTCTCACAGAAAACACAGCGCGGACAAGCAACGAGTTAAGACTGAAGCTGAAGCGGGTAGCCAAGAATCTTTATATAGCCGATTCTGGCAGCAGCCGGGCCTATACTTCAATAAAGTCAAATGAATACGAATATATACTTGGGGCCCCACAGTCTCTGTATGTGATAAGCGCTCGTGATAAGGCCTGTTGACATAATACATACAGATATGTATACTCATGTATTCATATGTACATACGTACGTATGTATCCACTCATTGCGGAATATAAAACCAGGCTGGGGATCGCTCGTCTACCATTTTAATCAGTTCAAGTGCTAGTTTGCCCGATGGTGGAATGACAATACATTTATTTTATATTCATTCTTTTTTTGATTGGAGGGTGCGAATTCTCTGCCCAACCAAAAAGCGCGGCGATTATAGACATACAAGTAATGGGAAACTAATGAATACTGAAATCGGAATTGTATTAGCTTTGTCAAGCTGGTGCATTTTGAGAAGGTTTGTTTATTTGTACATAGATCAGAGAAAAAGTTTACAAATGAGTTAGGAGTATTAAATATTTTATTTAGTTATGATAGACACGTGGCGGGGGGATCTATAGAGTCCTCTTCTTATGCTAAGCACTAGATTGAATTTGACTGATTGCTTAGGTAATTAAAATGCCTTAGTTCCAGTTTCAGAACAGTAAGCTCCAACTAAATGCCAGTCGACTCCTACACAATTAACCGAAATGCGGACCCATAAAATATGTTTTACTTTTGAAACAAATTCGATCATTAGTACTTTAATTACCATTATTTACTCAACCTGGTTGTGGTTTGCTATTACTTTTCCGATCAAATTAAATTTATTTATTTTGTTTATTAAGCTAGCTAGTGAGTTATAACCCCAAGTAATATGTTCAACTTATAGTAAAAGCGAAGAAAGCCTACGCATTTTTCTACACTTCTCTGATTTTGCACAACAATTTTGAAGCCCCTATTCCTCCTAAGTGGTTGAAAAGGCTCTAAGAGAAAACGATTGCAAAATTTAAGTTTGAAATTTAAGAATATTTCGCAAATGGTGCATTAAAACTGCGTAGTGTGAAATATGTATCATCATTATACAAACATTATTTTTAATTAATCTTTTTTAATGTCATGGAATTTGTTCCAGGAGGTTAAACTGTCAATGGAGAATACTATTTACAAGTTTATGGTCGAGAGTTGTTTGCTTAAAACCCGAATATTGCACGACAAATTTTAGATGAATTAATAAATTTAAGCCCCCTGATCTATCTTTGTGTGAACGTTTTTTGTTCCCAAAACTAAAAACTGCAATAAAACGGCCTTTTTTAGATGACGTTGCAGCCATTGCAGCAGCAGTATTAAAACTCTATGGATAAATTTGTTGATCGTTCCAAACGTTATATTCAGTTAAATGGATTATATTTTGAATAAATTTTGTATTTTATAACCAAAAATGTCGGTTATTTTTGGAGCATACAAAAAAAGCATTTGATTTTAAGCAACAAGTTTTTGCCGGCAAGTTTTCATATAGGTTTAGATTTCCGGTCTAAAGGGGGTGATAAGTCGCTGTTTGCAAACACTGGGATAAATAATAAGTATTATTTATATTATATTAATTTAATTGCGCTCTTATCTCTCATTTGCATTCCACTGTGGAGGCGGCTAAAGGATGCTGGAATCAGTGGCTCGTGCTTATACTTGTATACATAATCATATGTGTTTATGTACTTTAAGATGCACGAGTATGCGTGTCTGCTCTTTTAGCTCTGCACTTTAAGCTGCTGATAGGCCCAAGAAGAGGGCGTCGAGATCAGCCCCTGACAATAAGCTATTTATATATAGTACAAATCTGTACATACATGTATAATTTGCTTCCTTTGTAAATTATGCGACGGGGCCCATTCTTATCGCGATATTCCACCTTCTGACTTGCAAGACAAATACGACACACAAACATACAAGCCTCGAATAAATAAAATAAATGGTCTTTTAATTAATTTGTCACAAGATTTATGGCCGAATTTGTGTTTGTTAATATTTTATTAGACATGCAAATCTTAATAAATAGCAAGTCATTCAATCGGACTATATTGAAAACAAATCGCTATTATATGTACTGGATGACGGTATAATCCGGCCATCCCGATCGCTTTACAATTCGTCAGTGTGGATTGTTCCACAAAAAGGCAGATGCCTCTGGACAACAGAAGTTCAGAATGGTAATAGATTATAGGAAGCTGAACACAGTAACAATACCAGATTCCATATTCCATATCTGAAATTAATGAAGTTCTAGCCCAACTCGGGAATAACAAGATATTCTCTGTTCTAGATCAAAAGAGTGGATTTCACCCAATCCCTCTGACACCCTCCGATTTCTCCGTTAATAACGGAAAATACGAGCTTACACGATTCCCATTTGGTCTAGAGAATGCTCCAGCAATATTTCGGCTACGCTCAATGCGATCACATCGGAAAAATATGCTACATTACATCGATGAGATTATCATATTCAGTAAAGATAATGAATCGCATATTAAAATCTTGGATATAATTTTTCGAACCTTGAGTTTTTTCAAGATAGAGTAGAATTCCTTGGGTTTGTTATTTCCGACAAAGGCGGGAAAACGAATCCAAAGAAAGTGGTGGCTATTGCCAACTATCCGCGACCTAAAATATTGAAAGACCTGAGAGCATTCCTTGGTTTAGCCGGATCTCATAGACGGTTTATTAGAGATTTCGCTAAGATTCCAAAGCCACTTAACTCTCTTTTAAGGGGGGAAGATGGACGAATGTCCAAAAGTGAATCTTCAATTAGACTCGTTAGAATGTTTAGTTATTCGTGGATAGACTGTTGTCAATTTTCAATGCGCCCAACCCAAGGTGGAAGACAAAGGTAACTCCCATTACTGTTATGACGAATTATGCAGTATAGATGTCGATTTCGGAGAAATATGAACAGAACCAATCAATCAGCATGACGAGAGAAATCGATCTAGACATGTCCGTCCCTCCGTCTGGATGAACGCAAGGATCTCAGAAACTATGAAAGCTAGAATAACCAAAGTTGGCATCCAGATTCTCCTAGGTCCGAGAAAGGACGATTTTTTTTTTTTAATTTTCCCCTCTCTCCCCCGCTACAGAATTTCAATACCGTCCACATTTCAAATGCTACCTAAACCAAACTTTGCACACATAATTTATATATAATTATCTACTGTTATTTAAAATTTAATTCAATTTGTGATTGCGTGATTTGCTCGCTCATGCAACAACAAAGAGGTACAATGTTTTATCAAAAAAAAAAAATAATAATAATAATAAAAAAAAAAATACTGTCAATTTACCTGCTAAAACAATGCTTCTTTGACTACCAAGCTTAGATCAGACAGAGGCCAGGTATCACTGTTTGTTAGTAGTTGGAAAAATTGCAGCTGTATTGTATTCAGAGTGCAACATAAGTGTATTTTTAGGCTTCAAAGAAGTTTATTTCATTAAGCATATGGTTTATTACAGTGTTCACTTGGAATATTTCATTTATGACTGGGACATAGTCCTTGGTTTAATACAACCAGCTTATATAACTTTGCCGTATAGGCCAGAGCGCACAAGCGGTTTAGGTGTATTGGTGTGAGGGAAATAAGGCAGAAAAGGATTAATACAATCAGATTGAGTATCTTTGCCGTATATATGGTTGTTAATACAACTTCTACAGGCCAGAGTTGCTCAAAAAGATCTTTAAGTATTAGTGTAACTGCTAAGGCTCCTTTGCCTCTTTTGTGGTTGTTTAAACTTAAGGGTTAGGGAGCATTAGCAGACGATTTGCACGTGGTAGCACAGGATTTGATTAAAGGTAGCAGGGGGTCTCTATATTGAGCTCTATTATTTATACTGAGAGGATTTTCAGTTGCGGAATAGCTTGGTATTATTGGAGTATGGAGAGGTTAATTATCTGGAGTTTAGTTTTACATGCATGCAACATTCGTGCAATTTTACGCAGACATACACTTACATATTTACACATGCGTGCTTTTACTCTTAATTATATTGTCTGTAAAAGTCAGATTTGACATTTGAAAGGATTGTACTGATAGTTTTGTACTTAGACCTTAAAGCTATTGACAATTTTTGAATAAAAGCGCTGCGTCTCAAAGTGTTCCATATTATGATAAGTCTTGGCTTTAACGTAGGTAGAATGGCGGCGATGAGTTCACGATTCAATACTGCTCATTCTTTTTTCCATGCCACTTCTGCCAGGCTGGTAGTCAGGTATGTACATCTTCTGTTGGCATTGCTAAGGAATAGGAGCATAAGTATAGTTTCAAAATGTCGTTAAGTCTGTGAATAGCATACCATTATAGCGAGTGCAACGGCCGTTACTGTAGCGCAGGCGACCGCATACAAATTACTATGCAGACCTGGCAGGATTCGTGAAAAGAATCTGTTTACTTTTGCGTTCAGCAGTCATCCGCTTTGGTTTGCTTTTTATGGGAACGTTTCAGCCTCTTATGAACGGAATTTGTTTATCCGGGATACTGACATGATCCAACACACAATTAAACGCGGTTGTTAACACACAATTCATTTTATTTACACAATTATTTGTATTGTCCTCTGAAGCAAGCAGAAAGACTTTTGGGATATTTGCCATCTCTGGCGAATGTCTATCGATAGCTTCACATCTGCCAGTGTGCACACAAAGCAAAAATCGTTCATACAAATACGCACGTTACAATACTTTTGAAGTTAAAGTACTTCAATCACACAAATTATGACCTTGCGAAATTTGTCAACCAACAACGTTAGCAAATCCCGTGTCGTTTTAATGCGAACACAGCATTAGTTTTGTAGACGTATTGAATTTGTGTTGACAAAACAATTTTTCAAATTTTTTTTATCAAAAACAAAAAAATTTTTTTACCGCAATTTAAAAGAGTCGCGAATTTTAGTTGCACTATGACAATAAAGTCCAGTTTTAACTCACTACTCATTGCAATCGTACCTAACTGCGAACTCGAAAGTTTATACATTATACTAGTTATTATAGCATTCTTTCATGCCTTTTCAAAGAATGGCATACGCGGCCTGAATAAGTACAGACTGATCACTCGCTTCGGGATTCAAGTGGTTGACAAGTTGGTCCTGCTTTACTTGCATCAGTGGAGTCTTCAAGCGGTGCTTCTCAGCATGCTTCTATTATTCTTGCATCCCACACATTGGATTATACGTCAGCGTTTGATCAGGTACTCCCATTCTCCAGATAAGACATTCTTTTATAATCTGAAGGTTGCAATTGTACTGCTGATGTTGATTGCATGCGATATTTTTGTGACTGTTGGCCCTTTGCTGTTCTGGCCCCTAAATGAGCTGCACTGGATCTTCATGATTGAGGCGGTTATGCTTTTCGCGAATGTGCAACAAACTGTGATGCTATACATCATATCCTGGGGCTCTTGGGACATGTTGAAGGTCCCCGCCGTCTTTCTCGATCTACGCATGCCCGTCTATATGCCACTCGCAATGGACTTCTGCGAGCTTTTGTGCTCGCTAATGATATGTTTCCTCAGTTGGCCAGCTGTGTGCTTGGGAAATTTTCTGGGAAGTTTGAAACGGCTCTGTCTTAGTTGCACACGCGCCAAAAAACTTCACGATCAGCGCCATCGCATCGTCATCTCCTGCCTTAATGTGCAAAAGTTTGAATTGGTGTGCGTTGTCGACAATTGTACAATGTGCTTAGAGAGTGTGAATGACGAACGTTCGAAAGTACTTCGTCTACCATGTGGCCACTTCTTTCACGAGAAATGCATAGTGCCCTGGCTGATGCAGGACCTCTGGTGCCCGAATTGTCGGGATGAAGTGCCTCTAAAGATTAAGCTGAACGAAAATCATGGTTGGAAATGGGAAATATTGCATGCAGTCACTTCGACAGACATTGAAGATTATATGGTTATGGTCAATTATCCGCACCATCCATATGAACGTGATCCACTACCATCCTATTTGCGACGCATGGCGGAGCTAAAACGCAAGAAACTCAATAGCAACATAATTGTAATCGTGTTACGTATTATTTGGCACACAACTCAAAACGTATTTAAGTACTTTTAATGTTTTATAAATTGTTTTATAATTGTTTTTTATTATTATTTTATTATATTTATTACAAGTTCAGTGTTTAAATTAAAAATACGCGCAAGCGCTGGTAGTCTCGATACATATCGATAGCTCGCCACGCCAAAAGCAGTGTTGTGCATGCGTATTATTGTGGATGTTGTGGATTGCTTGTTTCGAGTCAGCTGCGCCTATTGTGGATGTTGTGGTCTGCATTTACGGCTGCTGATTTGTGTCTCCGCTAAGCGCTAACATTGAACTTTTTTTTTTAAATAAAAGCCTACAAATGTAGGAATGAGTCTATTGTGTTTGCCACCAATGCGCTCAAGCCACTACAATTCCAAGGAAAATGACTCAATCGAAATAGGCGAATGCAATGCATCAACATAGCCATTATCATTATCACAAACAGCGACAGCGGCATCGGCATCGGCATTGCCGGCAACAAATCTGTTAACAGTTGGCAATAATTGTGCAGCAAAGCCAGCAGCCCCTCATCGTTGTCGTCATCGTCGTCATAATTTTAGTGGCTGCTTTGTCCCTTTTATGTTGTGGCAGAGCATAATGTTTGTTGCTATTTTTGGCACGCTGCCGTTTTATTGTTTCAGGCCATGTGTATGCTGCGAAGATCGAGACGGACTCTGCGACTGCGACTGCAATGCATCGCATCGCATCGCAGCGCATCGATGTCATCAATAGCATTAATTTTGGTAAGTGCGTGCAGGGCTAGTTGTGGAGGAGGAGGAGAGGAGAGGGGCGAGACTGGGCTTTCAACACACACACTCAGAATCAGACACTGTGTGCCAAACGATTTTTATGGCACGACATTTCCTTGTGGGCACAGTGTACAAGTAGGATACGTACATATGTATGTACATACATGTATGTGTGTATATTTTTTTGAATTACGCGCTCAATTTCCGTTGAATCAACACAAGACCCATTGGCGACGGATGTTCAAACTCTGGCTGCTGCCAGGGTTCATAATTGATGGCCTGTCTCTGTGTGTGTGTGTTGTATAATATTAATTAGACGGGCCCGGCACATCAAAATCAAATTTGTAGCAACAAGTCCTTGAAGACAACTGCTCCTCCTCCTCCTCCCCTTCCTCCTTTGAAGTTATTGCTTATCATTTTTTTTTATTGTTGTTCACGCTTCATAAAGGCAACAACTTTGTTGTGCAGAAAATACTTCAGCTGTCAACGCGTGCCTTTTGCATTTGGTGTTTTATTCCTTTTATTCCTTTCTGCGAGTATACCCTGCAACCGGGAAAGATCGCAAATGAATGCATATTTTCATTACGAATTTGTTATGAACATCAATCTTAAGATTATTATGTAACTTGAATGTTACTTGGCTATGGAAACAAGACGAAGAAGAAAGCTTTTCAGTTCGATTAATTGCTTAAGTCAGCTTACGGCTTTGTTGCAAGATCGAAAAGATCGATGTGCAAAAGCCAGAATCTTATTCAGCTCAGTAGAGTATGTTAAAATCAGATACACGCGACTTTAGGAACAGAATGTTATGTATCTTAAAAGAAACATACTCGGGCAGCACGTGTAGACTTTTGTTTGGGGCGTGTCGCCAATATGTCAATATGTACTTGAGATGCCACGCAGGCGCGCGCTCTCCCCCACAAAAAACAAAAGAAGGGAGGGGGAAGAAACGAACTCAAGGTAGAGAGGAAGGGTTGACAGACTGCCACTTGAACTTGAAAAGGATTCGAATCGAATCAAACGAACCAAACGAAATTGTTAACTGTAACTCACACACACACACACTGACACCAACAGACACACACACACACACGTACGCATGCGCATAAACAAAGGTTCAAGTGTCAGCGAAGAAACGGGCCGGAAAATGGAAAGGAAAGTAAGGGAAAAAAGGCAAAACATAAACATGGTTTCACTTTCAAAGCGATTAGCTATGGACGCGCCCTGAACTTGTGCGGAAAACAAAAAGCAAACAAACAGCGACAACTGAAACAGCAACAGCAACAACGACAACAACAACAACAACAGACGCTGCCTCAAGTGTGATAAGAATAATAACAACAACAACAGCAACAACAATGACAAGAACAGAGACGCGAGCTGCGACAGCGCCACTTGAAAAACCTTCAACTTGGCAGCCATTTGACACCATTAGGCGCGCGAGGATCGGCATTCGGATCGGGCGGGATTGACAATTGAATAGCCAGGCGACACACCACACACCTACACACGCACACTCACACACGCACACGCACACAATTGTCGGGCAGCCAACCTACCGCAGTGCTTATGTCTGCAATAAATATTAAAATTGTTGGTTCACTATTCATTTTACAGTGGCATCCTCATCCTCATCGTCATACGAACATATTTCAATGATCGCCCTACAAATGTGTGTACGTAGATGGATGCACAGATAGGTTATGTTTCTAGCTAGGCATTAGCCTTTCAAGTGGGCCAAACACTATCAGTGGCAGACGGAGCGAGTAGAAACTACTTAGTCATTGATACTCGTTCAATGCATTTATCAGAGCTAAACATTTGAATGCCGTCACATACCAGAAGCAATAAAAAGATTGGGGAAGCACTCACTTATTGCTAATCTATACTTTGTACAACATTGTTTCATATTTTTTCAACATTTTTACATATTTTTATACCATTTTATATAAGTGTTTGTATATCCTTTTCATGTAAATGTATATTTTTAGACAGTTTTACATATTTTACACACAAGGTAGCGATAAAACAACATCGATCTTTTAATCCGAGCCTTAATCCAAACGAGAGCTTGTGGTATCAAGTGTATGTATGTATGTAGCTTTGAAGGGTAAAAGAACAATAAGCAGACACAGTGTACATACACTCTAGTCAATTCCACGGCCTATGCCAAAAATTGTTCGATTCTATGGCACGCCAATGTCTTTCTGCTATTAAAAAAAAACTTTTTTTCTTACCACTGGTTTCATTATTTTCGACCTATTGCCAAAAAGTATAAATATAAGCGCATACTTTCAAAAGTAAACATCAATTTGAAAGCAGAATGATAAGCTAATGGAATGGAATGGAAGTTACAAGTGATAGTGAATGTTTTATAAAGTACGTTTTCAGACAGACAACACATTAGTAAGCTGATCAAGTAAATTGTTTCGTTTAATTACCATTCATACAGTATTTAAGCATTGTGGACAACAAATGTTATTAGAATGGTTGATCAAAAAACGTCTATTAAAGTTATTAATTGCTGGCTAGTTCCATGGTGGGCCTTTGGAAAAGATAAGATACCTTTCATTTAGATATTCCTTAAGTATGAAGTATAAATAAACATGCGGCTGCCTTTGGGTGTTGCTAGGTATGGGTGGATATACTCGTTTGTATGTACGTATAAGTATGTAGTATGTATACATACATAATATATGTACATACGTTTATGTTTGTATGTATGACTGGTTGGACGACCGCACCCAAATGCTTCGCTGGTGCGTATGACATGTGGTGTTATCATTAGTTACGGCACTTTGGCTAATATGACGTACCTGAAGCAGAGTGTGGCTTCTTGGGAAGGGCACTGGATTGGATGGGGATGGGGGTGGGGTAGGGGAGACTAGAATCAATGGCATGGGCAGCAATTTCACACGTTTGTCAAAAAACATAATCTATATACGAGTATTGCAGGAACTGACAAGAAGACATCAAAGCTGCGACATTCATTAGTCACAAAGAAAAAAAAAAAAGAAAAAATGGAAAAATAAAACGAAACAAAATCACAAGAAATGAATGACGTGTAGTCAGTCCGTAATCGCACTCGAGATTAATAGTATCGCCATTGAACTTTGCTCGTGTTTGTCATAGAAAGCGAGAACTCACACCCAACTAGATTTCAGAACGCTATCTATTGGCAATTTCCAATAAGTGAAGTAAAGAAAAGATGAACTGAAGCTGAAGAACTGGACTGAAGAGTTCGAATATAGTACATGTGTTTTTTGTATGCCAAATTAATTATGTATTTCTAACAAACATTGTTAGCTAAAGAGAAGAAATAAAAACTCTTTCTTCTCAGAAATTCTTATAAGGGCCCTTTTTCTACTCAGCAGACTATTTCTCGAACCCTGCGAAGTAAGCAGAGAAGAACTACAGCTAAAGAACTAGGCTGAAGAATTCGAAAAACAAGTGTCACAAATAAGCGTTTTTGTATTCATACTTAAGTATTTTTAACAAAGATATCGCATCATAATAATTTCGAATCAAGATTTTGAATCGAGGAGAATTCTAGTTGTCTAGAATTCTGTAAGAACTTAAGACGTGAATTAAAGTAGATGAAAATAAACGTTGATTTATAAATTTATAAAACAGATAAACTATATTTTTGTTTTTTTCTTCTGTAGCTTGCGGTGCTGCTATTGCTATTGTTTTTGCTGTTGTTGTTGCTGCTGCTGATTCCATAAATAACAACAAATTGGCATTTGCATTGACTCGAGTTGGATGTGCATCTGAGCGAGGATCGCGGCACATAAATTTCTCAACACTTGCATAAAATTTACAAAAACAATAAAAGCGACAGAAACAACAACAACACATGTGTCGCCGACGACCACGACCACGACCCCAGCCCCAACCTCAGGCCGCAGTCAACAAACCATAAAAGTGTTGCATGACACAGTAGAGGGAGTGGAGTGAGCGTGAGTCGAAGCTGGGAGGTGGGGTGAGAAGCCAGAAGGGGTTATGTTGTCAAGCTGTAAGAGTGGTGGAGAACTACGAATGTAGCAATTGGGGCAGGACGGCCAGCTGATCTTGAAATATGGTTTCTGATACAAATTCAAAGTTATAGAACTGTTTTATAACACCAATATGTCCTATTTTCTAATACCGTTCTATAACTAATATTATGATTGCAAAAGTGATTTGTATTTTGGAGCAAAAAATTTTCTATAATTATAATAAATGTAGGAACAACTGCGTTTTGGTTTCGGTGCAAAATTAATGTATTTTTGAAACCGTTTCATTCACTGCCTTACATATGTAACTCGATTGTGGTCTTAGAAATTTCAATTCAATTTCCATCCAAAATCTCTAAATATCTTGGAGTCAAGTATGACTTTTAAAGATAGGCGTTTTCCAAATTTTGAGCAAATGCAAGTAATGTTTAGTAATAGAAAATGTTCCAAAAATCTATGCATTTTCCCATAAAACTAGGTCTGCCACGCCCTATACACTCAAACCTTTGGCATATGTACATTTCAACCATCGGTTGCCAATTGTTTGCCTTGTCTATAGAGAATATATACTCGTACGTATGTATGTAGTTGCCGGCATGCTATCATCGTGTGCTGATTGTATTACCTTTATATTATATACGTGTAGCTTCATATAGCTTTCACAAACACACATTATACACATTATATACAAATATGTGTACATATATAGTCCAACTGATAAGCAATTGATAAGCATGAGCTATAAATGAGAATCGTTTGTGGTGCAAAGACAAACTGTATTATACTTGTCCACCAGTATTTGGTGACTTTGAAGCCTTTGCTCTTTAGATAGTAGTGTTTGTAATGGGGCGCCACTATTCGAATTCTTCCAACACTTAGATGTGAATTACAAATAACTTAACGTTTGTTTTGGGGTAGATATACGTTTTATTAGCCCGTCTGTGAAACAAAACAAACATAGATTATTTAAAGCCCCAATGATTCATTAACGATCTCAGATAAACAGAATTGCATGTTTCTTGAAAATGGAAATCGATCGATGTGAATAAAACTTTTTAAAATACTATATGAGTATCCAGTTCTTAAAGACACTTTTTTCCTTAACTTTCAAAAGAACGAGTTTGTTTAAATATGGAAATGTTAAAAACTTGTTAAATAATCGATTATACTAAAAAAGATAAGATGGTTCTATATATTCCATTCAACCAATTTCAAAGTCGATCGGATGAAAAATTTATTTGGAGTCTCTGTTCCTCCTTTCGAGTTCAAATTTTCCAATTCAATTTCTTAGCTCTTACCATTTGGGCTGTGCATTGATTAGCAATTAGTCAGTCGCGCTTAGAGTCTTCAAGAGACGGGCTCATCAACTTTTAGTTAAACAGCAAAATGTTAAATTTACTTTCCGAGAGTCTGTACTCAAATGAACACCAAGGAACGGCTCGTTAAATGCTATTATTTATGATGTATGATCATTGACCTTTATGGAAACACAGTATAATTTGCTTACTTACCTCCAATACTTTGCAGACTTTTGGGGCAGCTACATAACTTTAATTGTTAAGTAATGTTTATATCCTTCGCGGTTTGTCGACAATATATGAAGTTATTAAATTAATTAATTAATTTTCAATGCTGTTTCAGTAATTAAATTGATATTACATTCAACATGCTTCAACTTGCATTGAAATAGTCTGTAATTTTACCTCCAAACCCAAGATCAATAGCGACCAGTTGCGATATGCATCTAAACTCTATATATATATGTATATGTGTATACTTTGTGGGGTCTGCCACGCCTCCTTCTGTCTGTTACATTTTTCAGCTCGCGCCAACCTAATATGCTCTGGTACATTTCATGTACCTCTGTATCCGAAAAGCGTACATTTATGTATATGCAAGCGTCTATGGGTGTGTATCTGCATAGTATGACTATAACTATTAATCGTAATTTCTTTAATTGTGCAAAAACCGGACAAAAGGAATCGTCTCGAATTGCCAATTATTTATTAAGTATAATTGTGTCTTCCATGCTTACTTCATTACCTTACATTTTTGAAGAGAATTCGTACGCTCTCTTGCGTCTCTGATTAATCTAACTGCGCCCTCTCGGTGCGACAAGTTGGGGCGCTCGACCACCCAAAATTCCAAATCGTTGGTATGTCTTCATACAACAGATTCAACACACAAATGTAGGCCAGTTAGCAATCTGTTATACAACACCTTCGGCAAGTTCTGTAAATTGAGTTTTTTCTTTCTCTTTTTGTGCATCTGTTATGTTATGGTGACGTTTTGTCTGCTAATATAATGGCCACTGAGAGTGCAACCTATTCATACGTGTGTATACATACATACATACATCAAAAAAAAAAATCATTAAAAAAACATACAGATTAATTGCGATCGCCTTGATTAAAAATTATTTTCAAATTGAACCCACATATTAAGAACACTTCACACACATCTTAATACGTACTAATGCTTTTACATAATATTTATAATATTTAAACTATTAATTAAAATTTTATCACACTTTTCGGCCACTCGAAATACAAAGGGCGCGACGCGTTCAGCAGTTCGAGAAACACTAAGCCGTGCTCTGCAGACTGCAGCTGCAAGCAGAATGCTCTCTCTTTAAGAATGTAAAAGTGAAGGCAAGGAATCAAAAATCATAACTGTAAATTCGCTCACGCGCCTGCCATACGTATTTCGTTTCATGCAAATTGTCTCACATGAAATTGTTGGTTGACCATTTGTAATTTTACAAAATGTTTATATAAATCAACAATTAATTAAATTCAAATTATTAAAGGACCAAGCGAAATTCCAAGAATTCCACGAATTACAGGGATTATAGAAAATCGCTAATTGCGTTGGAGAGGGGGAAGGAAGGGAGTATAAGAACATTTCATAGATGGCGCAGCCTTGTTAGTATTCATAGAAAATGGCAAAAAATGAATGCCGATATGAGGCGCTTAAGTGCAAAAGGCTATTAAATAGGATGCACCAAACGTAATTATTTTCATACGAAATCCCGTCTTAATGCTGCCAAAAGCAAATTTCATGCAGCTAAGCAAATTATATTGTAACTGGATTTTCCAACAAGACAACAATGTTTCTTTCGTCCAGATATGTATATTCCAGTTTCCGATTGTAGACCTCTGCGGCCTATAAGACAGTCAAACAACTCAAAGAAGGTTTGGTTGTCGAGTGGTATCAAAACAAATCATTCCATATATGATTTACATAATCAGCTAATCATAAATTTGATACAAATTTACAAATCAAAACCTTTCATGAACAATCTCTAATAACCAATTTGGCATTGATGGACCAATTTGTCAATTTATGTCATCATGCGTTATTTTGGACCATTGGATCGATTTCAGCCATTTTCATTTAATATAATATTATACAGGCGGATCCCACGTTCCAGCAAATCCCAAAGATGTTAAACAATAAAATTGAAAACTTTTCTACTACTCTCTCGAGGAACTGCTTTGTCTTCGAAGTTGCGAAAAAACCATTTAATAGCTCTAATAGCTGGGGGTGTATACATATATGTACATATATAGGAGCATAGTATGTATGTATGTTCATATTTGTTTGCTTAGAATGTGCTCTTTCGTTGGTTTGTCTCAATTAAATGAACGGCACTTTTTGTTTACAGTGAGCAGACAGCCAAATAAAGTGTGCGAGCGAGAGAATAAAACAAACAAACAAACCAAGGAATTCTATAAACAAAAAAAACAGTATAAAGAGTATTTGACTTACCGTTGGCGTTGGTTTGCCGCCGCCAATTGCAATCGATGTGCTGCCCACGCGGCGGCCATTTTGTAGCCAAGAATGGAACGAAGAAGAAGAGCACTCGTAATAAATACCGAAACACACATGCCTTGGATTGTTAATTTATGCGTTTATTGTTTGAACTTAAAGCGCATCTAAGAAGAAAAAAAAGTATGTATATATAATTGGCCGCTGCTCTTATATATACATATATACACGCACAAGTACATAGATAGATACAAATAATTGTAGATCTAAGAGGCTAAAAATAGTTTAAAATTAGTTTAAATAACAAATTAAAAGACAATTGAAACACACACTCAGAGACGAGATATGGATAGAGAGAGAGAGAGAGAGAGAGAGAGAGAAAACACTATGCAGAGTACACACAATATAGGGTATTTACAGTTATCCGATTAGCGATTAGCTGCCTCAATGGTGGAGTTGCAGCGCAATCAGCAATTTGTCAGCATTGTTAGCTTCTCGCCTTTCTAGCTCATTGGCTTTACATGTATGTATGTTATGTGGTATAAATAACTAAGTACAAACATTTGTTTATTACGTATTTAAAATTATATTTTGGTATATTTGACTAAACACAAAAATTGCGCTTAAACCTAAACAAAAATTTAAAAAAAAACTTCCTTTCAAGGGCAGAAAAAAATACTTTTAATACTTCAGTGTAATTGCAATATCTCACAGGCCCTACATTCGAGCAAAAAAAAAAGCGAAGAGAGTCCTGCAGGTGCGGCGAAAGGACATGAATGGCACGCGAATAGGCATGGCGTGTTTTAATGAAAGGCTTTCAAAAGCTTTCCTAATTTAATGAGCTAGTGCTGGCTTTCAATCTAATCTAACTCGAGCTAAACAAAAAATGTTATCGAGACCTGTTCTATTTGAGAAATTATCTCGGGACTACGCGGCAGTTCGTTAAATAGCTTGCCTAGCATTAATGAGTCTAAATTTCGCTTCTTTAATCTTTCAAAAATCAATGGTCTTGTATTGACATTCTATTCAATCTTGTATAATTATGATCCAGACATACTTATCGGACATACGCTATGGTCCAGACATATGTACTTGTCCACACATACACACCGGAGCACTCGAAAGATCTTTATTCTTCTTTAAGCTTTCATAAATGAATATTTTTATATTGTCCTTTGTTTGATCGCACTGCAGATATTAAAATGTGATCGAATAACGTTTCATTCGGGATGACTAGCTATATATATATATGTGAACTTCCCTCTTTTTAGTTCAGTTTCGGTTCAGGGATTTAAACTTGCTCTATATCCGATCATATCATCTACTCCAGATCACTTGGGCACTAGGCAAGCAGTATACTGTTTCATTTATTTGCTCATGCAGGGCTCTACTTCGGACCTCCACTCTAATTCCACACTAATACTTTGCATATTTTCTCAAATTAGGGGAGCAACTCACACCACCCCACCATCCTACTCCTCACCTCCCCATCGGCCATTCAACGGGGCACCAGATCAATGTAGCTGTTTGGGCGCATCATTTGATGTGCCGCCGCAGCCGCTGCAGATCCGTAGAAGCTCTGATAGCTGCTCATCCCATAGGCGGCCGCCGCTGCCTGACGCATATGACCAGTCGATACTTTGAGCTTATCGTAGGGACTGGCATATCCGTGGCCGTGATAGTGGGCCGTGTTGTGGTGATAGATGGCTCCGAAGTTGCTCTGCTCGGCCGCATAGGGTTGGCCGATGCTCGAGTATATGTTGGCTGCGGCCATTACCTGTGAGCTGGCGGCGGCAGTTGCGGGCGGAGAGGTGGAGTTGTGGGAGCCGGAACTGTTTGAGAGGGGCGTGAGTGTGCCGAGCGATGTCGCCGGTCCACTCTGCTGGTAATGGTAGCTCCCATAGCTAGGCGGCATTTGATGAGCTTGCAATGATTGCTGCTGTTGAGGATGTTGTTGGGGATGTAGTTGCTGTGTTTGTTGCTGCTGTTGTTGTTGCTGCTGTTGTTGCTGTTGTATTTGCAACTGCTGCTGAGTTTGTTGCTGTGGCGCTGTTGCTGTTGCTGTCGCATCCAATTTGGGTGACAAGACGCTGCCCAAACATTGATAATTTCCCGCACCCAACAAGTCCGGTGAATTACCGGATGTGGTGCTACTGGAGGGCGTGACCGGCAGATGTGCGCCGCCCAAAAGCGATGCGGTATGCTGCTCCAGTTCGGTGTGTCCTGCCAATCCATAACTACTGCTGCTTCTATCTTTTGCCTTGTGCTGTTGTTGTTGTTGTTGTTGCTGCTGCTGGTGTTGCTGCTGTTGCAGTTGTTGCTGTTGTTGCTGCTGCGCATTGTGTTGCTTCATACGGGCCTGGCTCTCATGACTCATACTGGACATGCCTAAACTGCCACCGGTGCTGACAATGGGAGAGAGAGAGAGAGAAATGAACATGTTGCTGTTTGGATTACTGAAGCAGTGGCTTGGAAAATTCGACCCAAAAATGGGCTAAAATTGTGATGTTTGCTTGTCCTTTACAGATTTCTAAAACGCTTATTCGAACTCGAATTTTGAATTGTAAAATGAAATATGATCAGACTGACTATCTTCAATCAAAATCATGCTCAACCCATTAATCTTGCCTTCTACACTTCCACAATTCCTAAAGCGCATTTATAAATCTCTCCAACAAAAATTTAAGTAAATGAATAACAACAGAAATTTAAAAACTTTCCCTAGAAGCTCGCAACTTTTTGGGAATGAATCGTAAATATTCTGTAAGCTAAAAAAATGTGGCAACGACTTTTAACTTCTAACAACAATCACTGTGATTGACGTAATGATGGAATTGTACGCATGTTGGATTGAAAATAAAAATGTTACTCAAGTCATAAACATTTTGAGTGGCAAAAGGGCGGGCTGGAAACTTTTGATAAAACATTTCTCACAGTCCTTCAGATCGTCATCTTGTAACATAAACAGCAAATACTAGATCTTTTGCGATTGAGATTTGTTTACAACAATTCGAAACAAAAGCCACCGAATGAGAAACTGAAGCAGAAGCCGAAGCAGAAGCAGAAACAGTGCCAAAGCCCCAAGTGGCCCAAAAATTATGAAAAGTTGTTTATGCCGTCTCCGACGGCCTCCACATCTGTCAGCTCCTCCATCAGCGAGCCCGCTACTATATACGCACACATACTTGTACACATACATATGTACATCTACATTTACATATATTTATCAAATATACATTTCGAGCTCTTGTATTTTGAGTTATTGTTGCTGATGTTTTATTTTTGTAGACGCGACGCGTCGGCAATTCCCGGAATGTCTGTTGCCGATAGCCGATCTTTCGCCCCCACCTACACCTACACCTCCCCTTTCCCATTCCCATATCCAATCCGACGTCTTGTCTAGTGGGCCACTTGGTCCGTCGTTTGGCGCTTTGTGTTATAGTTTCTGGTGGCGGTTGTTCCCCCCAATAATTGGGTCAACTTCATAACAATTTGGCAGCCAGCTTTGATTACAATCTTTCCATTGGCGTGCCCTAAACTTGCACTCACAAATTGGATATAGTCGAACAAATATAGTTTGAGGCGAACTTGAATTAAACAGACATTAATTGTAATTAATTAACTGACATAACTGGCATTGGTATCAATATATCTTCGTTTCTAAAAAGGACCTGGGGAGATGCAGACGAGCTATTAATGCCCTGCAACATGCATCAACATTGCTCGTAACTGCATAGCCTCAAAAACAGAGAGATAACTCGAAATCAAATAATATTGCCTGAAAGCGTTCTTAACAACATCTTCCCCTCTGGGATCATCCGAGATGTGGCAGATCTATAGTCGGTGTAGAAGGATTCAGCCACGCCTGCTTCACCTATTTATAGACATCTGGCGTTTGGACTTTCCGGCATACCCTTTCGACTTTCAGGTTTAGGGTATAATCATGTTGAAAATACTTAAGACATACTTGTACTTATTCAATGATCAACAAAATACTTACACATCGTTGGTGCCATCGTCCCGGAAGCCTTTGGCGAAGGGATTACTCGATATTTTCAGCTGTGTCACCTGCAAGAAATCGGACGAGAGATATTTATTTGTCATTCAGTGATTAAAGCTAGGAGTATGCCAAAAATGTTGACCCCAAAAATTCCGAAAATTTATTCATTTTTTCATATTCTATTTTCTGAGCAACTTTTTTTTGTTGAGATTTCATTTTTATTTCTCGATTTGATAAATGCAGCAAATTAGAAAATGTTTACAAAGCATTAGACAAAACAACAACAACAGCGGCAGCAGCAACAAGTAAATTATTTGCAATAAATTGTGGCAACGGAAAGTGTTAACACCCACGTTCGGGGCATAAATAATTTAAATACTTTCGAAAAAATGCCGCCATAAATAAAATGCCAGAAGATTTTCTTGTGCTGCGCTGTGACTGCTCTTTATTCCTCCTCTCAATTCTTCATTCGTTTGTTTTCCTTTTCTGTTTGTGGCTGTTGTGAAAAATAATTATTTATTTTTTATGCCATTGTTTTTATTTAAAGATGCACACATATTTTTGGAGCACTGACTGTGTAAGTTATGGATGGAAACAGAAATAAGGCAAAATAAACATAAACAACAATAACAACACTAACAACAAAAGAGGCTAAAATGGAACAAAATGGCAGCAGTCAGGCGCTCCACAGTTTTCTCCGTTAAAAATATTGAATACATTTATTTCGAATTTCTTGTTATAATGTTTTGTTAAATTAATTTTTAAAATTATTTTTTCTTAATTTTATATAATTTTTCTACAGCGACTTTAACTTTTCCATTTCTTTGTACTGTAGGAATGCCCTAACTGGGTAATAGTGGGAACACCCCCAATCACTAAGAATAATTAAGCAGTGACCAAATAGTGATTGAATAGTTAAGTAGTGATAATGATCAATAACCAATAGTAACCGATAACAGAGAAGTAATCGATTAATTATTAATATTAATATTAATATTGACCACGAAAGGAGGACGCTAAGTGAAATTTGAATTAAATGGAATATATATATATATATATATATATATATATATATATATATATATATATATATATATATATATATATATATATATATATATATATCTATATATATATATATATATATATATATATATATATATATATATATATATATATATATTATAAATAATTATATATAATTATAATAAGTTTACTTAAAAGTCATGCCAAAGGGTATATAATTATTGATCAACAGTCGATATATTCAAATTGTCTATGATGATGTAAATCGACAATGATGTTTACACAAAAGTGGGTCAAGTAAACGACTTCAGACTACGAATATTTCTAGGGACACTTACCCGCTGATTCTGATAGGCAGTCACGGCCGTAAAACTCGTCTCCGGGAAAATGAATGTGCGAAAGTGACTCGAATGATCGTTCTCGTCCAATGACGCATTCTTTGCTGGCAAGTAGACCAAATGGAAGCGTGGCTGGTAGCGATGCATGGAGTTCAGTATTATCTGTGGCAGGAAGGGAGAAAAAGTGATCTTTAGAGTCAGACGACGGCGACGACGACGACGACTGCTACCAGCCGGCTTTGTAAACAAACTTTGGCCAAATGGTTTTCAATAAACAAAAGAGCTTAGAAAGCAATTCGATTGCTTTTCTAATTGCGTGCCATACAAATGGATGGCGCTGGATTATTCATAATTTCCAAAATAAAGTGACCGATCGATCCATCACCCCCCACACATACATATTTATAGAATTTCAATTAATTATTATTCGTTTGAATAAAATCTGTCTGAAAATTTGAGAAACTAGGGATTTAAAATGGTTTCAAATTTAATAATAATGCTTAATTATTTTTGAAGCATTTTTTTAAAGTTATAATCTCTCTATACTTCGAAGTTTCTAAAAAGTATTACCTCATTTTTGGATTAGGCTGCATTTTATTTGCTTCTCCAAACAGATACCATCAAAAAGAATAACATTTCAATTCTAATAATATAATAACATGCTATATTTTTGAACATTTATAATATATTTATATTTTAATATATTTACAAACTTATGTGATCCCCAGCAGTGCTTCATTCCGGTTTTAAAACAACAAATAATTTCTTTCGAAAAGGGCGAGTTGGCTAAAGGCTTAGAACAGTTTCCCGAAAAAAGCAAAGACTCAGAAGTCCGCTGGCAAGATAATTGCTGGTACTATCTTTATAAACAAGAAGGAATCTTACATTGTAGGACTCATTGAATCGTAGTTCATCACAGTGAAATAAAATTAAAAATTAAAAGTAGAAACATTTTTGGCACTCACATGACCATTCTCGTCCAGTTGGTTGTTGGTAAGCTTTAGTTTATCGAAGGAAACGATCTGCTTCATGAAATTGGCGCCGGTGGCTGGCGAATCTGGATGGACGTGAATGCGGGGTGGGGAAATGGCATCGGCCTTGCCGGCGACCACCCAACAGGAGCTGCAAAAGAATTATTTTAAATATATTTCTCTATCATTCTGACGATTTAAGATTTTGATTTTAATAAAAGAGGATGCACAAATATTTTAATCAGCTTAAGTCTTTTTAATCACGGAACTCGATCACGAATCGAGCAATATAATTCAGAATTCTACGCTGTATCTAAGACATCGCGTTTCATAAAATTATCGAGCTTATCTTAAAATATTTTTCAATTTATTTAAAGTTGAGAGTACATTTTCGTTGCTCCAAAAATTAAAAATCTATTTAAGTTTGCTGTAATTTTAGTTTCGATAATTCCTGGATGTCAATATGTATCTTTTTTTTTATAGATATATAGTAGTAATAGCAGCAAACATCTGTTTCTTAAATCCATTAAATTTGTTGCAAATTATTAAATTGATTGGAAGAAATTTGTGATATTTTGATTGAAATGGCAGCCGGAAGGCAGAGAGTACTCACTTGTGGAACGCATAACGGTATCGCTTGTCATCCATGGGCACGAAGTCCATCATGGCGATGTAGGTGGCATGGGGGTCGAGACCGCCGATGCGCACCTGAAATGTGGGGAACATGCGGCGCCCTGTTTTTGTGATTATCATTTCAGTGCCCTGGGCATGGAACTGATCCCAGAGTGCCTTCGTCTCCAGCACCACAATTGCCTGAGCCAGCGAGGGATGGACAGGCTCCGGTTCCTGCAGTGAGCGGCATTGTTAACAATCAGCCGTAGTTGAGAGAGAATTGGTGAGGGAAAGAGAGGAATTGAGAGTGTGAGCACGAGTAGGAAGAATCTTGTTGTTGGTTTATTTGTTGTTTTTTTTTTGAATACTTACGCCTCTGCCGCTGCTGTTATTGTTGTTGTTGTTACTGGCGCTGCTGCTGTTGCTGGCATTATTATTGTTGCTGCTGTTGTTGTTGCCGCTGCTGCTGCTACTAGACACATTACTTGTTGTTATGTTGTTGTCTTTTTTGTGACTGTGTTTGTATTTCTTGGCTGTCGCTGCAGCGCCTGTTACCGATCCCGATCCCGTTGCGGCTCCCGCTACATTGCATGTTAGTTCATTACTGCTGCTGTTGGCGTTGTTGTTATTGTTACTGCCACTCGTGTAATTGGAAGCATCATGGACGCCATTGCTGTTATTGTTGTTGCCGCCTTCCTGGCAGCTTCCGGCACTGCTGCTTTGACTACTGCTGCCACTACCCGTGCTCTGCCTATCGATATCCGCCAGCTTCGCATCGATCTGTTCGAGGGGCTTATAGGAGGTTCGATCTTTGCCCGCCGTCTGTATGCAAGCTGTGTGGAATAATATTTGATAAATACTTGGGCTATACTTGTAGGAAGGAGAAAATTGTGGTATTTAATGTAATTGCTTTTATATTTCCTATTAAATTTCCTATAAAATCTATTGATATAGAAATTGTGATTTTTATCAACAACCTTGCGTGGAAAGAAATAAATGTATGTCCCTATTTATACACATCCTTTAATTAACGAAAAGTTGCACAAAGTACTAGTAAATACTATTATTTTGTAATAACTTACAATAGTTTTTAATCAAAAATGTAGTCAGTTTTTTCTGCTATGGAGTCAAGCACTAAACTCATTCAGAAGTTTATATTTGAGGGAAAAGCTTGCAATAACGTTCAAAATATAGCAAGTTCTTCTCCCTCAATGGTGCGTAATGTTATAAAATTCATTCCGGCGCCTAAAGCACCCTAAATATGTCAGATAAATTGGTTACTAGTGTAATGAGATACTCAAGGCAGAACCCACTTCCGAGCAATACAAATATAAGAGATGAATTAAACTTCTTCTAACAAAAAAATGTCTGATGAAACGAATTGCATTAATTGGCCAGTGCAGAAATGGAGAAGCATTTTATCAGGATCCAAAATGTCAAAGCAGGGGTTTTAGGCCAACATAATAAATGCACTAGAATGGCCGGCATTGTCTCCAGATCTCAACCCAGTTGAGATTTGTGGTACGCTGTTAAGAGGGAAATAATGTTGCACAACTTTCGGAAGCAGTCAGGCATGCTTGGAGCTCTATTTCTCCCAAACGGTGTCCAAATCTTGTTATTGGCCTAATAGTTTTTATTTTTCAGTTTCTACTGACAAGTGACTTACAAATGAAACACTAATAATATTTTGAGCGGCCAAATTAATGAATATTTAGAAAAGAATTTATTTTTTTCAATTGTTATATGACCTGAATTTTTGTTGTTATTTCTTTATGATTTTCTTGCCAAGATAATTACACAAAATAATTACAAGTGCATTAAAAGGCCGATGCAATCTACTGTATATACTCTAGCTTTTCGTAACTAGCAAAATAATTTACAGCTGGGTGTGAGCATAATTGTGAACAAAAATACTTGGGCCAGCAAAGACCTGCTAGTACTAGAATTGTATGTTGTACTTGTATGTATGTATATGTATGTGAGCACTATTGACAATTCATCTATGTATTTAGTTCCATTTCTACATTATATCGGAATAATAGAACATTTTTGCGCCCTAAATTCATATTTTTTGTTACAAATATACATACTCGTATATTCAGAAATCATATACATAAATACGGATAGATAATCATAAGTATAAACTACGGCGTAGTCATTGACATTTTAGGAGTAACATAAACACTTAGTATAAGGATAGATGTTCAATAGAAGAAGCAGAAATTAAGGCCGTACTAATGGCATTTTACCAAGTAAAAGACTTTATATTTTGATGATCCAAAGCACCTAAATAAAGCTGAGGCTTAAATTCAAACTAAATTCAAACGCTTCCAAATATGTATTCATAGTTTTTGAGTTTCATTTTTTAAGGCAAGTGACCCTTTTTACGATTGCACCTATAGTTTATTCTTATCATCGAAAAATATGAAATGCAATTCAAGAATTCCATTCACACATTTTAGCGTTGAACTCGAATCGCATTTTATTTGTTGAGTTCTTAATGAGCCTCCAAACAGGCGACTTTCAAAGTCGAATTGCAATTAATTGTAGGTGAGATATACACATATTCGTACTTATTAGATTGCTCTGAAAAATAAATGCCGACTAGTGTGCATATTTTTGATTTATTTGGTTTTAAGAGAGGCCCTCATCGGGCGACTAACGAAGACATCAAAAGGCAGTGACGACAAAGTCGCGCAGACGCAGTGCGACAAATTGGACACACGGCCCATACTGACATAATTGGCAGTCCGCGATGCACCCAACAAGTGCTGTCGGATTGTGAACAGTAGGCGACGAAAGTATGTGGACAACTTCCGCTATTTCTCACAGGCGCAGTTTTTTAAATTGAAAATACCTCGAAATGGGATGTAAACAATGAAAATGTTATTCTATGCTTTTATGAATAGTCGCTTCTTCCTTTAGCATCCTCTATGTTGTCCCAATTATATAATATTCCAACTGCAAATTCATTTCTTTCTCCATTCTAGTAAAAAATCTTCCCGCACAGTCACTTAATAATTTATTTTTCCTCTTACTTAGCTACTGAAATTTTCCTTGTTATGGATTTGAGGACAATATAAAACTCCTGCACCGCCAGGATCAAAACTGTATAAGCACGAGACCGAGCGTTTTGTAAAGTATTTAACAGCACGACCTATCGAGTTTATCTGATTTGATCCTTCTGTGGGTTTGTCTGTCTGTACGAACGCCTAGATTTCTAAAACGATTTGACCCACAAGCACCAGAAGTGGTACTTAATGGGTAATACGAATTTATGTTATATTCAATGGCGAATAATTTTTAAAATAAACTTTAAAAGATTTCATATTATACTTTTTTTTAGCACAACATATCAACCGCCAATTGTAATTTATAATTAAGAACTTTACAAGCTTTGACTGATAGCTTAGCTGGAGCTATATGAATAGAAGCCAACGAAAGGAGTTGTACAATTTAAGAACTCTTCACACTCTTACAGTCTGGATTTCTGAAATGGTTCGACGCTGCTAAATCAAATAAAAATAATCTTTTATATGATTGGCCTCTTTTTTGAAGCGGGAATTTTCATCAACACGAAAGAACACGTTGTTAAGTTGCTTGAGAAAATATGTATTTAAAAACTTTTCTATATTTAATTAAATCGATTAAATTAGGAACCCTTTTTAAGTATTTAAAACTCTTTCAGACACGAATGTTATTTTTGTATCCGCCTGTGTGGATGAAAACGGTTCGAAACATCAAGATTAAACTATTTAAGTAGACTCTGCTACTTAATAATAAGTTTGATTTTAACTTAAATCTTCAACAACAAATTCAATGACACTTAACTCGAAGCGAACAATTCTTTCAACACAAAGGATTAAAGTAATATTAGATTATATTACCAATAGCCCATATAATTATATTAACAAAAATCTCTCAACTCTATTAGTTACCACACTTTAACTTCAACTATCAGATCACATGGTGAGATCTTATGTCTGATCTTTCTTCAAACTCTTTCAGGCAGTAAAATAAGACTTGTTTTAGATTCAAACTTTAATTTTCAGATTAGAAGCTAATTTCATCTGCGAGGCACTCAATTAAGGTAAGATGTAATTAGTTTTGGATCTTGTGTGTGCCTATATTTTTGCCGACTCCTGTGCCTTTATATATGGACGTATGTATATATGGTTGTGTGGCATCTGTTGGTACATGCATGCAATTATAAAAAGGCGTCAGCGCATCGGTTGCTGATTGAGTTGCCGTTGCGATCTAAATTTAGGGCCCCATTGGAGTTGCCGGCGCTTCGACGGTCCCGGGGGCCCCAGAAATTTTGCAATTAATTGCCGCTTGTAGCGCGTGGCTGCCGCCTGCCGGTTGCCAGCAGTTGCAGTTGCAGTCTCAGTTGCCACCAATGACCCTTGACAGGTCACCGCACGCCGCTCAGCCATCAATTGTGTTTTAATGAGACAACTTTTTGGTGTCTCTCCTCTGGCTGGGCTGGATGGTTAAATGGTTAAATGTTTAAATGGTTGAGTTGCCGACTCAGTGGCTGCTGTGATTTGCGTTTTCCGCTGCCACTTGGCACCCTCTGCCTCTGCCACTGCTTCTGTCTCTGCCACTGCCACTGCCACAAATGAATTCGAAAATCAATTAGCGTTTGGCACAAATAATCGTTTTTCTGTCACGCCAACCACCGAAACAAAAAGGCAAACTACTCTCTGGTACTTGAGAAATGTTTAAAATTGTCGCTAATTACTCGGCCGGCCTCTTCATGCTCTTTTGGCACTGCCTCGGAGTACTCGACGCAGTGCTGGTCGACTAAATGGAGATCAGGGCCAGATTTAGGGCGATCTCTAAGTTTAATTTGGAAAGATCGCTCAAGCGAGCGAATACTATTAATAAGTCGGAAGTATGTAGGACAAACGATGTTATTTGTAAACATTTGAAATATTTTATTGATTTCAGCATTGTTTTCAATAAAAGATTCCAGCATGTTTGCGTTACCGAATCCGATTGGATGGTGCAGTATTGAATTATGGGGTCCAGAACTAGTGGAGTACAAGATCCAATTCACTAATCAGAGAACATTCGACCAATCGAGTTTCCAAAGTACGGGAATACTAGATCCAGTAAACAGTTTTGTAACCAAATCACTTAATAGTTATACTAAATTGAAATCGATGGCATGTAATCGGTTTTATCCAATAATGGTTTACCACTAAGCTTAATTTTTCTCTCTCTGTTATGCCTTTCCTAAGATTAATCCTCTAGCGATCATTGCACACATTTCACACTAGTTTTTGTTTGCTATTCTAGCTCATACACTTTATGGGGTCCGCCTTAACTCCTGTGCATGGACCCTCACCGTTTGAGTACAATATACAAATTTACAAAAGAGATTTCTCGTATTCTTCATGAATCTCTAAATCTCTAAATGAAAGCTAAAACTTATACTAGAATCGTTTTTGAGAAAGTACAAAAATTTCATTTGCCGACAAATATGTAGATATTCTGATCTGGTTTGGATTTAAATTATAGTACTTGAATTCCTACGCTTTAAAAGCATCATCAAACACCTGGAAAAAGCATTCACATTTTTGTAAGGACAACTTTTGTACATTAAATGCTTGTGAACAAAAAATAGCCTTCAAGAAGTTCTCAAAAAACAGGGCCACTAAACATTTTTGGGTTTCACGATCGGATCCATTGACTGGTTTCGAAAAGAAAATTATAGTCTGATGTTTGAACTGATCTAAGGATTCCAAAATAAATGTAACCGTGTTTATACCTACTTGTTCTATAATTTAAGAGATCCGATAATGAACTTTGTAAGAAAGATCATTTTTATATTAATTATAAGAAGAGGGAAATGATATTAGAAATATATTCCAACGTAAATATACTTGTATTTAGAATGGGAATTATTGCTTTTATTGCAATATCATAGGAAAATGATATTAGAAATATATTCCAATCATTACTGATGGAGTTTAAATGTCATATAAAATATCATTTGAAGGATCTTTTTATTTACTCCTATATAGGAGAATGATTGATTTAGCTTCAATACAAAGTCATTATTTTTAAAGAACTTTTTTTCCTATCTAGAGGAACACTATAGTATTTAAGCATTTGAATATATGTATATATTCGTATATATCCAAGTACCTATGATGGCGATATCGCTTCAAAGGAATATGCTTCACTCTGTTTTGAAAGATCTCTTTATTGTTTCGATATAGAGGGTAATTGTGGAAGTCGTGCTTACCTTCGATCTGTTTCATGGGGCTGAGGCCGCCTGTGGAGTAGGGCGTGGCCCAATAATCGCTCGCATAGCAACCGTAATCCGCTAGATTGGCGCAACCGTTATCCAGGAAGGGCATTGTGGCGACCATCGCGCACTCTGTGGGACCCATCATGTGAGTCATTTGGCACAAATTGCGGGGGATTTACTGTCTGGCAGTTTTGTTTTATGGTTTCTGTTGTGCTGCCTTTGATCGATTCAGAATTGTTTTCGATGCAAATGAGCTCAGCACTCAATCAAAAAAAAATAGATCCACAGACACAAAAATGCACTGAATAAAAGAGGAACAGCAACAACAACAATTAGAATGATCCATAAATAAGCTAAAATTGAGAAAATGTATAACTTTGGCACATTTGACTGCTTTGGCCTGCTTTGGCTTCGGATCGATTTGTTTTGATTTCAAACGTTTTTCGCGCAGTTGTCAAATTAAATTATTGCACTTCACTCGCACACATGAGAATATATAGTACACTGCAAAAAAAGCATATATGTATACATATATTTAAAGGATGAAAGCAGCCGGTCGCAGTTTTTTTGTGTATTTTTATAAACAAAACTCAATCGAAAATGTGTTGAAAGGTTGAAAGTCGTACGCGCATCGTTCCGTCTGTCAGTTCCGATCCGATCCCATCAGATCCGATCGGCTCGCAAAAAAAAAAGAAAAAAAAGTTTAGAAAACTTCAACACCTCTCAGTCACGTTTTGAATTTTTCGTATTTTTATTTCCCATTGGCGATCTTTATGGGCCCCGTGCGTTGACGCGCGTTGAAAATTCTTTTGACACTTTTAAGCGATTAAACAGCAACAACAACAAAAGTAGCTTGATTGACCGATTGATGGATTGATTGCTATAATTTTTGTTGTTGTTGCGAATCGTTGTGACGTTAGAAGTCGCCGACGACAACACACCATCTATAACAATGTATATATACATATATATCTGTATCGATCCGATCTGTTTAAATCGTGCGGGAGACGCACCTCTCCGTTTCCGCGTCCGAACCGTTAGCCGTTTGACTGCAGAATGAGCCGATCAGCGATCGCACCATGGTTGTCTGGCACGCCACTGCCACGCTGCACAATCATATGCTGCCTTGCAACGGCCTCAGAAGATCGACATCGAGAGCCAATCGCTGGCGCGCACAGCATCCAAAATTAGCATTCCCTCGTAGCACATGTGTGTGTGCGTGTGTGTGTGGGTGACAGGGGCGTGTGTAGCGCCATCCACCAATCGCAGCATACACACAGCTCTCCTCAGCATACCCTTTGAGGAATGGCTGCAAGGCATTTGAGGCGACACGCTGCTACCCTACAGCAGCAATCTATAGAAGCTATCCGCAGAAAAATTATAAATAAAATAATATAAAATAAAGTAACCAGACTCTTATGCTATATATCAAGATACAATCTTCCCTCCACAAAGTCCATCAAATAAATCATTGTTGCACAAATACATATATGTATGTGTATACATATATGTATGTTATAGCGCACCGATTTTTATAAAACTTTACAGTATAAGCTGTAAACTACATACTTATGTATGTACCAGTGTTGATTATCATATCGTTTGTACTACTTTTATATTCTCCTAGCGAGTGGGCAGCTGGATTTTATTTTATTTTTATTTTACTTTATTTTCATTTTATTTTATTTTTGTTTTACTTTTATTTGATTTTTATTTTAATTTTATTATAATTTTATTTCAATGTCGACAAACACAAGCTGTCGGCAAACTTTATAATGAAGCCTTAAAAACCTAACAGGAAAAATCGAATCCAAGTGCAGTCGACTCTCGTTAATTCAAATCTCGAGGGACTCTTAAAATATTACGAATCATCGAGTGTTTGAAATATCAAATGGTTCGAAATTTGTGCGAGAAAATAAATAAAACTTCGAATTATTAAGTGTTGATCAATAATTATTTATTAACTGCTATTCTATAACAATGTCAATAGAGTAACAGTAACTGAATGATAACTAAGTAATGTGTGTGTCAAATAACCAATCTAATCAAAGACTCGTGTACAGTTACCGGGTCGGATCTTTAGCGGTGACCGTAAGATGCGCAGAAGTCGATTTTTGGGTCTACTTGGCGGTATGAACAATTATGTCTAATAAAAGCCTCCGCCTATATGGGAATTTTATTTGCCAATCGGCTTCACACACACACAATCGCGATTCACATCCAATTGTTTCACACACCCCCTTCCCCCACCACCCCCTTCACCAATCTTCCTCAGCTACAAAATTTGGCCAATACTGTTCACAGTTTCAAAGCTTATAGTATAAACTAAATACACTTAATTTATACGTAGTTCACTACCTCTATATCAAGTTTCGTGCAAATCGGTCAATCCCGAGACAAGTTATTAATGAACAAATTTTACATCCTGAATTGCGCAACAGTTTCGCTCTTCTTCTTCTTATTCTTGCGTGTGCTTCTGCTATAGCAGCAGCTGCTATGGGCGCAGGGCATTTCACAGTTGCTTAACTGTAACATTCTTGTTTTCTGTTGCGAGTGTATAAGAGAGCTCTAGGGTCTAGACAATTGGAAAAATGAGTGAGTATGGCATACAGCTACATACATATCAAGAGTTTGTTTATAGAATTGGTTTTTGAAGATATTCAGAGGCTGTGTGCACTGTCTGATGCATCTGCTCTTTATCTGCTATCTGTGTATGTGCGTGTGTGTGTGTGTGACCCCGCCCCCGCCAATTCGCTCGATTGAACGCTCGCTCGCGCGTTCTCGCTTGATCTCCCAGCCATTGAGCGCTCGTTGAGGTCGTAGTGTGGGCGTTCTGGCCACTGCCTGCTGCTACTGATGCTGCCGCGGACTTCTGGCTTCTGGCTGCGCTACTGACTCATACTCGCAGTTGGCATTTAATTGGACTGGCTGTGGCCAACAACACATGGCAGCATTGGCGGTGGTTATAAAAAACAAATTGCGCCATAACTTTGCCACTAAATAAGCCGTAAAAAGTCAATGACTACGTTTTTTGAGTCTCTCGCTCTCTGGTTTGCCACATGGGGCGGGCAGGCATCTGAAGATCTTTTTATTTTCCTCTCTAAAATGGCGTCTGCCTGGCCAGGCCGGGCAGGACCGGTCGTTCGATCAAAGCGAAACGCTTGAATTTGAATTTAAATTTGAATTTTTCTTGCCGCCGCCGCCGCTACCGCATGTTGCTTTTATTAGGGGCTTGTTGTTGGTATCTGGTTTTCATCACCCACACGCATTCAATTAACAGTTATGCAGCAGCAGCAGCGCAGCCATTGCTATTGCTTCTTCTGCTTTACCTGCTTGGCAAGCATCTTACCTGATCTCGCCATTACCCTCCTCTCCTCCCACTCGTATATTTTCCCCTCTCAAGTCTGTCTGCCTCTACTCCTCTCCTGCGCTCTCGACTCGTTTCATCTGCTCTCCAAGCCCCACTCGTCTCCCCACCTCTCCACTACTCTCCGATCCCCTTCTCGCCACTAGCGCTATTCCGTTGTTTGGCTGTCATTATAATGTACTCGCATTTGTTTATCGGACAGAAACAGAAAAATTCGTCTAGAATAGTCGTTTCTGCGCTTCTGTTTGGTATTTTGGCTTCTGAAAATTTTTGTTATAAATCTTTGCATCCAGTCGCGCCCAGGATCGGTTGTTCTGTTATTTCTCTTCGGACTGTTTACAATTATTTTGAGTTAATTGGTTTGGTTTTGCGCTGCAATTTGTTTGGTCGACCCGGGCAGCTGGCAGTAAATAATTAATAATTCTTTTCCTCATCTTGTATGCTTCATAATTTCACTTTGTTTACTAATTTCATTTTAAATTGCAAATTTCGTTTCATTTCCTATTCAATTCGATCCCACAAATAGTGTAAACGAAACTGTTCAAAGCCCTAGTATAATAACAACAAATCCATAACCGAAACTGCTTCCATTTTTGAATAAAACCGAATTTCGGCGTAAATTCGGGTATAAGTAGTATGCTAATTCGATTGATCTAGGGGGTGCTTCAAAGAGTCTTTACAACAAAATAAATTATTTTTAACATTTATTTTGTTATTTCTTCAAAAGATATGAATATTTCTTATGGTGGAAAAAAAGTGCGACCTTAATTCTTTTATTTCTGCTTTAACTTTTTTTCAAGAACCGAGTAAGTACTACGGTCTTAGACCTTCTGCCCCACTCGAACACAATACGATCTAATACGAGTATCTTTATAAGGAAGAATATTTTCATATACAAAAATCCAGAGTGAAAAAAGACTGGCATATAGAAGGACATGGGATTCATGACATAATAACATACAGTCTTCCATCCCTCTCATTCTTCAGATTCTTTAGCTAACTTTGTCTGTCTTTCATATCAGAACCAGATTACAGGGGATTCAAAGGAAAAATATCTTTGTTCCCTTTCAGTGGTGTTTATAGAGGATAAGCTAAAGAAAAAGTTATACGGCAATTTCGTTATGGTAGTATGGCCTTAAACAAATAATTTTATTTATCTACGAAAATATGGGGGTTAAATTTTCTCAATTTCCTGTTTCCGAAATGCAACAAAATCATTAAATTTAGTTCCTCAAACATTAGTCGTTAAATCGTGGGGTCTGCATCAGATCGTGTCGAGTGCCTTACTTCTTCTTGCGATTCTTCTTAATCTTCTTATTGTTCATCCTCTTGTTGGGGTTCAACTTTTGCTGTCCCTGGCCTGCTGCACTGCCTGGCAGAGGCTGAGTGGTGCTCGAACCGGCTCCATGATACGATCCTGAGAGGGAGCTCGATTGGGAGCACTTGATGGTTGGAAAACTTGGGTCTGAGACGCAGACGGCACCGAAACCTGGAGGCATAGCTGTCACTCTTGGTAGGGACTGACGAAGACACAAATTTTCGGCGCTGTAACGTTTCAGGTCCTGCAATGCCTTCACTCTACGCTCCATCAGCTTCTTAAAGTCCACTTCGTCCTCGGCGCTTAGTTTCGGTTTCATAGCCTCCGGCATGAGTTTGGTTTCTTTCGATATCTCTACATCAGTCTTAGCTCCTGGCAAATCCACTGCCACCTCCATAGCAGGATCTCCTTCCTTGACATCGCTGGACGGACCGCACTGACACACAGATGAGTGCTGCTCCGCGATCAGATTGCTGATATCCGTCTGTTTGCTTTGCTGTGCGCTGCGGGCGCAGCGCCGGTAGGCGGCCAGAAACTCCAGCTCATCGGACGATATGGAGCTGATGTCCTCCTCGACCGGCTCTTCATCCTCCAAGTCCTCGTTCAGCTTGCCGTTGCTAAGCTGCAGCAAATGCTGCAAGCTGCCAGTGGGCCGACCATCGGGGGAACCATTTAAGAGGTCGCCGCCCTCATTCTCTTCACAAACGGTGTCGCAGCTCGGCTCGTCTTCAGCTTCAGTTTCGGTTTCGCAGTCCTCGTCCAGTTGCTCGCCAGCGCGCTCCTTCTCCTCTAGCTTCTCCAGGTGCAGCTCCTTCTCGCGGTACTGCTTCGGCGACCACACCAGTGGCTGCCAATAGAGTTCCAGCGTGGACAAGCGCTTGATGCCGATGTCCTCCAGGATACTGTCATTGGACAGCATGCGACCCTTGTAGGTCAACCGACTGAAGCCCATTGGCACGCACATCTGCCGTCCGATCCGGGCCTTCAGCTCTCCCACAGTGGCGAACCGCTCCGCCTCATAGATGCTCTTCTTACCGTCACGCGTGAGCACGAAAATCTGCATTTTGTGCATACCCTATCGTAGATAACACCGACGATGAAAAACCACTGAATCTGATCCGAAATGTAGCTCTACTTTTGGGCTATTTCGAAATCCTATTTTTATAAAAACAAAATATATATTAATGTCTCTCTCCCTTACTCACTCCCCTCGTTCTTTGCCTTCCAAGTGAGTTTCGGAAATGTTCTGTTTCGCAACACTTTTTGAATTCGCTTTATTTGAGAACTCGAGCTCAACACATCGTGTGTGTGTGTGCGTGTAGAAATAAAACTGATCCAATAAGCACAGATATCTATGTTCTATGTCCTGCTCGACGAACTAAAACATTTCCATCCACTCAGACAAGATTTTCTAAATTTGGAATAATTGGAATAACTGAGCTGACTTCTGAAATATATGTGTACATAATTATTTTGAAAATGTACTTTATTCGATCGAAAAGAGTTTCTAAATTTATAATAATAAATCCCTTTAAAGAGGTGACTTATAAAACCAATTATATACTCGTATATCAACATTTGTATTTGATTCGATCTGCATCATAAGACATTAAAATTAAAACTTAACTTATAGTATCAAATTGTAAGCAGTAGTTCCTTTCCAAGCGGATGGATTATACTCGGTTCCGGTTTCTATCACTAGCATCCATTCTATTCAAATTTGGTTCCTACATAAAACTACATTTGAGCTCAGAAAAACCGATATCGAGATCGAATTCATTTTTGGAAGATTCTCGTGCATTTTCCGACCACATTTTGGAATATGGCACTTGAAAAAATATTATAAAAAAATGTAATTCCTTGAATACAAAAAGTGGTTGTTTTTGGTTCTAAAGGAGATTAAAATCGAATATATTTAACAAATGATTTTTATATTTTACATATATCGTATAATATCGTGTGTATCGATATTTTCTGTTAAAACCAATCAGTTTCTTTAAATACACAATTTTGGGTTTCAATAGAAGATTCTTGATTGCTAACAGAGTACATTTATTTATCAAAACTATGAGACTATGAGAGAAATTATTATTGGAAAAATTATTTTCAATTATGTTATTGTTTGTTCAAAGATTGGAATATAAAGTTCAATTGAAATGAAGAAAATACTTTACTTGAATATACAAATAATTGAAAAATATATATTTTTTTCAATTGTTGCTTAATTAAAGATCTGTCCTAACAAGATTAAGACTAGGCACAAGAAAAAATAAATTGAAATTAATATTTGGGATTATTCTAATGAATATATTGGCTACTTCGTGAAGGCGTGCTTTCTATAGAAATTTTAAATGGTTTTATATGATTCTACCTTGACTAAAAACCCGCCTTAACGAGCTTAGTTTTGAATTCTAAAAAAAACGAAAAAAATATTATTTAAATATTATTTGCTAAAATATGATGGGGAAAACGCCTCTAGACACTATACTTGTATATGTACGAGTATGTATTAATTTCTAATTATTTTTTTAATATAAGTACATCACTCCACAAAGTCTTTTAATATGTTTTTAATTTATTTTCACAACTCGTTCCCCTCTCATGCAGTTTGCCATCAATGGAAGTTCAATTAAAAACTCGCGCACGCAAAATTGACAGCCGATTTTCGGAGGTGTTGAACAATTTATACACTACATTTGCCCAACTTCCGGTTTCAGGCGTAAGCTGCAAGTGTATGAGTGTGTGTGTCAACTCTGCTGCCGCATAAGAAGTAAGGAGACTCCAGCTCCCTCAAGCGAGCTGCGAGAGCGCGTCTGGATGGAGCAAAGAAAATTTAGTCGCACTTCATAAAATCGTTGTTGTTGTTGTTGTTTCTCCAACTGCAGTATCGCTGCATTTCCCAACTAAATTGTTGCATTTTGTTCAGATCAAAGCAGCAGGCAAAGAAATTGTATTTTTACGACCAACCAACCAATGAGGAAATAGGAAATCTTTGTTGTTTCTTGAGATACGAAAAAAAACGCTGTTAGTGTTTAAGCGGCGCAATACGACTTTTGTATACCCTATCCTGCAACATAAACACCTTTTATTGTACTAATCGTTGCTATGGCAGCTATATAATATAGTCCCCCGGTTTATTTACAACTTATAGCATGAATACTGAGCTTTGTTGTGATATTGTAATAAACAAACACCGATCGTTCCTACACAAGATTTGTAATAACTTGATCTGCACATGGATAAGACACGTCGACAAGCCGAGCTTGGTGTACCTAGCGATTATGGTTCAAAAGTATTCGAAGGTCATACAGTCGAACAGTAAACGGACGAACGAGTTGGCGGACGTTCCCATAGTGTTTCGTCTCGTCATGCTAATCATATAACTGTCTGCTTGCTAAGACAGCTATTTGATATAATCCACCGACTTCGATGGAAATTTACAATACATTCAGGCAGTGTATAAAACTTGTAAATGCCAAAATAAGTTGTGATATTGACATATAACTAAAAAGATTGAGGTTCATACATACAGATAGATCTATTGGCTAACGAATCTTGGCTAAACGAATCTTGTCCTGTCTTGCCAACCACATGCACCTTTGGGTTGCAGGGTATAACAATATAGAACCATCATGAATTCACAGCCATTTAGAATATGTTGCCGTTGTTCACTTAAATATGAATAGAGATAGAATTGTAAGTGCTTCGATTTTGAAGCGAAAATACCATTTTTCAATAGGAAGCCCCCCAAATATTAAAAAAAACAATGCGGGGACATTATTAACAATATCATGAAGGATACAAATTTATTAGTTTTCTTGCACAATTTTATTAAAAAATATTCATTCTATAGCCTAGAGCGATGATGGATAGCTTCGATATATTCTAGTAAAAAAATTATTATTATGTTTAAAATAAAAAAAATGTCTTTTATGTGCTCCTTTCCCCATCAACTCGACTCCTAAAATGCCCGACCGAAGAGCATGCAGGCGAGGAGTAGAGCCATGGATGAAACAATGGAGAAGGCACCATCGCGGGCCAGTGGGATTTGGGTGTCGTTCGCTCTCAGGAAATTGCAGCCAGCACCCTCGCAGAGATAGCAGTTCTCCTCCTTGAGACACAGCTTTTGGGCCTTGGCCGAGGACAGACAGCCACGCTGGAAGGAGCCGTCCACGTTAGTCTTGTTGGTGTTTCGGATGAAGCACTTGTCCCCCAATTGATATAGCGGGCATATTGTGGGTTGGGTGAGGACGTAACGGGCACAGGTGGAGCTGGTCGAGTTTCCAGAGCATTGTAAGCACGAGGGACGGTGGGTGGGGAATACCTGATTGTTGCAGTATTCCGTGAAAGTGCACTTCAGGCACTCCATCTCGTTGGTGCACTTCGCTTGGGTGGCATTATCGAGCTCGTTGAGGCAGCCCCGAATCGTGACGCCATCTAAAGAGAGTAATCCTTTATAGTAATGCGGGAGAGCAAAGCTCTTTGGCCGACTTACTTAGCACTCTCATATAGCAGCCTGTGGTATTTCCGGTACATTCCTTGGCCAGATATTTCGTGGGATCGGTGGCGCAACGTTCGTCCGACGAGGAATTGCATTGCACGCAGGAACCTGACAGCCAAACAAACAATCAATATCTTACAATGTATGTACTATATGTACCATATAGTGTATCGATGTATGTGTGTGTGTGTGTGTGTGTGCCGATATGATAAGATTAATATTCGGGTCGTGCGGATGGTTAGATAAGAAGCTACGAGTTATACGAGAATATTTGTAGAGTGACGTCCTAACAATTTGCTTCTACATTTGTGTACGAAGAACTTATTCTCGAAGTGGACTGATTATTCGTTTATTTAGCAACGGCTTTTTTAACTAAAATATCCCTCATTAATCATTAAGCAACTCCGTTTCGAAAGTTCGCAATACTTGTAGTTAAGTAGTTAAGTAGCATTTGAATTGGCCTTTTGTAAATATTCAGGTTTAATATTTATTTAAGTATCGTATTTCTTTTTTTTTTTTTTTAATTCGGGTGTTGTCGGTGGCTGATTAAAGTTTTATGATCATTTCGATCAGCTTTTTGTGGGGAGTATACTTTTGTATATCTGGCAAATATATATATATATATGTTCCAAATTGTTTTCAATAATCCTAGCAATGTACTACTTGTATATGTACAAATATATGCATTTGTCAACGATTCATAAAATTGCTGATTAAAATCCTATACTTAAGCAGTCAGGCATTTTTAAACAGCTCTAACTTTTTCAGGATTCAATCAAGACAGCGCGTCATAACACTAAGTATATAATAGTATTTATTTGTCATCTAATCATATCTTTATCAGATTGTTGTTGATTCTCAGAAGCTGATAAATTTACAATTTAAAAAATGAAACTAATACAATGCATTGTTAGATTAAATAAGCCATTAATCATAGAAAATGATTAATTGCCACTCGTTACAAAAACTAGCAAAAACTAGTCTGAGTTTCAAAAATGTATTTTCGAAAGCTCTCCATTAAATAGGGTTTGTCGTATGTAGCCCTCATTTTGGATTGAAATCCTGAGTTTGAAGAAACTAATTCTTTAAGAAAATGTCTCTCTGTGCCTCCGTTTTTTTAAGTGAGTTTCTAGAAAAAGGGGAAGTTCTTCTTCTTCAGGAATTCTTTTTTTTGAGTATGCGTCTAAAAAAAATAGTTTCCAAATATTTAACAAATTGATTGCAGAGGTATTTTTTTAAACAACTTTAAAAATGAAGAAATCTGCGGAAATTGTTAAAATAGATGTACTTTATATAACATATATATATATATATATATATATATATATATATATATATATATATATATATATATATATATATATATATATATATTCAAAGCCAAAAAAAAAGCCTCGCTTTCAATTGTTGGATAACGTTTCTAATTTCACAGCTGCTCTAGGAATTATTGGCGGATCGATCACTTGACAAATGGAACGCCATTTCCCATGTACATATGTATCTGCATATGTAATGTTCCGAGAAATTCGCTTCGAATATGAGTAATAGATTCCAAATGTTGAATGTAGGCTGCATGCAATCTTTCGAAATACGAGTACACTCACGATTTTACGAACTCGATAGGCGCACAAAACTATTGCATGTATGTGTAATCGGCCCATTGATAAGATAAAGCCACTGGCCGTAAATTTAGGTAATGCCAAGACCCACAAGAAAACTACAAGTTACATAATGCGGGGCACTGGCTCTCAATAAAAATCAAGTATTAACTTATTATTTTCACTCGCAAAAAAAAGTTCGACGATTATGAAAGGGGGAAACATGTCAAATGGACTTTCTATATACTTGTATTTTCTAAAAAAAAATATTTTACCACAACTGACGTAAGCCACACAGGCCACGGCAAAAACAACCAGCACATATAATACTTTCATTCTGAGTATCTGACTTTAATAAACCGTTGGCTTTTGAGGAACGAACCCGAACTACACACGTTGACGGCTAAACTAAAACTGAAATTGTAAAGCTCGGAAACGAAGTTACCGACTTTAGGGGGCGATAACGAGTGCGACGTCGCTGATTAGGTTCCAGGCAGGTGTATGAATACAAATAGCAGCTATGCGTAATAGTCTGCCGAATGGGGATTATTCATAATGCATGATAAAGGTTTTGTTAGGGACAGACGCTACTTACTATACGTACTCGTATATCTTAAAGCAATCTCTATTTCCTTTTAAAAATATTGATGGTTTGCAAATAACCCCAGCATTTCTCTATATTTCAACTAACAGAAAAGCAGGAAATTATTTCACGAATTCTATAGAGACATATATCTAGTACTAGTGGCCCGCCCCTGATTCGCACCGGTATACGTAACATGTTAGTTTTGAGTTCGCATTTAAGTCACTTGAGTGTTCGCTGGAAAATGTCGTGATCCAGGCGATTCTCCACCGAACTTCCATGCAAACGAAAGGATACGAGCTGTAGTGAATTGTGCAATCGTATTGTTAGCTCTGCGATTTCTCCTTTCCAATCTATCCATTTCACGGGCTGCCTCTCTTTGCTCTTGTGTTTTCCATCAGTTAATTGGTTCGCAATGATCCGTAGCCTAACTGCATTGCGGCTCCGTGGGGAGAGATTAGATCTTCTTGGTCGCGGCATTATTAATAATAATATTCACACATCAAAACAAATCACAGAAAACACTTAATTTTTTATATTACACTTTCGCGGCGTAAATATGTTTGTAATATACTAACTTTAACTGGATTGGCAAAATAATCTGGAACGATTCAGTGAGACCAATCATTTGTTCATTTGTCATGGAAATGACGATTTTTTATGCCAACTTTGGAGCCCGTTTTCCCCTCTTTTGAGCTCAAATTCCAATGTTATTCTGCCAAAAAATCAAAAATCATGAAAATTGGTCCAACTCTTAAATTCTATACTTAATCATAGTTTTCTGCTGCAGATTTGGAATTTACTTTTACAAATTTATTACTTCATTGTAATATGAGTTTAATACAAATTTGTCTGCAGACTATTTGCATGTCTGACCATAGCTATACAAACGATAGTAGCGTAGCTGCCAACTTATATTTCATTTGAAGGGTCAGCAAAACGAACTCGTTTTATTTGATTGATTTGCGTTTGAAGACAACAAATAAACGCTACAAATGAATCGGAGAGTAAGCGACAAAGGTTGCTGTACACACTCAATAGGCTTAGCATTGACACAAACCCAGCGCCACCGCAATGCGTTCCACACAATCGATTTACTTATAAGTAGACTATCGATTATTTAAATAAATACCATTCAATGATCAAATCAACTATCTTTTTAAACAAAAAATTTATCCAACAATGCTGATTTTTTTCACGAATCGGTGCTATGGCCAAATAATTAAATAATAACTTAATCTGCGTATGGATTGAACAAGTCTAGAAACCAAGTATGGTGTCCGTTGCTGTTATGGTTCAAGGGTTCTCAGTGTTCATACGGACGGACACATGGACTGATGGACAGCTCGACATGTCTATAACGATTGAACGCCTCGCCCTCCTTTGACTTTCCAGTACTATACCCTTCAATCTTTCTAAATACTTATTACAATTGAACTCTTTAAAGCCGAGAGTCTTCTTGTTTCGGAATATAGATGTATATATCATGATGTGTAGAAGAACATTTGTAAAATGCAATCAATTTGTCATTTCTAACTATGTATAAAAAAGGATCAAAGTCGAATCCGATCGAATGTCTATTAGTCCGCGTCCGAAAAATGCAATCATAGTACCAAAAACTTTACGAGTTATTTCGATTGTTAAATTGTCTGACCATAATCTGAAGTTTAATCAAAATATATGATAATTGGTAGACCAAAAAGATTATTTCAGTTGATTGGTGGGTTTTATTTCCACTTCCGCTTTGCGTCGTCATCAGGTTTTTCCGAGATTGCAACATAACTTCGCAGCAGTTCCAATACTTTAAGTAGTTTTATGGAGTTACCCGTGCACATTTATATTTAATTTGAGTTGTGCCTTTGGGACACAAATAAATGATAATTATTACAGAAATATATAAATATGTATTTATGTTGATATTGTATAAATATGTAATATCAAAGGATGTCTCAACATGATTTGGCTTTGTGTGTGGAGCCCACAATAACAAAGAACTATTTCTTCCTGGAACTCGAACTGACCGGTTGGTCCTCATTGCTGCCTGCTTGGCGGCGTTTGAGCTCCGCACGTGTATCCTGTACCTGAGCGATGACATTACTCATGCTGGCCTGATATATGCAGTAGTCGTAGACATTCAGACGGGTTTTGTTCTTCTCCATGGCACCGTAAAGGAAGGAATACACAATATTTCCGACGGGTATATAAAACTTGAACCAGTTATGTAGGCGGCCGCTGCAGAAAACAACATTAAAAGGGGCAGTCGAAACACATCGAAAAGTGTGGAACTAAAGTAGCGCGCCTCACGCATAATCACGAAACACTCGCTTTTTTGTCACATTCACAAAATTCACAAAATTTGCAAGAACTTCTTCCGTTTTCACATAGCACGCGATATCGGACAAACGATTTTGGAGAGGAAAACTTTCGATGATGGTCTTTTTTTCGTAACATTGAACAATATCGCTAGGTCGCGAATTCTATTAGAGTTCACGACATTCATGGCCTCTTTTGGCACAACTCTAATTTGGAAAAAATATTTGCTTACTTACACCATTTCCGATTTGTCATGCAGAAAGTTAACAAAGCGCGCCAAGTTCTCCACATCCTTGCGCAGGCTGTCGATGGAAAGTTGTTTGTTAAGCGGATTGTGTCAACAAAAAAAAAAAAAAAAAAAAAACGCATTCAATCACAACTCACTTGGCCTCAGACTCTTGAACGGTGGCACCATCGCGGATTAAACGCACCTCCAGATAGAAGCCATGACTGTACTTATAACGCAAGTATTGCATGCTTCCAATCGCCAGCATCTCGCTGTCCTGAAAGAGCAGAATGAAATCGGCCAATATCTTGCACTCGAGCTCATCGCAGCTGGCAAAGATAATCGTCTTGCCACAGTAGCGTATGTAACGCAATATGTTCCAAATTTCGCGCCTCGTCGTCGACGGCATGCCCCGGGTGGGTTCGTCAAGGACCAGAATTTTATTGTAGGCCACCAGGGCGAGGGCCACGTTGAGTTTGCGACGCTTTTCTGGCGTCAAAACGCCAACCTTGCGATGCATCCAGCCGGTCATGTTGAGCATCAGACAGAGATCGTGCATCTTCTCCCCAATCTTCTGTTCGGGCACTCCCCGTATCATGCACAGCAGACGGATGTGCTCCCGAGGGGTCAGCTCGTTCAGCAAACCACTCTCTTGGGGACAATAGCCGACGTACGCCTGAATTTTGGCCAAATCGTATTTGAAGTCTAGACCACGGACATAGATCTCTCCAAAGGCAAAGCCATCGACACCCACCAGTTGGCGCAACAAGTGGCTTTTGCCCGAATTCCGAGGTCCAAAAATTCCCATGCTCATGTATCTAAAAAGAAGGTGAATTCACACTTTATTGTAAGAGTATAAGCTATCCGAATTATATTATATTATAAAGCTGCAATAGAAACATTTCGTATTAGTACCAAAATCAATTTTGTGCACTACGATACCGTAGCCTAAAACCGCCTTACTATATTCTGAAGTTTCATTGAAATCGATGGAATTTATCATATAGCTGTCTTACAAAGGATGGGTGCCATAAAGTTTAGTTAGGGACGTTAAGAGGGGTCGCTTCCACTCACTTGTTTAGCGCGAACGAGACCGTATTTATTTTGGTGCCCTTCTCCGGTATCTTGGCCTCAACCTGATCGACTAGAAAGACCGATTGCTTGCACTTGCTCATATCGGCCTCGGCGATTTTCATCTTAACATCGGCCACATCGGCATCATCGTAGGGATAGCAGGCGGTGCGCATTTTATGCAGACTGTAGTTAAAATGTGAAGTGGAGAATTTGAAAGACTCGACGACTCACTTACTCCTTGGATGAATGAAACATTTTCTCCTTGCGATGCAATTCGATCCAGAATATCAGAATCAGAGCTGTGAGCGCCGCCAGTATCATGAAGGTAAGGGCGGGCAGTACACCCGGATCGGCCCACTTGAAATATGTATCGACTGTAAGTATTTTCTGTCTATTAAGCAGAGGACAACAGCATCAATTCATTTATCGCTACTCACACTGACAATGTGGCACCACTTCGTTCATATTTTCCGGCGTACAAAACTCCTGAGCCGCACACTTAGCCTTACACAGAGCCTCCTCCATGCACTGTGTGTAGATGTTGCTGATGCCGTCGAGAAGTGAGAAGCCCGGCGACATGGAGGCACCATAGAAAAATATTACATTGCTATTGGCCACATCCCAATAGATAATATACAGCACCAGACCTACAGAATGGCGAGCTATTATTACTAGTTTTCAAAAGTCATTATATTCCAGCCTGTGGCTTCATTTATAGAAATGAGCAGGAGGTACAATGTTCATGGCCCTTTTAAATGCAAATCATTTAAAGATTTTTTACCAGCAGAATCAAAGAAATAAAATAAACTCGTGTTTCCTGGATATTAGGAGAGCCTACACACCGAGTTTGATTAATGTGGACTGAACGCTCTCCGAAATCCAGGCGTTCATCCAGACAGACGGACGGCTCTATCAATTCGTCATGCTGATTAAAAAAATAGTATATACTTTAAGGGGTCGGAGATGCTTCCTTCTGCCTATTACCTACTTTGCAAAAACCTAATATACCCGTTTTACCCTACGGGAAAAACGAATAAATAAGTTATCTACATAAACTACATATTATAAAGAAAACTTAAAATCGGACCAGACGATCGTTGATGTATTCGCTGGCTACATTATCAGTAGGAGATAGTGGTAAATAGTATTAAATACCTATCCACAAATTGTGGTTAAGCGTACCTGTCAGTCCCTGCACCAGCACAGAGGAGAGGAAGGCGCGTACCACTGATGTATTAACATACATGGACAGCAAATAGGTCATTGGCAGTGCGGCGAGACCAAACACAGTCATCAACAGCAAAAGTACTGCAAAGATGAACGTAATATATACATTATTTGTTGTGGATTTAAATAAGAGATTAAACAGATCATACAGAAATTTTCGTAGGCCCCAAAACCGCCAATTCCCGCAAAGGCGACAATCATCACAATGATCACCGAATAGATAAAGAACGTAAACAGATCCCAGAACAGGTTGATGCCCCAATAGATTTCCAAACCGATGCCGGCAATCACTTGCAAAATACGCAGCTGATAGATTTGCTCCTCGACCAGCGGAATGATGAACACAGACACGGCCAGAGGCAGGATACAGCCAATGGCCAGTGGGGCATTAATGTGTGCTATCTCGTTGTCCAGCAGGTTGATTTTCATGGAAAGGGGGGTGGGCATCGGATGGTTTTCCACCAAGTAGACAATATCCGTATTATTCGGATACGAAATCCTGTTAGGAGTGAAAGGTAATGACAGCATTAAAAGCATTCAAAGATTAAAAGCTACTGACCTGAGAATTATGTTGTGCAGGAGATTTAAAGTCATCGGTGCTGAATGGAAAGTATCCTGGGATATATACCCGTTGAGCTTCTGATCACCGCTGGGTTCCACAGCACCTAGACTATTCGCCTTGTGTGCATCCTTTAAGTTGTCCCTGTAGCTGCCCTTTTCGCACACAAACGAGTCCTTCTCGAAGGTGCGCGAAACCGCATTCGATTTTTTAAACGACAGCGTCTTCGTCATCGATCGTATATCAATATAGCCGCAATCGTTCAAATTCGGTATGTTGTCCACCGTCTCCTCGGCTGAGGTAAAACCTATCTTAATGGTATTTGAGCGCACATTCGGCACATCGAGCACGATCGCCAAACGCGCTATAATTACGATCAGTAAGAAACTAGTGAAAATCATAATGATTGGCCACACATTGGGGGCCGTATGTATCATTTTCTTATAGAACATCGCCCGCATTTGTTGTTTGCGCAGCTCCTTCTTGGACACCACCGAATACTTGAAAGTTTGCGCTATTTGAAAAGGTAAAGGCAGTTATAGCGATCGCTCTAAGTTTATTTTGAAACGTCAAAAACTTTTAGGCCCTAACATCTAGGCCCATACGCAGATCAAGTTTATCACAAATCATATATACTTAGTATATGTTTTAGCCAATTTTGTACCCAAAGAGTAGAAGGGTATATTAGTGTGGCGAGAATGTATGTAACATACACAAAATTATAAATATTCTTGATTAGTATGACAAGACAAGTCGATATGGCAATGTCTGTCCGTATCAGAGGGATCTCAGAGACTATAATACCTAGGAACACCAAATTTTGCTCCCAAATGCCTTATGTGACTACGCAGTTTAAGTATATTTCAAAATTTTCTTCCTTTCCCCACTCTCCCTCTATAAAGAATTTTTCATAACTCCCGTTATTCTTGGAATTTTTTTATCGCACCTTTACGGGGTACTGAGAAGTTCAAATAATGTCTTAATATATTCTGAAGAGATTTATCGAAATCGGTAGACTATATCTCATAGAACAATCGCTTTAAAAATAGCTTTTAGTACCAACAACTTTTTTGTTTGGCGCGATTCGCAACCAATTTTTGTGTTCATGTCAGTTTTTAATAACGTTCCACTATATTCTGAAGTCACATAGAAATCCGTGCACTAGCATTATATAGGAGAGATTGGTACAATACAGTTTTTTAAAGCCTAGTATGAGACGGGTGCAGTGTATGCCAGAGTCTAATACTCGTTATCATGGTTGGGAAAGAGTACTCACTGACATCCGGAATGATTTGCTGTTGTAGTCGAAACGAGGTGACTAGTTTCATATAAATGTCGGACATTTCGGAGCCGACAACGCGTACATTCTCGATGCCCAACATCTTGCGATCGTTCTCTAAATGTATGAGCATGCGCTGTAGTCGAGGCCGATTTTCCAAATCAATTTTGTAGGTCAGTGTATCGCCGATCTCATTTTCTGGCTCAATATCCGATATGAAGCTCTGTAGAAAATCTGTAATCGGCTGATCGGGCACATGGGGTTTCTTGATTAGAACCAGCTCAATGGTGCTGCTAAATTTAGCGCGCAAAAAAAAGGGTGTTCCACTGGCCTCCAGGACTCCCATGCTTAAAATGGCAATGCGATCGGCAATGCGTTCAGCCTCATCCACACTGTGGGTGGCCACAACAATGGCGCGTTCCTCCTTCTCGTTCATTACGATCGTCCAGAAGGCCTGAGCCTCGCGACCCGTCAAACGCGTTGCCGGCTCTTCGAGCAGCAGCACTTTTGTTTCACCAGCCAGGGCGCAACAGAGGGAGACCAAACGACGTACCCCGTATTTAAGATCGCCAATCGGCGTCGATCGGCTTTCGATGTGCGGATCCAAATAGTCCATCCACTTGCGCACCTCAATGTCGAAACGATCCGCCGATTTGGGACTCAACTTAACCCGCACAAAATACTCAATAATCTGCTCGACGGTGAGAAACGGTGGGAGGCCATTCTCCTTGCAGCGGAAGTCCACCAAATTACGTTTACCACCCATGTGGCTGTGCAGGTCCTCGCCCATGAGAAAAACACTGCCACGTATCGGAAACTTGAGGCCAGCCATCACCCTCAGCAATGTAATCTTTCCGGAGCCAATGTGTCCGAGCAGAACCAGCACCTCACCCTTATAGATGCGCAACGATACGTTCTTCAATATCTTGCGCTCTGATTCGCGATGTGTGGTGCTAACGTGACGAAGTCGCATCATCTCCTGACTGCCCACATCTCCAAACTCAAAATTATGCCAACTGGGCGTGCGCCCAAAATGCAGATAATGTGAATCGATCTCTCGCTCTTTGCGCGGCTTGTTGGACAACACCCGGCGACTAAGCAGGCGTCCCGGCGAACGCCACTGAATTATTATCAACAGCACCAAATAAATTAAAACGCTCGCGAGCACGGATATGTAAAGTATGAGATAGTCAGAGGTTCGCAACTCTTCGGGTACCTCCATCACACGGTGAAAGAGATGCATACTGAATTCTAGTTGATTGTTAAAGAACCACAGCAGTATGAAGATTACATAGAAACCGCGAATATCCCAATAGCGCTGTAGGATGATCCCAAAAACGGCATAATTGAAGACCCAAATCACAATCGAAAAGAGCACAGCGTTTACAGGTGATGGAAACAATTTGGCAAACACCATCGCAGTCAGAATGAGGCCGATGGTGAAAAATGGTATAAAAATTATCATAAGTCCAAGTGCCTTTAAAGAAAGCCCAGCTTCCATGCACCAAAATATCTTGGAAATAAATCAAGTTAAGCTGATTGATAAATACAAAAAGAATTTGCAGAAACCACTCACGAATATAAATAAAATAATGACTAGTCCCAGCAACAAGAGACGCAGAAATAGAACCAGAAATATAGCCAGCCACTGTTTACAGAATGTGTAACCATATTGCCACTGGTGCACCATTGTGTTGTCCTCCAGCTGCCTGGCAATGTTCTGCAGTTAAAGAGAATAACATTATTAGTTAGATTGAGATGCGTTGAGTTGCTTTTTCTTTAGTTTTCGGTAGACTTCTCCTAAATACTAATTATAGTCCATACTCTCTCTAAACGTTTAATTAAACTAAAACAACGGAAAACTGTATAATAGTTGTAGATTCTCTACAAATAAATATTTTTCGATAGAATCCACCCATCTTAAAATTGGCCACTTTCTTTCATCTTCAATATCCCATAATCAAAAGCTTAAATTCAATTTCACAGGATAACTTTTAAGCGTCTGTAGAGACTCCACCCAGCTGAAATTGTTGACACACTTTCTTTTATCATCCACCTTCAATACCACACACTTACTTAAAAGGAAATTGAATTTTCTTTTTGAGGGAAACGTAAAGCATTCCCAAATTCTACTCACCTGTACGATATTCAAAAAGGGCAGCAGGTATAAGAAGTTGATCAAAAATTCCGGCATGCTAGATACCCCAACTTGTGAGCAGGTATCTTCGGTGGCCTTTAGACGTACATTATGGACCTCAACATGTGGCTCAGGATACGATGTGGGGAAATCGGTAATTATTTTGTGAAACCATTGCACAAAGATCTGATGTTGTAGCTGTAGGAATCCCTCTCGTATATAAATGTCCTGATTCACATTATCATCTTTGGCATTGTCGCGCTTGGGATTTACAACTCCCGTACAGCGCGTGACCCACAGACGGTCTTCGGTCAGAAACGAACTGATTGTACGAAACTCACTTGGAAACCGTATGGCGACCGAAAGGGTTTTGGGTGCCTTTTCACCGTTTTCTATATCATAGAAAACGATGCCGGCCAGAGTGGTCCGTTCATCAAATTGATTTTGGAGGGCCTCGGCATTATCGAATCCAATGGTGTCATTTAATTGAAGCTTTGTGGCCACTGCTTCGACCACTTCTTTCACAAATGGAGTCTTTGGTGAGTAGGCTAAATAAAATTTAGTTTTCTCGCGCTTCGAGTCGACAAGGCTCCTAATTTGAAACGGTCATTTTAAAGATTTTATTAGCCTGTTGATTTCTTGAACTTACGTTAATATATTAATGTCCCCCAAACTGTGGGAGACGATGCCCATGTCGCTGGAGAGCTCATTGCGAGCATAAAGCATACGTTTTGAATGTGTTATCGGATTTACTAATATTACAATCAGCATTATAATTATGATGATAGACTCGAATAAGATGCGGCGCCAGAGAGATATCTCCATTTTCCAATTGCGCTTAAACAGCACTCCGAACTCTGCAGGCATTTTGACGTGATATTGTGTTCGAACTGAAGCACCCACTCAGCATAAAGTGTTTTTTTGTGTACAATAAGAAAAAACAATGTTAAAACAGCCGGCTAGACATTTGTATAGTTTCGAAAAGAAACTCCATGTTAATAGTGTTTATAAAATAGAGGCCGCCTTTAATATACAAACATTCTGTATGTGTGTAAATAAATAAGTGGCGCCTTTACAGGTCCCTTGGAAAAATTGTATCATTTGGCGCATTGTAACCAACAAGTATGAATTAGAAAATGCCAACCTACAGAAGTGTAACATTGCAGTACCATTTTTACAAAACGGTCACACGTATTTATTTAAACTATTCATTTCAAAATTATACTTATTTCAGTGCTTCTTGAATTTCCGCAACGAACAAAAATGGGCGCTCGACCAGTGTTGTCCCTTCGATAGTTTTTCGATATAATATCTGTCGCCGGGTAGCTTACCATCGCAAGCGAATTCAAGAATGCCGAGTCATAAGCATAAGTAAAAAGCAATAGTGAGGGAGAAACAAAGTTGTACGTATTTTCAAGCAAATAACTTAATTGCCATTTTCGAAAAGCTATTAACTAGGAACAGGCCACAAGATGACTGTGACCAACAGGGTGAGTGGTTAGCTTGACAATAAAACATGAATAGCTGAAAATAAGTCCATACGTATGTACATATACATATGTATGTATGCACACTTTGCAGATGGAGATTGAGACAGCCTACCAAAAGGGCGAAGGCTTTCGATCGTATTACATTCAAAAGATTGAGGAGCTGCAGCTGATTGTGGCCGAAAAAAGTCAAAACTTACGACGCCTGCAGGCGCAGCGTAACGAACTAAATGCTAAGGGTAAGACCCATACGCGCATATGTACGTATAGATGTTTGTTAATTAACAAAAAATGCACTTTCAGTTCGCATGTTGCGCGAAGAGCTGCAGTTGCTGCAGGAGCAGGGCAGCTATGTTGGCGAAGTAGTCAAACCCATGGATAAGAAGAAGGTATTGGTTAAGGTACACCCCGAAGGAAAATTTGTTGTCGACCTGGACAAGAATATTGACATTAATGATGTGACTCCCAACTGCCGCGTCGCTCTACGCAATGAAAGCTACACTTTGCATAAGATCCTGCCCAACAAAGTCGATCCATTGGTCTCACTTATGATGGTCGAGAAAGTGCCGGATTCGACATATGAAATGGTCGGTGGTCTGGACAAACAAATCAAGGAAATCAAAGAGGTCATCGAATTGCCTGTTAAACATCCGGAGCTCTTCGATGCTCTGGGCATTGCCCAGCCGAAAGGTGTGCTGCTGTATGGTCCTCCCGGAACGGGCAAAACTCTATTGGCGCGTGCCGTCGCTCATCACACCGAATGCACATTCATCCGTGTGTCCGGCTCCGAATTGGTGCAGAAGTTCATTGGCGAAGGGTCACGTATGGTGCGTGAGCTGTTTGTAATGGCTCGTGAGCACGCACCGTCTATTATATTCATGGATGAAATCGACTCTATTGGCTCGTCACGAATTGAGTCCGGATCCGGTGGCGATTCCGAGGTGCAGCGCACCATGTTGGAGTTGCTAAATCAGCTCGATGGCTTTGAGGCCACTAAAAATATCAAAGTGATTATGGCCACAAATCGTATTGATATTCTTGATCCAGCTTTGTTGCGTCCCGGTCGCATTGATCGCAAAATCGAGTTCCCACCACCAAACGAGGAAGCTCGTCTCGACATCCTGAAGATTCATTCGCGCAAAATGAACTTAACGCGTGGCATTAATTTACGCAAAATCGCCGAACTGATGCCTGGCGCATCAGGTGCCGAGGTAAAAGGCGTCTGCACCGAAGCGGGAATGTATGCATTACGCGAGCGTCGCGTCCATGTCACCCAGGAAGACTTCGAGATGGCTGTGGCAAAGGTGATGCAGAAAGACTCGGAGAAGAACATGTCGATTAAGAAACTCTGGAAGTAAGGCACTCTACCTATCTGCCTTGCAGTTGATAATTACTATAACCATTACACTTATATTTTATATTTGCATAAGTTCTGTGAAAATAAAAGCTGAGCATGCCTCATAAGTCGCTGTAGATTTTTGAAATGAATGCAGACTGAGTTTGTCGAATAAGACATTTTAATTTACACCAAACAAAAGCACATAGTATGCAAGTATTAAACGAAAGATTTAGATAAACCAAAGAGTAACTGTAAAGAGTATATCGTACACTAAGTAGAACGGAGCTTGTTGGTGGCCTGTTGCTGCTGGCGCTCCCCCTGCAGCATTCTGCGTATTTCCTCATCATCAGCAACATCGATGCACGTCTGCTCATCGACATCACGCAATTCCATGTCCGCTTCCAGGGAGAGCAACAAACGTACAGCCTCTACATGCCCACAACTGGCTGCATAATGTAATGGTGTCTGCTGCTCGGCATCCCGTTGATTGACACTGACGCCTCGCGCCACCAAATACTCAATGATGGAAATGGCATTGCGATCGGTGGCCCAATGGATTAGACCCATGCCTTGCTCATCGAGTGCTACCAGATCTGACGGCTGCAGTACCTCCTGTAGACGCACCAAATTGTTATCCTTGACATGATCGAAAGCGGTCTTTTCGTGATCCGCCTTCTGATCCTCTAAGGGCTTCGACTCAATGGAATGCACCACCCAGCTGCCAAGACCAAGCTCACCACCGATTCCCTTGATTTTGTTGCTGTTGTTGTTGCCGCTGCTGCCGCCGTTAAACTCGGCCCTCCAATTGGGCTGCAGCTTTTGCAATTTATCGACATAGGCACGTTGCGCCTCCTCATTGGTCATGTCACCCAATTCATGCCAAGCTCCCCATTTACTGCGGGCCCTCATCTGTAACAGTGGTGGACGGGGGGCCCGACAAGGACCCTCCAAAGCCTGTTTGTAAAAGGCATAGAACTGCAACAAATCGGTTGAAGAAAACACTTGCGTTTTGCGTGTCACATGAGCAACGGCCATTGCAAAGTGGTCCTCGAACTCCTCGTACTCGCCGGCCAAGCTTCCTAAATCTGCATCACTGTCTGACATTGTTGTATATGGATTTGTATGTATATATGTAAATATATATATATATATATGTATGTATGTATATGTTTACTTGTCTTGCTTACGTGTGTGTTGTGTATGAATGACTGATTGACTAACTGATTGCCTTAATAATAAACTACAGACTAAACGTTCCAAATGCTATATTTGATGTATTACGTCCGGCGCCTACGATTTTTGTATATTCAAGTAGTTACCCTCCAGTATGTGTTTTTGCTCGTTTTCAATCTTCTCGAGCGCGCCGATACCGTTGAAGCTTACAAATCCGTACCCTTTGGAGCAGCCAGTCTTTTTGTCAAATATAACATTGGCTGACACAACACGTCCGAACTCTTTGAAATAGCCCCGCAATTCCTGATGCCCCACCGTCCAAGGCAAGTTGCCCACGAATATGCGGTGAACTGTTTTTCCGACTTTTGCTACTGCGGTGGCGGCCATGTGGACGAAAATTGTATTATGCACTGTCACACACGTTCTCACTGGCTGAAATTTGAATGATATGCCGAAAGATTGACATTATGTGTTAATATGAAAAGTTTTGTCATAATAAATGCGTCTCCCACCTGCTATTTGTTGCGTAAATAAGTATCTGATTCCAATTTTGCCATGAAACTAACCTCAACTAACTCTGAAAAGTGTGCACACATCTACGATGCGAACAGTTATCTCAAGAACACCTTCAAGTTTTCACTGGTGTGTACACATTTATTGTCAAAGCCCGCGTAATCACATTGAAAAATTTGAAATAGACAATAAAAACAAAGTTTTTTATTTTATGTACTGTGGCATTTTATTTGTTTTGCTTTTTTTCCATTTAAATACAAATTTGTTGCTTGCTCGTTTCTTTCTACACATGTAGCAAATTGTTTTTTGCTTCTCACACAGTCAACAACAACAACATGTACATATATACTATTATATGCATATGTATATTTTACATGCTTGATTGATAGATTCCTCTCTCCTCATTAATTAATTTCCATTAAATCTTTTGGTAAATTGTGTCTTAAAGTACATACGTGTTGCATTTGCGCCTATTTATTTGTATGTAGCATGCTTGATTGTTGTTACTGCTTTATTTTGCTTGTTTTGTTTCTTTGATTTTATTAAGTATTTGTATGGATTTATTTGCAATGTGAAGTTATTGTTTTTTACGTGCTATGATGTCTCAACAAATTTTCTTTAAGCTACAGACTACTTAAGATTAACAACATCGCACACAAACAACAAACAAATTAGTATATATATGTATAATTAAACAAGTAGTTTCATTCTTTTACGTTGTTTGTTTCATGTTTCTTGTTTTTGTTTTATAAAAATACAATATAAATAAATTAGTTGGCGTGAGCTTGGGCTAAAGACATGATTGTTGTTGTTCATAATTTTTGATAAGCATTTGAATAACTAACTATGGAAGCAGTTTTCGTTTAACTCGCAATAATTATAATTACAATAGTAATAATAATAATAATAATAGTTTACAAAATCATACACAATAGTCATTAGGATTGCTGCCAATTTTCTTTGTGTGATGATGTACGTTTGTGTATGTGTGAATAGAAGTTTGTATTTTCTAGGAACGGCGGCATTTACACACATCTATTTATTGATTTATTTGCTTTTATTAAGATACAGATGTGTGTGTCAAGAATTGTTAAATTATGAATTAATTGCTGCGGCTCAGCCGCAGTTTTCGGTCTGATTGGCTTTACTTATAAATCAAATATACCCCTTTTTAAGTTTTTTTTTTTTTTGTTTTGTTTGGTTTAAATAGTTTTTTGTGGTTTTTGTTACATTTAATGCCAGCTTATAAATTTAAATACATATGTACGGGTTTCACTCCTCCTCCTGCATGCAGGACGGACTTAAACAAATAGATTTGAATTTAAATAAAGGTAAGTGTAAATGAATGTGTTTTAGAAATGGTTGACTATTTAGTTGAACGCTTCTTCAACAACGCAAAATTGAAAAAGTTAAAAAACATTAATAAATTATAATAAACATACAGATTTGATTTTAGTGTCCAATGTTAAGTTTTTCTTTTTACAAAATATACAATTCATTAAGGTTGATAGCTGTCTATATTTTACTAATAGTTGGCTGAAAAAGCGTTTCATTGTCTCTCCTACTTTCTGATGTTTGCAAAACGGTTCAAATCAATTGTTTAATAACTCTATAGCTATATAAATATGCATAATGGTGAAAACAGAGTAAATTTAAAGTAATATTACAACAAACTATGCTTAGACATTAGCGTATATAAATATACATATATTTATATATGTATATATATATACATATATATTTATACATATGTATTAATGATTCAATATCTTAATTGTAAACTATATTTCTATATAGATGATATAACTTGTCAGCTAATTGTTTTGCTTTTCTCTTTAAGACTGGCTCTTACTTATGCGAAAACTTGCAGAAAACCTTCTAACATACTCTCGACTTAATCGCATATCTATATATGTATAATTCATATAGAATCCCTAAAACGTACACAACAACTAATCGGAAAAAGGCGTACAAAAAGTATCATAATAATAATTAATATATTTAATTTAAAAAAAAAAAATAGATAAATATACACATACATATATATTTATATTAATAGCGAATTGAAAATATAATTACAACATTTTTATGCACTAAACGTAATAAGAATAGATTTAAGGTGATAAAGAAAAAATTCGTTTATGTGTCACAGCACCAGCATTTTTGTTGTTTGTTTGTTTGTTGTTGTTGTAGTTGTTGTGGTTTGTTGTTGTTGTTGCAGTAGCAGTTTCAATTTGTAAACTGTAAGTTGAAAACGCATTCGCCCATTACGACAAATATACGATAATAGATACGATAAATGGAACCGCACCCGTCCAAGCATCTGGCGAGCATACCGATACGGTGCGGATACGGAGGCGACGAACCTGCTACCATAAACGATGCAAGTGCAGGTTTCGGGATAACACCGAGCGCACATCGTTCGTGAAACGTAGTGCGTCCAGCATAGGCAGAAGCGATAACAGAGCTGTGTCCATCGGATCGGAGAACCAGCTTTTGATGGGTATTGCATTATTGGGAAAACAACGATATGCACCGGGCGAATTGTCAATTATAAATATCTGTATAAAGAATAATTCAAAGTCAATTAGTTAGCACTACTTTTCTTCTTAAGCACAATATATGTATGTATAAACTTGCCAGCACACACAAACACAAACAATATCACAATCGCTATCTTCGATATGCCGAAGTTTCTATAACTTTGCAAAGATGTTGGGATTTTCCATTTGTGTGATCATACTGAAGAATTTCAGAAAACAAATATCATTATATTGCAAACATACCGGCTACACCCTTTCAACTAAAATAGACTTTATAGTACCTATGATTCCTATAGCAGCTCCATATACATATGTATATGTATGATATAGTGCACCCATTTTGATGAAACTTCAGATTATAGTGAGACATTATACAAAACTAATAAATACAAATTTTGGGTACAGCAGCGTAATAAACAAAAAACTGTTCGGTACCAATCGCTATTTCTGCACCGATTGCAGCTATATTATATAGAAACCCGACTTTAATCAAATTTCGGATAATGGTGAGGTACTATCCAATCCACATAAGTATATTTATTCAGATACCTCTATAAACAAAGAAGTTATCCTACATGACTGATTTTTGCACCAATTGGAATCAAATACAACAATAACCATATTATATGTTGTTGGCACATAAGTTATCTGACTTAATATGTAAATTTGAAAAAGAATGGCAATTTAAAGAGCTAAAGGTAAAACTGATCGTTTCAAGTCTATAGTATATGAACATAACATATAATATTAAATATCTGGTTTACAACTTCATATATGAATTAAGCTGATGGTTTGAAATTTAAATAAATTTATATAGTAAATCCATCCATCCATCCAATATAATATCATTTGCAAGGCTATGATAATATCAACTTCAAAACTATTTCACATCACTTGTATGCACTTTGTTTTATATAACCCCTGGATCTTTGACTCACTTCGCAGGGGTTACGAACAAATTTTTTAGCTTTTAAAGAAGCAACTAAAAAAAAAGCAACCAAATAAAATAGCCAACTCGAAAATAAAACAAGAATAAATCGAATGAGTGCCCACAAAAAAAAAATTAAAGTTGAAAAAACTTTAAAAATGAATCAATAAAATTAATAAAATTAAATAAATAAATCACACATATGTACATAAATGTAGACATATGTTTATGTGCGTTTATGTGGGCAGTACAGAATTAAGTCAAAGAACATGGTATAATGGTCAAGAAGAGGAAGACTGTTTGGTTGTAAATATTGGAATATGGAAGAAAATTTGTAACAAAAGAAAGCTTTATTCGGATAAAGAAGTGTTTTATAAACTTGCATACATTGCATTCACCATATGGGTCGTTTCCTGTCTGAAAATTATCTGAGCCACTCACTCTATTCAAATCACTGCATATGGCAGACAAGTCTTTGGTATACGATCCGTAATCGGGCGTACAATGTTGCCGATAATAGCGGCGCCGCAGTATGTTGCGGCCGTTGTCCAGTTTGTCGGCAACCGCTGCTCCATAGATCTCCATACTAGCGGTAAACACAACCAGATCGTACCACTGTGATACCTGTGGAAGATAAGTGTAATGCGTATGAGCAAATTCAGAGTGTTAATCATTGCTATCGGTATGGAACTGGGTCTTTAGTATTAAGATTGATTTTTTGCTTCGAGATCTCCTATCCGATTTTAATACAATATTAGATTACGTTGATCTACGTATTGATTATATAAGTATGTATACCAAGTTTGGCGGCCCTAACTATTAAAGTTCAATTGTTTTCGGGGTTCATACAGACGGACAGTCGGAAGAACTCATGATCATATATGTGATCCTTTTGCCTCTTACATATATTTGGCGTTCAGAACCATTCTAACTCAATCTCTAAATAAGAAGACTTAAGCAAGCTCTTAAAATAGACGATCGATTGATCAAATTTCTCTCAAATTTCCATACCCTTTCCACAACAGCAAAAAACTATTTTAATATAGATACTGAATATCTAAATACTTACCACATTCAGAAAGTAATCGACATGCGGCCTTTTGTGGACAAAAAATCGCACAGGATGTCGATCGATTGTCACTTTTACAGTGAAATCGTGCGGCGTACCAGGTTTCACTGTATTCCTGGGCATCGCATTGTGATGTGAATGTATGAGCGTCTCGTCGAGATCGAGCACCAGCGTTTTACGTGGCACCAGGCTTAGGCGATGCCGCGAGACCGGCGACAGTGGAGATAGTTCATATTTAACCGGCTGATACTGGATAAACTATAGAGTTAATATAGCAGATTTGTATTTTCGCGCACGTATCAACAATTAAAACGCATTTGGAAACAAACAAATAAAAACAACAAAACTGTATACATATGTGTGCATAATATTTAAGGTTTCAAATTCTAACAAACAATAGAAGGTGAGATATGGAATGCGACATTAGGAATGAAATGAATTGAAAGATCGAGTTGGAAGTTGCAAGCTCGATCGGCAATGTACCGTTAATTGGCCTGATCTACCACTCTTAATACTAGATTGGATTATGCTTAAGAGACCCCTATGAAAGCAATGCAATCACGATAGGTAGCATATATGCAAATATTATTATAACAAGGCTATTATTAAAAATATGTAGTACTACTCTACAAATATACGCAAATTAGAAACCCATATCAAATCTCATATCCATGGTTTATAACAGATAAGCCGTTCTATTGTAGTGGAATACAATTGACGGATTTCCGAGTGCATGCGCCTTTTATACAGTCACCATGAAAGACTAAAATACAGCACACACACATAGACCTTGTCCGATCGCTGCGGTTTATTGTTTAATCACATTTCAAAGTTAAAATTGTATTGATAAATGAAAGGTTATGTGCCACTTTTGATAACAGAACACAAGCAAGTGTTTTGTTGATAGATATGAAATAGTTATCTAGCTATTAATAAATAATGGCAAGTATATTGAAAGATGGAAGAGATGCCAAATATATTTTAGAAATCGTTTGATTATTATTCATAGATTTCTCTGTGCTTCCCTTTAAATGATTATATGAGCCTAATGAGTTATATGTGTGTATGTAAGTGTGAGAATTAGTTTATGCCAGGCGTTATAATACGAATGTATGTGTATATATGTATATGATTGTGAGTGTAATACGATTAGTGAAAATAGTATAAGTACACATGTATGTATGTAAGTTATGTAAAATTGTGAGCGTTTTGAGAGAAAATACTACGTGCGCTGGAGGTGTCACAGATATTTCGATACTTTTTCCTTTCTTATGACCGTTAAAGTAAAGCAAAATCAAAACCTAAACATAACACGAAACGATCACTTTTCATTGGATTGAAATGCTCAAAATATTTGTGTATACCTGATATTTAATGAAGCTTAATACAAATTTAATAATTTAAGTTCAAAGATAGCGATGACTGAATTATTAACTGCTAAGAAAATGGTCACCCACTTATGCTGTCACATTTCAACCGACCAACAAAATCAAACATTCAACAGAAATTAGGAATCATGTTTTTTTATAACATTAACGCTAATTAAGGTTACATAACATTTAACACATTGATGCATCGTTTAATATTTTTTAAAACAAATGATGTATGAACTATAACATGAATGTCGCATATACAGATGTATAGTATGTTCATATATTTAGGGCATTTGATGGTTTTAATATTTAAAGGCATCGTTTGAGCCGTGATTCGCATGACAACATACTCATAATTGGATTGTCACGTGCCCATCTCTATTATAGAGTTATGTATTATGAACATACATCCATACATATGTACATAAATATGTGCACAGATACAGAGGCAGAGACAGAGACTATTTGTGATATTAATGCTTAAATATGTTTCTTTACTTACAGCTCGCACTTGGCGATTGAACATGAAACAGATGCATGTCCAAACTTTTGAGAGCAGCACCAGCAACGCATGAAATTTCATTTGCAACACCGAAATCATTGGTAAGAAGTTTTCTTCTTACCAATGCAACAAAAAGCAGCGGCGCTGAACAGCTCTATTTGATATTGTTTCGCAATTATATGAAGTTCGCCCTATACCGGTAACGACTATTGAAAAAAAAAATAATAATAATAATACTGCGACGAAACACACCGATAGCGACACCGACCGTTGCGATTTTGATTTGTATTTGTTTTAAAGAGCTAAACTCACACACACATGTGTATTTTTAAAATACACATACAGTCGCAAACACACAGTCGCAAAAAGTGATCGCAATCTTTTCGGCGCTCCAACAACAAAGCCGGCTGTCAGGCGCTGGTTGGTTGGTTGTTCTTGGCTGGCGGCGACGGTTGGCTTTTGGAGCTTTGATAACGGACAAACACACAGAAGGCACAAAATCGATATTAGCGACTGTGACTAAGCTATGCTTGTTAAACTGTTGCTAACAACCGTTTAGTTTGGCCAAATTATAAAAGAATAAATTAAAAATTTAAGACAATGCCGCGCGCGCTTTTATTTTTTACACATTCGGCGCCTTTTTCTTTCACCTGGCAATGGCAATGTGTGTGATTGCTGCAGTTGTTCGTTTTGGTTGCTGTTGTTTTTATTGGCACGACCACGACGGGCTGCTGTTAATAATTATGCGATGAGAACCGTCCGTCTATTATTTAACATGTACTACGTACATGTAGTTATGTACCTATTAATGTATGTATATACTTTTGCACCTTTTTAATATTATGCTGGCCTTTCGGTTGCGGTTTGGATTTTGTTTTATCTTGCTCTTGTTTTTGTATACTCTTGTTGTTGTTATTATTTTATAGTTAGAGCGCGTCTCTTGGCCTTCTGCAGGGTTGGGGTTGAAGTTTTGCGGCGTGTTCTCGTTGTGGTTGCGCTAATTGTATCGAAAATTGTAAGCACTACAAAGCAGCCGCACAAAAAAAGAAAAAATGCAAAAAAATGAAAATAGAGAACGCTCGCGCTCGCTCTGTATAAAGTACGGGTACGGTAGGTGATATTATACGTTGCGTATGCGGTAAATTGTTATTGCACTTTGATATTCAACACGTAAAACTATGCTATCGACTTGTTGTTTTTGCTTAGCATCATATGTATGTACACACAACCACATACACCGTATTTATATACGCATATATATACCACAGAGTTAGTAAATGCGTGCAATAAATTGTCACTAGAGTTGGCAAAATATCGATGACACTTTCGATAGCTTAGATTACCGCAATTCCAAATATCGATAGGACACTATTGCTTGCTCACCCTATTCACCAACCGTTTTCACCACGACTTTCATCTTACTAAGATAGAGTTTGATTAGTTATGTGCTGACGATTCGATAACACTATCGGCTCAAGATGGTAACAGGGCGAATATGTGTTTATTTAAAAATGCTTTACCAGCCTATCCCTATTACCAAACACGGAAGTAATAATTTAACTGACAAAGAATCGTGAATCTAATCGGTTTTTGATTCCGGCATGATATTAATCACCAATTCAGCAGAAGCTTGGTACTTGAATCTTGTTTGCCGATTCCCGCTGATCGATGTTAACACCGAATGCCATTCCTGTTTCTAGGATCATTAATAAGCATAACAATGAGCTTACTTAAAGCTGCTTACTCCTATTACTTATTCACAATGACTAGCAACTTTGCAGAGATGTCACAACTGCAACTCAAATAATTTAAATTGATTAACATTTAGTATGTTCAATAGCGATTTCCGTTATAGATGCAACACTGGACAACAAGTTATAATTGCATAAACGAGAAGACCTGCATGATGGCACAGATAGTTAACATTTGTTCAATATATATGTACAGAAATGTGCCCGGTTTTGTATTTTAAATAAACGTATTGCGAAATTGCAATGGCAGTGTCCGCACAGAGATCACAACCATATACAATTTAATTGAACAATACGACAATCCAGACGGTTTGCACGAGGGTCAGAGACGGTCTTACCGTGGCGCGCCCACCACTATAATTTTTGCACCGATTACTCGTTTGCCGCTGTAATCGTTTAAGCGTCGTTCTTTTGCAATTTGCAATTGTATTACAATGTTAACTACAATTGTTCAATTGTGGGCTAATTGAACTGCGAGTAGAAATGAGTTCTTGGCATGTGTTGGCTACTATTATGTTATAATTGAAAGTAGTGGACAACAACTTTTAACACTTTGGCCAAACTTTCGTGTACGCGCGTTTGTGTGTGCGTGTGTGTGTACGTGCGGCTGCTGCGGCGCATGTGAAAAAAAGCCGCACAGCTAAGCCTGAGGCGTAGACTTTGCCTGTGTGTTGTTGTAGTAGTAATTGTTGGTGGAATCTCCTCACTTTTTGTGATTTGTGAAAGAGACCACACATCAGTGAAATCTGCGTGTGGAAAACACGAAACAGCGCGCAAAACATTAAATTGCATCCTATTTTTTTTCACCCACGTCGTAATAATAACCGCTAAAATTGTGGAAAAACAGGAGAAAACTCCCAAGCGGAAGAAGAAGGCTGCAGCCAGTAAAATGTCTGCAGTTTATTCGCCGCAAGGGCCGCCGCAGCAGCAGCAGTCGGCGCAGGGTCCACCGGGCTCTGTGCAGCAGCAGCTGCCGCCGCCCCAGGGGCCACCAAATGCAGTTGCCATGCAGCAGCAACAGCAGCAGCAACAACAGCAGCCGCCCGGTCCAGGACCAGGCGGGGTGGGTGTGGTGCATGGTGTCGTCGGCGTCCCACCAGGCGGTGTTGTTCCCATGGGTGCGATGCAACGCGTTGGCCCACCCATGGGCGCTGGCCCGCCAGGCAACGCAGTTGTTGGCGTCGGCGGCATGATGGGCGCTGGACAACCGAATGCGCCACAACGCGGTGGCGCTGGCGGCGGCGGAGGTGGCGTCCCACCCCAAGTCAACTCCGCACAAATCCAAAAGATGCTGGACGAAAATTGTGGCCTCATACAGACCATACAGGACTTTCAGAACATGGGCAAGTCGCAGGAGTGTATGAGCTATCATGTGGCATTGCACAGAAATCTCGTCTATTTGGCACAGTTGGCCGATCCTGCTATGAATATATCCCAAATATTGCCGGTGAGTATTTAAAGAGAAAAATGAGGTAGAAACAGTTTGTAGTGCGACTAATTTTATAAAATTTTCCATTTTATGGCCGAAATTGTGATATTTTTCTTGCATTGCAGCCGCCGCACGTTTTACAAACGCAGGCCATGCAGCAGGGTCAGCCGCCACCTGGGCTGATGGGCGTGCCGCCGCCTCAACCGCAGCAGCAACAACAGCAGCAGCAACAGCCGCCACAGCAGGTGGCACCCCCGCCCGGTGGTGTCATTCAAGCTCAAATGGCGGCTGGTATGCCACCCATGCAACATGGGGGCGATTCTGGCGGTGGCGGCACCGTTGTCCAAATGCCCCCCTATGCCAATCAACAGCAGCAGCAGCAGCAACCGACGCATCCCGGCATGCCGCCCAATGCCCAGCAACAGCAACAACAGCAATCTCAACAACAGCAGCAGCAGCAGCAACAACAACAACAGCAGGCGGCAGCTCAGGTCCAACAGGCGCCGCAGGTCAATCAGGCGGGCAATCAACAGCAACAACAACAGCAGCAGCAGCAACAACAACAGCACCAACAGGGTCCGTATCGCACACAGGGCCAGGGTGGACTTCCCAATGCCCAGCAACCCACAGCGGTCACAAATGCAGCGTCCAGTAAGTGTAATGTATTACCAACTTTACAAGATCAAGATGTTTGCCCCATTGAGATTTTCAAGCCCGGAGATGGTGGCGGTGGCACCATTGATAATGCCGATGCTGGAGATTTCAACTTCATTGAATATTTTGATCAAGAATTTTGCATATCATTTCCCTACATTCCCAATTAGTATCAAACCACACCTACACTAATGGTTTCCCTTTATGTAAACAAAACCACCCAACCCCGCACTTGTAAAAAAAATAATCACCCTTCAATAAACATAATATATTAGTTTTAATTTGAACGGTTCACCCCACTAATCCCTCATAACAAACGTATGTATGTATTCGTAGCTTTACTTTTATTTTGTAGTTAGAAGTAAATCCATAAAGTATTGCAGAAAAAGTTGTCTGCTTAGCAGTAAGTTGCAACGGTTTCTGCACCAACCATTTTACTAATATTGCTTATTCACTAATTTACACTATTGAATCATATAATCGGTCTTAAGATTTATTTATTTAATTACATTTTTGTAGTCATGCAATGCACTGCACTTGCTAAATCGTTTAACATAACTTTTTTTTTAGTTCTGCACCTCCCCATCCTATTTTTTTTTTTTTTTTAATTTAAATAACATTTGTAATTTATTTTTTAACAATTTGAATCGTGAAGTCTAGTGTTGGAATTGCTGCACCACCCAATAACATGCATTGTGCCCACAGTTAATTTTCATAAATTTGGTATAAAAATTTGTTATCTATATATATAAAAATGGAAGTATGTATGTATATATGTATGTATATTCCCTAGAAAGTCAGAAACCGCTCGTTCTGCTTATTTCTGCTCCTTTTTATTTGTTTGGCAGTTTTTTTACTTTTTACTCGGTTTGTCAGTGTTTCATTTGTAAATAAATAAGATTGTAAAATCCAATACAAAAAAAGGCTACCAAAAAAGCTCATCTTTTGAGCTCCAAAAAATGCCGATGAACGCGAATCAGGCTTGCAAGATTTTCACGAAAGGGCATCTACGTCTAGAGCCATAGAAGCGGAACAAGAATGGGACTCGCGGCTTCGGCAAATGCGCAAAAGGGCATCCACATCTGATCCAAGAAACACAAGAAGGCGATGGATATCCTTTGTACAGACGAAGAAAGGTTGACGGCGGTGCGTCTCAACTATAACCAAGGATCTAATCGAAGCTATAAAAAACGAAGGAGGTATTCGGAGAGGTGTGACGTCGGAATACTTAAAAGCACTACAATTCAGTGGCGCAGCAACGCAAGCCGGATACTCTAGTTTTTTTTTTTTAATTTGTTTATTTACTTTATAAAATGTATATATGTATGTGCACGAGTTTCTTAAATTCTCCTCCACCTACTACCATTCAAGATCTTTTTAATGATAATGTGTCTATTCTATAATTTGTGCCTTTTTTAATTATTCACAGATCAGCAGCGTCCCAACAATGGTCCATTGCCGCCTGGCCAGAATCAACCGCAGCAACAACAACAGCAGCCACCACCACCACAGCAGCAACAACAGGCACCCAACCAACAGCAACAACAACAGACGGTGGTGCCACCACCACAGACACAATATCGAGTCAGCTACCAACAACAACAGCACGGTCACTATCCTGGCTATCCGCCGCAGTCACAACCACAATATCAGCCACAGGGCGCTTACCCGTATGGTCCGCCCACTCAGGGATACGGCCCGCCACCGCCGCCTAATGCTCAAACTGGGTACCACCATGCAGGCATGCCACCCACCTCGTCGGCAAGTGGTGCACATGCCTATCAACCGAATGCGGCGGGTGGACAGCAAGCGCCGCCACCTGGTGCGTATGCACCACCGCCGCCCAGTGGTCAGCAGGTGCCGCCTGGTGGCCAGCAGCCGCCGCCACCACCACCGGGACAAATGTACGGTCCACCGCCAACTGGTGCTGGACAAGCGCCACCGCCTGGTGCGCCGCAAAATGTTCTAGCTAATCAGTATGGGCCGCCGCCGCCACCAAATGCGGGTGGTGCACCACCACCACCACCCATGGGCTATGCCAGCTATGCGCCCAACCAGTATGGTCAAGGAGCCGGTGGCGCTGCACCACCCGGCAACTATGGACCACCTCCGCCGCCACCCACAAGCAATGCACAGTCGCCGTATCAGGCATATCAACAGGGTGGTGCAACTGGTGGTTATCCGGGTCAGCCACCACCACCACCAAATGCTCAGCAAGCGACCAGCGTAGCTGGAAACGCAGTTGCTCCACCACCTCCGAGCAGCTACAGCACAGCACCGAGTCAAACGCCACCGCCAGCACAACAGCAGGGTAATCAACAACAACAACAACAACAGCAGCAGCCAGGTGCCAATAATCCGAATGGGCCACAAACACCGCAATCGACACCGCCGCCACCGCCTACATCGGTGGCCAACCAACAGCCACCCAGCGCACAACAGACGCAATATGCACCACCGCCACAACAGCAGCAAGCACAACAATTGGGCGCCGTCGTTTCTGGTGTGGCACCATTGCCGACACAACAACAGCCCACATACTCAACACCGCCGACCACTTTGTCAGGCGGACCATATGGTGCACCACAACCCACACCACAGCAGCAGCAACAAGGAGGACCACCACCAACTGGACCACCGCAGCAACAGCAGCAACAACAACAGCAGCAGCCACCGCCAAGCGGTGGTCCACCCAACACAACAGCACCACCACCACCGCCGAATGGTGCTGCACCGCCGCCCATGCCGCCAAATCAATATCAACCAGCGCCGGGTGGACAACCCTATGGTGCACCACCGCCACCACCACAAGGCTATGGACCGCCGCCACCGGGCAGTACGTACCCGGGCCACGCCTACCATCAGCCACCGCAGGCGGCTGGTTATGCACAATACCCTCCGTCGCAGGGCTATCAGGGCTATAGACCAACTGGAGCACAAATGCCACCACCGGGGGCACCACAGGGCCCACCGCCAGCTGGCGCCTATGCCTATTATAGTAATCAGCCGCCGCAGTGAGACGCGGGTGGCGCCGGCGTACGCAAACCACCGGTGGCTCTGATGGACAACATAACGTACGCCTGGCGTGAAACCACTCCCAAGTAGAAGAATATTTAAAAAAGAGCAAAGGGTATATAAGAGGCGGGTGGGTGTGTTCTCTGTACCCCCCACACTTTTTAATTTTATTTTATTCTGTTTTACATTTTGGCTTCTCATGTTACAGTGCATCCTGAGCCGATCGATGTGGATGTTGCCTCCAAGAACGGTCTTGGGGGGGGCACTTTCCAAGCCTCTAGCACTAGACATGCAATGGGCGAAAGCCTAGCTTAGACGCGTCAGTGTGCTGCTGTCCCTAACACCAAATCCATGGTCTGAATTCTCTTTGTTTTTAAACACACATATAGTATATACATATATATATATATATATATATTCAGCATGTATCGACGCATTAGCTAGTTTTGGTAATATTAGGTATTCCCTATTACTCTAAACTAGGCTTTTTCCCTACCATACTGGGTATATAACTCTAGAAAAAAATATGTGATATTTCCCCATACAAAAATGATTTTGAGACTTCATTTTTGTAAATGGGAAATTTTACAAATTTTTAATTTTATTTAATTCCATATTTTTTATACAACTATTTTTCTGCGTTTTATACCCAGCTTTATATATTTAGCTGTAGTTTGTAAGCGCATAGAGAAACGAGGAAAGTAATAGTAGTAGATGATGAAAGAAACTGCAGGGACAACAAATTTTAACTGTGGGGAAGAGAAAGCAGCTGAAGATGAAGAATTATTGTATTGCATAATGTTTAGGGATATTTTTGATTTTTTTTTATATGCAAACAAAAACGTACTATATATGTTATGTATGTAAATGTAATCTAAGTTAAAAGCACACCTAATGTTCGTATTTTGTTTATACTTTATAATATAATTTAAATGAAATTTATTTTTGTCTTTAGCATTAAAGAACAAATTGTAATTGTCCATGTCCTCCCTCTATTCCCATCCACCCCCTCCTTCTATGTGTTCCCTCCTCCCGTTGACAATGAAAATGTTTTATGTATATATATATATATATATATATATATGTATGTATATTTGTATACATATAAATATATATATATATATATAAATATGTAGTGATTAGCAAGGAGCTGTAATTTTACGCTCAATGTCACATATTTATGCCTAGATCTAGTATACATGCATACGAATTATCAATTACGTCTAACTATAAAGGCGACTCTCTAAAGCTTACTTAAACGCATTACAATTAAATAAAGTAAATGCATATGCTGACTAATAAATTTCACTTAGCGAGCGGCATTATTTCAATAATTAATAAATTAAATAAATCAAGAAAGCAAAACTAAAAACGCATCAGAAATAAGGCAGCAGAGAAAAAGAGAGAGCATCTGCCGCACTCGCTCTCATCATCATCAGACTGTCTCTGCCTGTCTCGCAGCCGACACGCGTTCGCTCTCACATGCATTTTATGTATGTAGTGGTATGTAGTTGTTTAAGTCGAAGGGGGATAGCGATAGCGTCTAGCATTTAAAACGATCTTTAAATAAACTGTATGTTATTGTATTTTAAAAGCGAACTCCATAAACTATTATTAAAATTATTATCTATCTATACGGAAACAAAAATATATTGAACAAAATAGGAGAGCAGCGAGAGCGCAACTCATTGCAAAAGGCATGAAGAAATTAATAAAAATGCAAGCACTAGACTTACTTTAAGCAAAAACTGTTACTTCAATTATAGGTGGGAACTACATGTGTACATATGTATGTGAAGTCTTTAAAAATACAACTTCAGGCCTACAATTAAATCAGTGCTATCTTTGAGAAACTGGACAAATGGCAGATAACAGGCTCTTTCTGATCGGGAGCATCGATTTGGGTAAACTTTTCCGCCATAGTGCAGAATAACGTGTGAAAAATTATTAACAAACGACATCGCCGGGAGTGCCTTCGTCTATTCACTGATTGGAACACAATGTTATAAAACTCTTCACTTCTTCTATTTGACACGATTTATTTGAGTTTGAGAAAAAATTCATCCTTAATGGGGCCCCAATTTGAGTTAAAGTTTTGTGAAAAGAACATCTTTAATTTCTAAATGCAATTTTGATGGCACCTTGATAAACTCAACTGTGGGATGTTTTTACGCCGAAAGCTACATTGGTGAAGAAATGGCCACATAATAGCCATTTGAGTAAACCTGCCAGATATCGGTGAGGTGGTTTTATACTATGTTTTAACGTGTATACATTAGTGTCTGGCTCAAATCGGACTACTATATTGTATCATAGGAACTATCAGCCGATATAGCACGAACTTTTTTGTTTTTGAAGTTGTCTCAACGAAACTTCATATACAATGGTTCTATTCTATGTTTTCACATATGTATATTAAACCAAATTGGACTAAGTATTGTGAATAGTATCGGACTACTATATTATATAGCTACCATGCTTTTTTAAAAGGTACTATATTTGTATAACAAACTCTTATATCGGAACCAATTGAATATTGGAAAGGTTGTTATTATAACAAATGCTCCAAAACTCAATTCGGTTCGGTACATAGTTCCTTTATAAATAATAGCAATATCTTATTTGCTTATGATGCTATATGAACTGCAGTCAATAATGAGATATATTATATAGCTACCATATGAATGATATCGTTATACACATGTATGTTATTTTAAATGAAGAAGAGAAAAATGCGTACAAGTCGCTGTAATTTAAGCAGAGAAGGAACCCCAGGATTCTTTCTGGTAACGCCAAATTCATTCATTAAAGCGTTTAATTTGAATGACAATTCTCGCTTATTATTTTGAATCACATTCAAGGAATTAACATAAAAACTTTACATTAGTGATATCTTTATCTTATTAAATGGCCATTGATGATAATGATGTTGACGATTAGGGGAGGGAAGCTTTGGAACTTGTTGCGGTGACTTTGACTGACTGGAGTTGTTGGTGTTAGTGTTATTGTTGTTGCTATCACATGCTAGCTCGCTGGACACACGCGTCGTCATAATCTGTCGCCGTCCGATCATCATCGTCATTCCTCTCATTAAGATCGGCCACTCGCTGGTGCTCCCTCTCAGGCTCCTCCTGCTCCGTTGGTTCGTTCTTGGAACCAGCACGTCTCTTAATTTTGTGCCAAATCTTGCGCAGAAAATTCCTTGGTATGGTCGTGTTGCGCTCAACAATGATCAGCTTGGTGGCCACACTATGAATGGGTCCGAAGGCCAAGGCGACGACGGTGCAGGCCAAGCAGATGACATTGTAGGGCATACTGAAGTCGGGCGTGGGCAGTCCCACAATCAGAGCCTCGGTACGCAGAGTGAGGACGTAGCCGGGACGGGTGGCATTGAAGGAATGCTTAAAGAGATGCCCCTCCACCGGCAGGGCCGTATAGTTGCGACCCATGGGCAGTTGGCTGCTGATGACAGCAGCTCCAATATAATGCCCGTGATTCGCATCTGGCGGGTATTCAAGCCACTTGAGCAGCAAGTAATCCACTTCGATTGAAATCGACGCTGTGCTCTGTGGTGGCAGCTGAAAACCAATTTCCAGGTGGGTGGGCAGCTCGCGTTGCTTCCCGGGCGCATAGTGGAGCAGCTTGAATGGCAGCACCTGCTCCCGTCTATGTCCGTGTCCGTTCGTCTTGCTGCGTATGCGTAGGGTGTGCAAATAGGTATGCACATACCACGGCACCAGCTCCATAAGCAGTACTGGCAACGGCTCCCAATGGGTGTTGGTAACTTCAGTGACAATGCGGCCACGTTCCTGTCCAGCGCCCAACAGATAGCGATGGGCATAGAGCGGTGGAGCAGAGGTACTTGGTTGCCGGCGTTCCCCTTTGGGTGCCAGCCAGGCAATGTTAAAAAGACGATCACCCAGCTCCGACAATTTCTGCATATCGTAGACGGCATAGACGCTGCCGAAGCCGCCCCTAGTACTGGAAACCTCTTCGAGCGGCGACGGCACCAACTGATAACGCTGGCCTTGCTCGTTGCGCTGCACGTAGATCTTGCTGCTGTCGGCGAGCTCGCAGAAGCCATTGAGACCCATGCCGAATAGGCGACGCAGCGAGAAGTCACGGCTGCTGCTCTGCTCCAGCAATTTCAAATCATAGACGAGGTTAGCTGTTTGGGTCAGCTCCACAACGCAGTTGTCGGGCTGGGCGCATAGAGTCCGCACTTTCAGACTCAACGAATGGTATTTGGTGTTGTGCACATGACCCGAGTTAAGCAAAGAGGCAAATCCCGATGCACTGCCACATGGTAATAATTTCTTCCAGGGTGTCAAATTCTCGGTGCAGACAATTTCCCGGGGCAAGGAGGCGTAACGGACATGTCTAGTCCGACTACTAGCATCCATAAACTGTGGACGGAATGTGTGTTTGGGCGCAATGCTATTGGTGTTGTCCACGAAATTTAATGACGCGCAGAGCACGCCTGAGAAAACATTTGCCAATTTATTCCATTGCGAATTCACCGACGAACTGGTCAAATTTGCACCACTAAACCAGGCCCAGACCTCGGCGCCACCCGTGGCCTCTACAATGGGATACCCCCAGGATTCATAACGCCAAAGACCTTGGGTGAGACTAATGTGCAGCTCCTTGACATCATAAGTTTGCAATATTTCGGCAATGACGCGCGGCGTCAGCTGTGTGTGAAATACTACAAAACGGAAATTGCTTATCTAAGTGATAGATTCTACACACATTGTATCTGCGTACTTACAATTATCGCGAGCACCGTAATGCCAACGGGTGGTGAATTGAAAATATGTGTTGACATGATCGCCGGCAAGCGGTCGGACGACAATCTCCTCATGAAATTTCTCATCGCTGTTGCCGCTGCGGCTGTGTGCGTGTATTTGCAGCCCGCAGAGGCAGAGCAACAACAACAAGGCGGCTGCATGGCGCATCTTTAATGCCAATTTAGAAGATGCCAACGCCAATTGTTGTGCAATAAATATTAATGCTCATTAATTTATAGCTGCCACTTAAATGTAACTACGCCGGAATGAACACAGCTGCTTTGGAGTTGAAGTTTGACAACACTGGCAATAATATCAACAGTGCTGCACATTGGTAGTGTGCTAAAGTATAACAAAGGAAGAAATGCAATGCAAATACAATTACGCAGTTTTTTTGTAGTCAAAGCTTTATTGAGTTCAATTATTAATTTATTTAGCTTAAGTCTACTTGAAACACCAACTTAATATATATCTATATATGTAGTGCCTTAAAAACGTGTTGTTGCGGTTGCGGACAGGGCTGTCGTCATTCTAGAGTCTACTTGAGCACTAATTTTTATTACAGATAAATTTCCATTCCTGTGCCAGTCACTGTATGCATAAATATTTTTCCCACCAAAAATATGTAAATTATTCATTTCGCGCATTACTTATAGTTAAAGTAGGTTGCAATTTGAGCAAGTCGTTAGTCAAATTAATTGAGTACCGAGTACCAGTACCAACACTAGTGCTATTATCAGTATTGCTATACTTGTGGCAACCCAGCTGGGGCTGTGCTATCCGCCAACACTACGTGCAGTGGCAGTGGCAATCAACACTGGCCCAAATGCTCATGTTAGTTGTCAGAGAGCCGAGCGACAGTGAAGACGTACGTGTGTGCTCAGACTGTGCTCTCAGAATACATTTTGGTCATTTTCCTGCTGGTATAAATTAATATAAAATTTCAAAACAACAAATCACGAAAATAAATCAAATTAACGCCGCCATAATTATTGAAAAACAAACATACGATAACGTACAATGCTTGCAAATACAATTTATGCAAATTTCAGGCAGGTTTTTCTCAACTAGCAGAGCAGCAGCGACTCGAGAATTTAAAAAAATGGTTTAAATAAACACACAAAAGGAAAATGGTTATTTTTTGTTTGTACCCCCAGTTTATGTACAAATGGAGAATAATGTGTGTGTGAATTTTTTTTGTTTCATTAGTTAAGGAACACATTTGTTTTGAATTCCAATTCCCCTCTATTAAACATTTTTGCATATAACTAGCAACTGCAGAAATGTTTAATATTTGTAACTGAGAAATGTCAATTTTTCTACACACAACAAACACTGAAAGTCGAAGCCATTAATTTTTCCCACCCGGAAAGAATAAAATATTTAAACGTTTATAACGAGTCATCATACAGCAAGCTCTACGTCTTTTCTAAAAAAAAAAATTCCAAAGAAATTCGCGTGAAGAAAGATTTTTACTCGCGTCGCGGTATATACTTCAACTGTTTTTGAACTTTTATTGCGTTGCTGCAGAGCAAGAGCGGCGAAAATACAACAAGACGGATTCGAAAAAACGTGTGTGGAGTGCAAAGTGCTGCTCTCTCTCTCTCTCTCTCCCCGATGGCGATGATGGTGGAGGGAGAGCACGATTCTCTGTGTGTGTGTGTATTTATGTGTCGCGTCGCCTTGCGATTGCTGTGCGCGTTTTTCGTTCATTCGCCGTCGCCGCAAACTCACACACTGACGGCCATTGTTGCTTGCTCAGTAGCAGCAGGCAGCGGCTGCAGTCATGGTGCAAAGAAGCTACAAGGTATGGCATTGTGCAGGTCCGTTATTTGATCTCTCCGTGTGACGTCGTAATAAACATCATATTGTGATTATTGTCGTCACGTGTAATTTAATGCGCAGTTAAATTATATAAAGTCACTTTGTGTAGCAAAAACTGCTATAAGAGGCCTCAGAAATGAAATGCCAGCCACACAAAGGGGCAAATAGTTTCTTGCGCTATCACTCCATTGTCTACGTGGAGCATATTATGACGTATCGCACAGTGAGAGTAAGCAAGTTGAAGTCGTAAATGCCATACCTTTTCTCTTTTTACCGTGGGCTGCACCAGCACTGCCGACACACATATTTTGTCGCTTCTGCCGCCGTTGTTGTTGCCGTTGTCGTTGTGTAGTCGCAGCCGTCCCGTCTCGTGTGTCGTCGTTGTCGGTTTTCGCCGCCGTAGTTTGCTTGCTGCTGCCCTGCCTGTTACTCCCGACTGCCTGATTGCATTTCTTGAGATCATCATTTCGCTATTAATAACGATTGTTGTTTATATTTTGTTTACTATGCAAATTTTTTTTAGCAAGAACATCTAAAAGTTCTAGCAAAAAAAGAACCCCTATAAAAAATAAGCACATTGACAACCAACCACAACGTCGTACATACACACATACAAGCATACATAGTTAAAATCATTTGTTCAAAAAAAAAATTAAAACTGCGTAAATGTTATTTACAAATAAAAAACAAGAAACAACATAGTAACAAAGAACATCATATTAAACAGCAACAACAACCATACGAAGCAAAGAAAAAGAATAAAAGTAAGAAAAGTGCAAAGCAAAAGTAGCGGAAAGGTGAAGACAAAAGCAGAGCGCGCCTTGCTGTGCTGCTGAGAGACGAGACGACGCAGCGCAGGCAGACCAGCAAGAGAGCGTAAGCAGTAAGCACATTACGACGCGAACGCGACCTACTAAAAAGGTGATTTTTTTCCTAATTTTATTATTTACATTTTATTTGTTTTAGTTTACGCATAGATGTAACTCAATAGGCTAATGATTTTGTAATTTAATTTGTAAGCGTAGTACCAACAAGAACAACTACTATTCGACAACAACAATAAAACGGGCACAAGTGCTTGAGAACATGAATGACTCAATTTACCGTAAGCAAATAGTAAGCCAAAAAAAATACAGAGATGACAAATTTTTGCGCGTTAAGTAAAAATTTAAAAATTGAATTAAGTAAAAATAAACGTAATTTGCATTGCCTATACAACAAAAAACAAGTACACTTTTTCTTCGCTTTTGGACTCGTAACAGACATCTCGCTCTCCGCCGTCGTCGTTGTTCCGAATTTCATAACCACTACATACATACGATGTACTTTAATATACATATGTATGTATGTAAGTGCTACGCGATTGATAAATCATCCGTCGACTCCCTCGCCCCACATACATATGTTATGCATTTAATTATGTATGTACCTCAGCGCTGTTCATGTTTCAACTATATTTATTTCTTTATTTGCCCATCTCCATTAGAAATTATATTTGCGAAAAGTAAAATCTTACTCATGCGATGTTTCACACATGCGCACACCTCATTCTGCTCAATTGTGGCTTTGTCGCGCGCTCTCCTATCTCTTTTTGCCCGTCAGTGTTGCCACACCAACGCCAACGACTTTGCCTTGAACTGTGCGTGTGTGTGTGTGTGCGCGCTGTCATTGGCTGACAAAAACAGCACATTTTTTATATTCATTTTATTTTATCATCTGCTACCTCCTCAACCCTTAAGCACGGGCACAGGAAGCGAAAAATATTCGCCTTCGACAATTTCGACATTCAAAATATACATATGTAAATCTGTATGTATGTAGGCTTTTACGAGTAGTAATACTTCTAAATACCCAATTGTGAGTATCTACAGAGTATGTAATTAAAAAATATTAATCAGTCTTATGCGATTAACTTGCATGTATCTATGTATTTACATATGTATGTATGTACATATGTATGTATGTGCATTGTACGTGTGTGTTTGTGGATGTAAATAATGGTACATAGAAATTTTGTTGCTATTCTGTTTTTGATCAGTTGAGAGGGGGGATGCAAGTATGTATCTAATGCTGTGTAGATGCATATGCATATGTATACATACACATACATACATGTGTATGGTGCACGTAAATAATTGTATATCTTTGTCCTCTTTTTCGATAGGTCTTGAAAGGGGGACATTTGAGGTTTTGGGCATGGACCTGTAACGCAGCTGATGATCCGCTACTTTGATTTTCGTTGTTAATTATCCTTTTGAAAATGACGTCACATTTGCATAACTGCTGTTGACATGTCCGCAAGTTGGCTATTTATAAGAAATTGAAAATAAAAAGTCAAATAAAAGTATGCATGTGTATGTGAGTTGTCGTCGTCGTTGTCGTCGCATTCCTCAAATAATTTCGTATTTTATAATGGGTGGAAAAATAGCCAAACAAGCATTGTCACACACACATGTGTACATGCATGCGCGCATACACAAATGAGCACGCGGCAGACGTTCGCATGGCAACGCCGTTGTCGTCCCTCCCCCCTCTAATCCGTGTCGTCTGTCCCACAGTTGCTTCTGTGGCCTCGCTGTCGCGTTTTCGAGCCAAACGGCTCGGGCCGTGCTGGCGGCAGCGGCAGACTGAACGTTTCCATACATTCGAATTTTCAACGAACTTCGTTGTGTGGCTGTCGTTGTTGCTTTGTAGCGCGCGCGCTCTTTCTCTCTCTCTCTTTATTTCTCTGAGCTACACGGCTACAAATTATTTTCACGACACAAAAAAGTCGCTCGCCGGTATGTCTGCTAGCTTTTGTTCTTGTTGTTGAATGTTGCTGCTGCCATTAGATGTTCTTCGTAGAATTTACTTGGATTATTATATACACACTTACATATATTTTTTTAATTTTAAACAATTTTGCTAAAATTTAACAACATCTTGATTAAAACGTTGCAGGTAGTCAATAGTGAAATTTGCATATGATGAGCATGTTTGTGCGTTTGCATTCTTCCGCTTCCACTCACACATACATGTCTACATTATACATACATATATGTGTGTACATATACCTACACACATACATATGCATATGTATTTTAGTGTGAATGTGTTATTAATGTGTGTCCGATTTTCGTAGTGATGTAATATAGTTTTTTAGGTGCGGTTGCGTTTTTAATTCAATATACTATGTATGTATTTACATACATACATACATACGAGTATGTGTGTATGTGTGTGTATATACATATGATTGTATTTTACTTACTCATCGTTGACGCCAAATGAGGTCGTATACATAATATGTACATATGTATGAAGATAATTCATATGTATGTACATAGTGTCTTACAGCCACCCTCTAAATGGAGAGACTGATTTAAATATCATAACCTCAATTAATGCCGTTATCGGTCCTGTTTTTTCAATTATACACTAATGAGTCTCCTCTGTCTTTAAATTATTACATTAAAAAATTCAATTTGTCAAGCTTGCGATAAGTACTTGGCCTCACCGCCCGATAGAGCCACTATCGCAAGTTTACTATCGTGTAGTACATTCTCCTAGACGGCTATTGTTAAAATTTCAGTTGAATCGAAATTTAAGTTTTACTCCACCCCGGGGGTGTATTTGCGGATTTAAGAAAAATGGAAGAAGAGGAATATCGGTCGGTAATTCGATTGAATCTTCTACATATGGCGACCGTTTAATCACGCCCAGATATGAATATATTAAGCCCCCCTGTTCTATTGCTGACTCGGTTTGTTATATCTATGAACATACATATGTATGTATGTATGCATGTATATAAAACGCGATTGCACTGAATTTACATATGTGTTAATTCAAAAAATATCTTAATTATTTTGTTTATTACGTCACTCAAATAATCAGCATCGAATGATCTAAGAAATGTGTTGTTCTTTAAAATGACAACAAAAACAGCATCATATTCTAAAAGAGTGCTTTTGATGTTCTTGTCGCCTCAAGTGGACTGTGCTTGGATTCTTATACATACATATGTACACACATAAATATGTATGTATGTATGTATTTATATTTGGTTATTTCAACATATTTGCTTATACTAGAATATATAAAAATGACTTCCGTTCGAAAATGTATGCTCACACATACATGTAAATGCGTACATGTACATAAATTGTTGTTTGAGTCGGAATTATCACCACTTCGTTGCACATGTTCGTATCTACATTGTACATTATTATGTATGTATGTATGTACGTACAAACACGAGTCTCGTTTAAGGCAATGTCAATTCAGCATACATATGGATGTATGTTCTTATGTACATATGTAGGTATACATATTAAGATACATACATATGTATGTATGTACACAATTGCACACATGTATGTATGTGTTTATGTACATGCATGCAGGGTTGATGCAGGTGCACTGCCTTCATATGTATGTTAGTTCCGTATTTGTATGTATTGTAGCTTTAATAAATTAAGCACCATTAAAATTATTAAAGATATTGACCTGGTTTATGCGGCGGCCTGAGCAATAAATACATAAATATGTACATATTTACAATAATCGCCAGAAGAACAACAACGGAAAAAATGCGTGTGCGCGTTTTTTACTCTCAGATTGCTTGCAACTGCATTTAACAGTTAATATTAGTGATACGTCATATGAGCAGATAAGCGCAATAGAAAAGAGAATAGGAGGGCGGTAGAGAGAGAGAGAGAGAGCGAGAGAGAGAGAGAGAGAGGGAGATATTAAATGAGAGAAACAACTAAGCAACTGACCGAAGTAGTTTGTTGCTGTCTTAGTGCCATGCTGTTACCTGCCTTCTTGTGGCAACAATAAAAGCAGTAACAACATTATAGCGGTTTCCACCCAATTGATTGCCAAGTTTATTAACTTAAGCTGAAGCTGCTCTACAGCTGTTTTTTCAGCTGCGCCTAACATCATTCAAGAGAGAGTTAGCGGGAGAGAAAGAGAGCAAGTCTGGTGTTCTCTCATTCAGTTAACTTTAATTGCCGATGCCTTTGAACAAACTGATTTATCAGCTCAACAATTTTTATGCCATTTAGAGCTACAAAACTATCGATAGTGGAGCCATTACATGTTTTAATGGGAATACAGTCGATGGTATAGTTCTTGTTTAATTAAATTGTGTATGTAAATTAAGCTTTGACCTGTACTGCTTAGTCAGTATTTAAAAGGGGATGTGCAGATCTTGACTCTGATCCAACGAAAGATTGCTTTTGTAGAAATTCGCATACTTTAACCACTGAATTGTGAAAGTGACAAATAAATGCGTACTGTATCGATAGTGGAAAAATATTCGATGATATCAACAATATTATGACTTCTAATGGCCAACATGAATACAAAAAGAAATAACTATGAATGCCTTAACGAAATCAAGTGCGTTAATTTTAATAAATTGATGCGAAGAATCAGTTGCCGAGTGACCGTGAGAGTCGAGCTGTCATCTCTTATAAATGTATGTGTTAAACATACATACATATGTACATATGTATGTATATGTATGTATTTATTTATATGTATTTATGTACACACTTTTATGTCTAGCAGAGCGTCTTCGTCACTGACAGGGCGGACAGAGCTATTAAAATCGCGAATGCGAAACGATTTCGAATTTTACTACTTATTTCTGCCCTCTTCATTTTTTTATTTGTTTATTTATTTCAATTTCTTCGCGAGACCAGCAAACGGTAAATGGCATATAATTTTGTATGTAAATACATATGTATTGAATAGATTATATATTCGCTGAAAAGGGAAGGGCTCAGTAGGAGTAAAGTAAAAGACAATAGTCGCGGACCGCCGTGCGTCTGTTCGCTTTAGAGTTTTATTGGAGACTGACACTTTTGCTATACATATTCTTTATGCTTACATTCGTATGCAACAGTGACAGATAACTTGTAGATAACATAAGATTATTATCTGCTTATATTAACATGCGTGCATTGGTACTTATGTTTGTATTGATTTTCAACACCCTTCCTCAATGCAAACATGTTTTACAAAAATTTTCAAATCAAATTTAACAGCTTTGTAAAATGAACATGCTTCGCTTTAGGGAGATTTTTCGTTAAAATATCAGCTATCATTTCATTGGTTGATGTATACTGTAAAACAATTTGTTCTTCGTTTACAACCTGTCTTGCAAAATGATATCTAATATCAATATGCTTTGTTCTTTCATGGTGTACAGGATTCTTAGCTAATTGTTGAGCACTTAAATTATCGCCATGAAGAATAGTTGGAGTACTCGAGTCACCGCAGCCAATCTCCACTATAAGACGCCGTAGGTATATGGCCTCCTTACACGCAGTTGAAAGAGCCATATACTCCGCCTCCGTGCTGCTAAGTGCCACGCTGCGTTGCTTTTCAGATCGCCAGGATATGGGTCCTCCAGCCAAGTAGTATACATAGCCAGTATACGACTTGCGATCGATGCGGTCGCCACCCCAGTCTGCATCCACATAGCCGGTAAGGGGTTGTCCACACTCTTTGTAGTGCAACTTCAGGTCCACAGTTGACGCCAGGTATCGAAGCACATGTTTTACACCCACTAGGTGCTCTGCATGCGGATCTTGATTCCGTTGAGCTAACTTGGCAACGGAATGCAATATGTCTGGCCTTGTTGTAAGCGCCAGCCACATTAACTCGCCAATTGAAGACTGGTAGGATGCAATGTCAACCTTTTGACAATGCTCGCTGGTACATATCACTTGGAAACCAGCATCCAGTGGGGTCGCTGTAGGTCTACAGGTCTCGCATCCATGTTCACGCAATATGTCTTTGATGTATTGCGAATTGCTTAGCGAAATTTCGCCAAGCTCACCGTCGCGCTGCACTTCCATGCCAAGGAACAAATGCAGCTCTCCCTTGTCAACACATTCAAACGATGTTGTAATGGCTGACTTGATGTTGGCCAAGTCCTCTTTTGATCGGCATGCTATAATTATATCATCAACATAAACAAGGATTAATGATAAGTCACCTCTTCCGTTCCTTTTGTAAAGACACGGTTCATTTTCACATGCTACAAAATCTATGCCTTGTAGTACACAATCGAGCTTGGAGTTCCACTCGCGCCCCGACTGCTTCAATCCATATATTGCCTTTTTAAGCAATAAAGCCTTACTTGGATTATTGGGATCTGTGTATCCCTGTGGCTGCTTCATATAAACAGTTTCATGCAGGTCGCTATTCAAATAGGCGGTACACACATCTATCTGGTGAAGGTACAGCTTCAATTCCGCTGCTAACGCCAAAATAAACCGCACGGTTTCCAATCTGCAAACGGGTGAGAACGTCTCTACATAGTTCACGCCATACTTCTGGGAGCACCCTTTA